AATAGACTATCCAACTTAGTGATTAAGCTAGATCATTGAGAATAACATCTATTTTCCTGATTTTTTGTAATATGATTAGAAAAATATGTGTACTATGATGTGGTTGAGATAAATGAATGGAAAATAAATGTTGAGATGTAGTGATGAAGAGAAGGTAAACTAGAAATAGAAGAAATCTAGATGATGAGTAGCTCTACTACCATGTTAATTTGAGGAAGAAATGGAGAGAAGAGAGGGTACTAGGGTTAAAATGGGGAAGGAGAGAGAAACCATTGAGACAAAAAGAAATAGAGCAAACCATCCAAAGGAAATGTGCCCAAAACTATGTTATTTATCAGATTGGATAAATCAGTAAACATTAGGTAAGTTTGATAGGCCTTAATGAACCTATTATTCTAACACTCTCAAGTAGTCACAACTTGTAGGATATCATCTCACATGTCCCTCTCCCTTTTATCAAGGAAGGAGGGGGAGATGAAGAGAGAGAAGGAATGATTCAAACACCTCTACTTATTTAGTGGGTCATTTTAATGCCCATTTCATAACTCTGAGCAAGAATTAAGTTCATATATTAATGAGTCAATAAAGAACATTATCTACTATTGGCACAATTAAACTAAAAATAAAAATGAAATTAATCTTCTTATATGATAAACCCCCTCTATTGAGGCCTTACTATCTCAGCATAAATGAATGTTAGTTAAGTTCAAATAGTGATGAACTTATTTGTTGATAGTGACCTAGTCATCATATTAGCATACTATCTTACTTTTAAGAGTATGTACAAGTTGGATGTCATTACTTAAATTAAATTCATGTAACATGTGAAGTCAAACACCAATATGTTTTATCCTTGAATAACAAACTAGATCTTTCACATGATAAAATATATTTTAGCTATCACAATACAAATATACATCTACTTTGTTAATGGCAAGTGATTTTACCAAACTTTTAGTCAAAAGATTTATTTTTTAGTTTTACTTACTCAACATACTTAGCCTTAGCAGTTGAAAATACAAGAATATCTTATAACATTACTTCTCAATTTACAAGGGATACACCTAGAGTAAAAATATATCATGGTGTAGGCCTCCTATTGTTGAAATTGAATGTATAATCTGAGTAAGTATTGTCAACAAAAACTTAAAAGTTGATATCTTCAAACAATAAACCAACTTCCAATAATAATGCAAGAGTGAATTTACAATATTTTGATATCTTTCACTAAATTTACTACATACATATAAACAATACGATTAGCTTATGATAGATAAATTTTAGCACACATCATAATGCACACATCAGTCATTATTATTTTTAGATTTAGGACATTACTATAAAGATAATATGAAATACAAGCTTGAAGGTGTAGTAACAATCTTAGCCTTTGTCATGCTGAATTTAGTTAATAGTCTTTCAATGTACTTTTTCTCAGTCAACCATAATTTCTTGCTACAATGATTACTTCAAATCTCCATACATATAATACTTTTAATAGTACTTCCAATTTTCTTTTCGAACTAAGTTCCTTAGTGATCTCATATATTGATTTGCAATCACTCCAACATGTTATCAACATATAGCATGAAAAAAATAGTAGAATCATCATCGAGAAGACATAAGTATATTTAATTTTCATATATACTTCTTATGAAGTTGTGTTTTGGCATAATTCTATTAAATTTTTTATACCACTAATGTGGAGCATGTTTCATGCTACAAAGAAATCTCTTAAGTTTACATATCATTTTTTCCTTCTCTTGTTGAAAAAAATCTTCTAGTTGTAATATGTATTCTTTTTCATCAGACTTTTATATTAAAATGTAATTTTGACATCAAGTTGCTCCAATTACATATCACACATAACTACAATGACAAACATAGTTGTGATCAATAGTGTCTTATCTACTTGCAATAGATTTTCATCCCTCCTTATAAAAATTTGCTTTAATCCCAACTCCCATTCTTTTGAAGACAATTCATCTCTTCTTCCAAGACAATTTTCTAATCTTCATTACCATGACTCTCAATTGACTCTTGAAAAGTTATAGGGTTAGATGAAATAACAAGAATAACAAACCACTATATTATAAAATATTAATGTCATCTTGATTTTTATCTTAAACATTTCATGATAATAGAATAAATGAAGAATATACATTGCTCTTACTCTCAACTACTTCCTACAATCTTATAAGGTCAAAAGAGATAACATAAAAAGCATAAACCACTATATTATAAAATCTTAATGGCATCTTGATTTCCCATTTTGAGCATCCCATGGTAATAGAGTAAGTATCCATCTAACTTGATTGTGTAAAATAATCATTGTAATATTGATTTTTTCCAAATTTCTACTAGCTCTTTTGATCTCTTCACTTAGCTTCACCTTAATCTAACTACTAGTTGCATTCTAAGTAGAGGTCATATGTTAAACTTTAAGTGATGAAAAAATTTCAAATCTACTATGGCATTTGTAGACTAATCAAGTGATAAACAATACCTTTTTTGAAATAAAAATCTTCAAACTCTTTTGGAGTGTGGCCACTACCATTGTAAATATGTAACACTTTGATATGTTTTCAATCCCAAATTATGTGAAGTACCTTAGAGCATACCAATATGTTTCTCGAGAAGCTATTAATAAGACTGAAAAATGTCCTAGACATTAATAAAACCTCCTAATACGAAGAAATTGGAGACATATCATAGATATCTAAATACATATTCTCGAAAATCTTCTTAATCCTAGTAGAAGTGACACAAAAATTATTACCATTTTTCAAGAACACAAAATTTATTAAAATTAATTTTACAAAAATTAATTTATATAGTAACTTTTGATGTTGTAATTTTTAACATCCCTCTATCACTCATATGACTAAATCTTACATTTCACAATATAAGAGTATTATCATCTTAAAAAATAATATCATTATTACATCACCAAATATAGTTGTACCAAGCAATTTGTATAGTAATCTTAATCTAGTTTTCTTTCCCTTCATAATGACTCAATCACTCTTTTTTACTTATAAAATACTATTACATCTGTATAATTGTAATGATTTGCGTCAATTTTTCTAAAAGAGATTAGACTTTATTTTGTCTACTACATGCCTAACATTTGTCAAAGTTTTAATTATTTCATTAAACATCCTGATTTTTAATGTTCTTGTCTCTTCAGTTTTGCACTAGGTGTTATAAAAAATGAGAATTATATCTTCATCATGACACATGTCAAACCAATCTCTAAGTTTTGGACTTTTTTTTTTTCAATAAACTTCTTACGTGCAATGGCGACATTTATGTTATTCTTTAACTTGGACTTGAAATATTTTTTCTTATTGCCTATATTTTTCTGACAACTCTTCCATGACAAAACCTTTTATTATGAAGCTTTTAGAACATGTGAAAAAAGATTCTAATTCCACAAATATATATATATATATATATATATATATATTCACAAATGTAACTTACTTGTGAGAGATTTTCACATGTAAATATTTCTAATTCCTTCCATAAGTAAATATCAATAATTACTTCATCAATTAAACATAATTTAATGGTATTAATTAATTTTATATACAATTAATCATAGTCTTCATCACTTAATCTCTATACCTTTTCTTTTCCACATCGAACTATATGAAGCCTTTATTGTATAGAGATTGGCCTCACTTTCTTATATCATAAATCAAAATCAATATTTCCATTAAATTAGCAACCTCAAATTTTGTCTTTGACATTGTTACAATATTAGAAAATAAGGTAACATTAGCTTGGTTCTAATATGAAAGGTTTAGAACTAAAGAACCAAAAGTAGATGCAAACACCAAATAACCATGGGAGGTTAAAGTGGAAGTCAGGATCTCAAAAGTGTCACCCTCTTTAATATAAATGTGTCAAAGATATCAAAGATAATATGACAAAGATACATAACTAAAATCCAAATTGAAAAAGCAAACACTAATGAGTGATGAACAAATGTTTAGGAGAAAACACCCCTCTTCGATAGAGAGAATGATCGATAAAGAAACAAATGAAAGAGAACCTTACAAACTGTCTTGGATCCCTTTCCTTTGCTTGATGTTGAATGATAATAAATTACACTATGGATGATCTCATAGACAATGGGCATGCAAAAGGAGATCCCCACCACCGTGAGGCCATTTGGTTAGCGACTACTAGTTAGGGACAATGTTATTGAGACCAACAATGCCATGGGGGCAACTAGATCAAAGGAATGATTCTTTGTAGACAGGGTAGGTAGACCCAATACATCTTTGCCCTCCATGTTGTTACTTTCTTTGTACCTTGTCATATCAATATGTTTTCAAATGCATCCTTGCCACTTTTACATGTTTTTTTTTCTATTTTAAGAAGTGTAAATAAGATCAATAATTTAAACAAACTATATAACATACATGGAAAATATTTATTTATGCTAGTATACTAGCATAAAAATTAAGGCGCGATTACCTTTTATGTTTTCATAGGCCATCAACTAATAAAATAAGTTTGAAATAATTATCATGTTTATCTATTTTATGGAGGATCTGCTAAAGTGGGCGTTCCATGGATAACAGATTTTACGAACTCTCAGAGGCTTAGTTGGGTGACCTTTTTAAGAGCTCGGCCCGGCCCGGTATTTTTTTTAGTGTAGAAAATCCAATCTTGGGAGGGGGTAAAGGTCAGAGTGAGCGAAGAATGCGGGTGAGGGGGTATCTATGTTACACGTATCCTTTCTGGGCCCACACTATCGGAGTTTAAAAGGAAAATACCCAGAAATAATGACAGGTGGCGGCTCCGGGATTGTCCAAATAATCCCGCCTGGACCACTCCAGTTTTCCCTCCCTTGCACTGAATTTTAAAATATTTTATTATAAATTTCTCCGCGGTTTTTACTTCCAGAGAGCTGCCGCAGTAGAATCAGAGGCAAAAGCACCGCCGCCTGCCCTGCCGGGGCCTCCTTCTCCGCCGGCGGGCGCCTCATGGAGCCCGAAGCTCCCGCCACCGCTCGGCGCTGGCCGCAGAGGAGGTCCTCCTCTTCTACGAAGCCGAACGACGGCGGTGACGGCGGAGCGAGAGCCACAGCGCCGGCGGTGGGATGCGTGCGGGAAAGGGAGGCGTCGACACCGGAGGAAGCGGAAGGAAGAGCGGCAGCGGTTGGGAATGGTGGTGGTGGCCGTGGTAACAAGAGGGCGGCCAATGCTGTGGCCAGGAAGAACTCGTCGTCAATGACGAAGAGGAGGAAGGTGGAATCGTCTGCAGAAGGAAGCCCGGAGGAGGAAATGGCTGTGGTAGATGAGGAGGTTGTCGAGGAGGCGGATGAAGATGTTGAGGAGCCAAAGGCTCTAACCAAGAAGGTAGCTGGAAATTGCGGAGCGAGGTCAAAGCCGGGGAGGAAAGCCATGCGAGAAGATAGCGACGAGGAGCAAGACGGTGTATGGGGGTTCATTGGCCAGCCCTTTTCCCGGGAGGAGGCCGGACGGAGATGGCCCCATCGATATAAGGTGCCTGTTCTAGCCATACGGGCACTTATCGAGCTTGCCTTTTGTAAGCCTTTTATTTGATTAGGAATCAGAGATATTTTCCTGCTCATTTGTTTATCGTGATGCCAGGGATCCAAACGGAAGGGTGGACCCTTGGTCAATGCGTAAGTGTCAGCGAGATAGCGTCTTCCTTGCATATCTATGTGATACCTGGTTCGGTTGAACGTTGAGGGAAATTGTATCGCTATTTTGTCGCAGGGAAGAGGAAGAAGTCAAGGCGAAGTGTCACTACCGTAAGGCGCGAGTTGATCACTGCACATACGAATTACATGATCATGTTTATGTCCAGGTAAGTTGACGTTTTGAAGTTTCAGTTGTATCTAAATGGTATCGATTACACGAAGTATGCCGGTTTTATTTTTCCTAATATTCGTTGCATTCTCCTTTGTCGTGGTCGAAAATTGTAGATTAGATCGTTTTGTGTTCTTCCCATCTTAATTGTCTTTAGCTGTATAGTCCTTATGTGCATTTGCTTGGCATGCCACCATCCGGCCTTTCTAGTTGACGTGGGATGTATTGCATCGGTTTCAAGCTCTACTGCCATATCTCTCGATTTTTTTTTTATCTCTGCCTATATTTTCTTGTAATAAATATCTAATAATTCCTTTGATGGTAAACGCTGTGAACGTCATTATCTTACATTTCTAGTTCCTTTGACATAATCAGTGGCATAATGCTAATAGTTACCACAGGCTAAAAATTCAGAAAAATGTTACATTCAAGTGGATCTGAAGTAGCTCTATGCTTCCTTTCTAGATGAAGCTTTTGAATGCAGATTATGTCTACAGTGGATGAGTTGCGAGAGCACCTCGAAAGATGAGAAACTAATGCATTCTTCTGTAGTATTTTTGTATTCATCTCCTGCTCCGTACTACTCTTTTCTTCCCTTGTTACTGTTCATTTCCTTGTCCATCTTATTCCCCCGAGATCTATGAAGCATTCTTTTTGTTTTATTTTTGATAACCATTCCCCTGTTCTTATTCGTCCTCTTCATAAGCCTCTTATCATATTGCGTTTTGACATTTGGGGAACATTTGTCTGGAAATTGCCAGGCATGTGAGATCTGAAAACTGGTCATGGGTGTTCAATACTGATGGGTCGAATACCCATTTGTTGGTGTTACATGTTGAAACTTATAGGACCTAAAAATGATGATCAGGACAGAAATAGTACATCATAATTTCAAGAAATCAGCCACTATAAAAGATTGATATATTGACAGACTGATCTACTGTCGCATGCTGTGTTATATAAAGGGGCTTTAGCCCAAAAAGACAAAAAGCAAAACCAGACTTTACCTGAAAAGAATTTAATAGGAACTAATTTTTAGTGTTATAACTGAAAAAACACCCGTTAGTTACACTAAACTGACAAAAAAAGAAACCAGATTACACCGGTTTAACTGAATGGCCTTGCAACTTCTTGAAGACATCAAATCTCTCTCTCTCTCTCTCTCTCTCTCTCTCTCTCTCTCTCCCCATCGCTATCTCTTTGTCAAACAGCATGCTATTTTTCCACTCATTTAGAATTTGATTTTAATATCCTACATCTAAATGTTAGCTGTATGATTAAATGATATTTATGTTTGACTTAAATTTCTTATGATCCACTTTTTTCACTCATTTATTTATTTTCTGTCGTTTGTTGACTCAACAAAAGGAACGACACGAGATTTTTTTTTTACCATTCATTTTTATTAGTTTTGCGTAATTTGGCTTGTTGAAGTGGATTCGGAGGCAGAATATGTATTAAGATAGAATTCCACAAGTCTTATGTTTTTTTGTGCATCAAACTCTTTTTTTTTAGTGCTATTTGGAACCCTAATGTTCACTTGTGTTTAATTTTTCTCAGGCTGGAGAAGGAGAACCACATTACATTGGACGCATAGTGGAGTTCTTTGAATCAATGGACAAAAAGTATTATTTTACTTCACAATGGTTTTTTCGAGCAGAGGACACTGTAAGCTATTTAGCCTTTTTGGCAAATTTAAACTACTCATAACATGGGTTCTCATGGTATTTCCATATGTTAAAAAGGTTTTGAAGGATCATGGCAGAGCCCATGATGAGAGGCGAGTATTTTTGTCAGAGGAGAAAAATGACAACATTTTGGATTGCATTATCTCAAAGGTCAAAATTATTCGAGTTGCACCCAATGTAAGCTGTCTATTGTTGATAAATAAATTCTTCTTGGGCTTGAAATTCATGAAAAATTTATTCTTTATCTTTTATCGTTCTAAATGAACTTGTAGTTTGACTTGGAGGTAAAGAAGAGAAACATACTGCCATATGATTTTTACTACGACATGGCATACAACCCTTCATATGCAACATTTGCAAATTTTCCTGCAGGTAGGCCATTCGCTGCATCTTTTCCTGGTTTCTGAATAACCTATGCAATTCATGTGCTTGATTCGCTATTTTTGACTTCATACCGTTCAGGAGAAGGAACGGGTGGTAGTGAGACCGCATCTTCCACACTTTCCTTAGAAGAAGATTCTTCTAGTCATTTGAAGTATAAATCTGAGTCTTGTTCTGCTCGTGACACTGGATTGAAGGCTACTGCTTCACTTCTTGACCTTTACTCTGGCTGTGGAGCTATGTCCACAGGGTTGTGTTTTGGAGCACAGCTATCTGGCATGAACCTAGAAACTGTATGTGGAATTTTTTCATTTTGGTTTTGAAGATTTCTGGAATTAATTCTTGTTTAAACTGTGACATTCTTAAGCTCTCTTTGTGTAGAGATGGGCTGTTGACTTCAACGAATATGCATGTGAAAGCCTGAAGTTGAATCATCCTAATGTGGAGGTATTGTTATTAGTTTTATAAATGGTAGAAAGCTTGTATAGTCTATTTTATATTCATACGTATCATGGTACCCAAATCGTACAGTAATGCGAAACTTGTTTCTGATAGGGTTTCTTTTTTGCTTTTATTCATACGTTATCATTTTTTGGGGGTTTCTTTACACTGGCGTTATGCAAAGCAATGTTTATTTATTTATTTTCACTATATCAGGTACGGAATGAAAAAGCTGAGGATTTCTTGGCACTTCTAAGAGAATGGGAAACACTTTGCAGGAAGTTCTCTTTAATTGGTTGTGATAATTCTTCATCTGATGAGAGAGAATCGTGTGTGGAAGATGAAGATTATTATGAAGAAGAGGGTACCTCCATCTCTTGTGGTGAATATGAAGTAGGCCGGATTGTTGGCATTTGCTATGGTGACCCTAGCAACATTGGGAAAGTTGGCCTAAAGTTTAAGGTATGGAAAATGATACATTTTCGACACATTGGGGCACCTGTGCATTGTTTAATTGCCATTCTTTCATCGACACTTATATCGATTATATTTGATAGTTATTGATGCTCATTCATTAGGACTTCAATGCATTTTACAATGAACTTTATGTAGTGACATTTGGGTGAGGCAGGTTAAATGAGCAAGGCAATGACCTACTCAAGGTTCAACCGAGGATTCCGATTCTTAACGATTTAATGTTACGTGGCTGGTCATTTTGTGATTTTGTGCTGTTTTTGTTTAAGGTTTTCAAGTGGATTGCCATGTTTTTACATTCCTGAATGTTTCTGCGGTTATAACTTTAGATGCATGCTATCTGAATTTTTATTTTAATTAGAAATACTTTGTGATTCTAAATGTCCTGAAAATTCAGGTTCGTTGGAAGGGTTATGGTCCCACTGAAGACACGTGGGAGCCAACCGATCATTTAGGGTATTCATTTGCATGCAACATACACTCTTTCTGTTCTACATTCACTCTTTTTATTTTTTCTTGGTTTTTGTTATTAGGGTTGAGTTACTCTCTACAATTGCTTGTTCCTGTTGGATGTTTGTGGGAAATAAATTGTTAACTTATTTTTTTTCATCAGCAAATGCAATGAACGGATTGAAGACTTTGTGAAACGAGGTTACAAGTCCCACATTTTGCCTCTCCCTGTATGTCAATGTCTTTTCATGTCCTCTTTTTCCCTTCACATGTATTAGTTTTATAGATGCACTGATAATGCTTTCTACTACTTGGTGCTGTTAGGGACAAGTTGATGTTGTCTGTGGAGGGCCTCCTTGCCAAGGAATCAGTGGCTTTAATCGCTTTAGGAATTATAGTGCGCCTTTGAACGATCCAAAAAACTTACAAATGCAGATATTTATGGAGATTGTGAACTATTTAAAGCCAAAATATGTATTGATGGAAAATGTTGTAGACATTCTTAAATTTGCTGGAGGTTATTTGGCCAAATATGCTGTTAGTAGGCTTGTTTCCATGAGCTACCAAGCTCGACTCGGAATGATGGCTGCAGGTTGCTATGGTTTGCCTCAATTTAGAATGCGGGTTTTCCTTTGGGGTGCACGTCCAAGTGAGGTGAGCTTAATCAATGCGATCATTCCCTGTAGTTTCGTTTCTTTGACTTATCAAATTCATTTTCCAATGCAGTCCCTCCCACAATTCCCTTTGCCTACACATAACGTCATTGTACGAGGCAATATTCCTAATGAGTTTGAGGTATGTAATGAAGCGTATCTGATGCCATTCTTTTTGACTTTTGTCAGTATAATAATTTCAATGATTTAATTGCAGCAATGTGTTGTGGCTTATGATGAAGATCAACCTCGTGATCTTGATGATGCCTTAGTACTTAAAGATGCGATCTCCGACCTTCCTCTGGTAAGGGTTAATAATGATAAGTTCGCTTAGTGGGAAGGACTGTTCTACGCTGTCATGCTCTTCTATCTCAACCAATTGGCAATGACCTGCGTGAACTCTATACATTCTCCTAATCTTATTTTGGTCTTTTTCATTGCAAGACTAATCCAAAAAGGTCTCTCCTATTCAACTTGACTTTTTTATTCTTTGCCCAATAAAAAAAGCAGAAATATGATTTTGCAGCTAGAGAATGAACATTAGCTTCAATACCTCTCGCTAAATCTTAGGAAACCCAAGGCAAAAATAAATCAGTGGAATAAGGTATGTATATTTTTACATGGTTTTTTTTTTTTGGTCAACATGGGACTGTTCTACCAAAATCTTTCTGCTAACACACCCTTTGCCTTATTCCATGTAACCTAAATGCGATAATCGGTATTAATATCTTGTTAAAAGATTGTGCCATTCAACTTAAAAACCATTTGGGATGAGAAGATTAAGCCTAACTGTACAATCACCTGTTCAAACATGTCCTTCAGGTGCAAGAAATTTTTGGGATCATCGTAACAACAATAACACGACTTGCTTACCTGCGCTTCATTATTTGTTTAGGTCCGAAATGATGAAAAAAGAGATGAAATGTCCTATGGACGGCCTCCTAAAACTGGCTTTCAACAATTTATTCGAGCTACTCAGTCAGGTTAGTGATTTTGGTCTTAATGGTCTTGGGTAATTTTAAAGTTCAGTTAAGACATGTGCATATGTTCCTTCTCCATCCTTCAATTCTTCATTATTCTTCTTGCTTTATGTTAGGACTTTGAGGGGCCTTACGTCAGAAGAAGTTAGAGGGCATCTAGGTCACATGATGGTTACGTTGGGAGCGTTTTTAGGGTGTCAAGTGGATGCATTGTAGTAGAGGGTTAGTCGTCTCAAAAGGCCAACAACGGGACTCCAGACTCTAGGGCTCTTCCTCAAATACTATCCAGTGTGATTGTTCTATTTTGTGTGTCCAATCTTCATTTTGCCTTATTTTGTTTTGGAGTTCTATCAACTGATAACATAGCCATGGAAGAAAGGCCAACATCCTACAGGTTTCACGTTTGTTGATACTCTAGTCCCATGATGGCAGGGTAGACATTTTGGAGAAAGAAACAACAACATTGAAGTCCGAAAAGGCTGACATGAAATTTGGGATGGCTGAGGCGAAGTCCAAGATAGGAGAAATGAAGTTCAAACTACAACAACTACCTGAAATCAAGAAGAATATAGAGAGCCTGGATCAGGGCATGGTTCAAATCCTATGCACGTTAGATGACCGGCAAACATCAGTCCAGGCATTGACAGGATTGAAAGAAAAACAGACTTGTGGAAGAGGGGGAAATGAGTGCATTAATGCTGATACCAACCTGGGCTGATGAAGAACCAATGCAGAGAAGAGAGAATACAGGCACAAGAATGGAATTTTTTATAGGTCCGAGATTAGTTGTAGAGTCAATTGGTGACATCAAGCCTCAGAGATCAGGATGATTTTGGAGATGCCACTATTCAGTAGAGGGAATCTTGATGGATGCTCCATGTTGAATTGTTCTTCTCCATGAATAAGATGGAGGCAGAAAGATTGATGGTGACATAAGTTTTGAAGATGAAGTATGATAGAGTACCCCTCAAGACATGTTCATCAGAAGTGAACAGTCTAGAAGCTGCTATAGTGAACATTAGGGAAGGAGTGGGTTGATCGGTATAAATACCCCTTCACTGTGAATAAGAGGGGGTATTGTGGTAGAAGGTCATGAGAGAAAGGAAGAGAGGGGAATTCTCTCAAACTAATTCCCATCTGTTTCATTGTTTTCTCTGTTTTCTTTGAGGACATTTTTCGTTATCCCTTCTTTGTCCAAGAGGAGAGAAGGGGATCGTATCAAAGTGTTGGTGTGGTTTAAGTGGACTGACGTGAAAGTGGAAAACCCTTTTATGAATCGGAAGGATTGAAACACCAACTGCTGCAGTGTTTTGGCTCGTCATACGTGGGAAGCACATGCAAATAATGTTTGTATGTAAAACACCAGGGATCAAGTGGAGAATAAAAGAGAGATTTTAAAATCATGTTTGCTTCAATGAAAAGATTATCTAAGGAAGTAGTAGAGAGTACAATTAAAAAAGGCTTTAAGTCAGAGATTGAGACAAAGATCAGAGTTTCTAAATCCTTCAGTCTAAATTCAATTATGGAGACAGAACAACTAGTAGAAGAAAAGAACAGCATCACTCAGAATTATGGCCACAGTACAGCAGTTTCATGGATTCTACCCTGAAGACAAGGTGGACCTTACAGGAGGGGAGTAATGTCAAGACCTCAATGGGCCTTATATCAAGAGTTAGAGGTTATGTGGGTCACATGAGTGTTAAGTTGGGGGCATTTTTGTAAGAGGGGTGAAATGGGATATTGTGACTGGATTATGGGAGGAAAGTTTACGGATTGTTTCTAGGGTTTCAGGTAGTGACATTGCAAGAGACTATTAGCCCTCTCAAAAGGCTAACAAGGGGATTCTAAACTCTTGGAGGGGATCCCGTGTGATTTTTCTATCTTCTGCATTCAATGTTCATTTTCTGTCTTGTTTTGTTGCGGAGTTATATCAGAGTTCCATCACTTTCTTCTTCGCTATCAATCATATTATTTCCTTTATTTTATTTATACCAAAAAGGTGATGTATTGCCACTAATTGGAAATCTATTTAGACAGGAGAGAACACTAATGGTTTTTTGTCTCATACATCATCAATGGGTGGCCATAACAATGGAATTATCTGCAACAATACTTTCATATGTTGATTACTTTGTGATAATAAATTCAGTATCATCGTTCTTGTTTTTCAGTCAGTCATATAGACAAATTGGGATTTTGCAAACGTAAGAAATGGGAAGTGTATGCATTTTTATGAGGTTCATGAAGGCATATTTATTCTTCCTTTGTATTGGGCTTAGTCTATTTAGTTGTTCTTTCGGTTTGTTCACCTCTCTCTCCTCTCTTTTGCACTGGTCTTGTTTGGTCTTAGGCTTGGGTCATCCTCAGTATAGGACTTGGTCTTTGGGCTTGTTCCCTCTCCTTGGTTGGTCCTCTTTGGATCTTGTTCCCTCTTGGTGATCCTTATCGGATCTTGGTCTTTTTGGTCCTATTCGAATCTTCTTCCCCTTTCCCTCTGATCTCTCCTGGCTGGTCCTTTTGGATCTTGTTCTCCCTCTGATTTTGTCCTCTTCGGATTTTGCTCCTCCCACTCTTGGTCTGTATCGGACCTTTGTTGCTTGTTCTCTCATTCTCTCTTTTTGGTTGGTCCTTATAGGATCTGGTTCCCTTCTCCTTATCTTCTTGGTGATCCTCATCGGTTCTTGGTCTCAGTGGTCCACTTTGGATCTTGCTCCTCCCTCTCTTGGTCCATATTGGATTTTCTTTGCTCGCTCTCTCTTGGTTGTCTCTTGATTGTCTCTCTCTCTTGGTGGCTTGCTCATCTCTCCCCTCTCCTAGTACTCATTTCTTGACTAGAGAAAAAAGATCTGATAGCTTTGATGGTTAAGCTGGTTCCAAGTGTTGAACTTATGTCGCTTTGGAGCCAAGGGTAGAACTTGATCACTTTGGTGTATTTAAGGATATTTTGCAGGTCGATGGACATTTGCAACCATCTGTTTGGCAAACTCTTGATGTTTACAACATCATTAGTTTGAGGGGCGGTTAGATATAGTTGTAGAATGGGCTTATCATATCGTGGTTTATGGGCCTATATTTTGCGTTACTATTATGCGCTTGACATATTTTGTCATTGTCATGTTATGGTCCTTGTAATATTATCCTAGGGTAATACGAGGGTTGCTTGTGTGCGGCCTTTTGTTCTTCCGCTACAACATCATTAGTTTGAGGGGCGGTTAGATATAGTTGTAGAATGAGCTTATCACATCGTGGTTTATGGGCCTATATTTTGTGTTACTATTATGCGCTTGACATATTTTGTCATTGTCATGTTATGGTCCTTGTAACATTATCTTAGGGTAATACGAGGGTTGCTTGTGTGCGGCCTTTTGTTCTTCTGCTGCCTCATCTTTCTTCCTCATCCCCCTCCCCCGCTCCCCCTTCTCTCTCTCTCTCTCTCTCTTGTTAATGCAGTATCACTCTCCCCTCTCTCTATATTTGTTAACACACTGGATCCATAAGCTAATGAGAGCTACTGGGTTTTAGTATCATTGGAGTAAGGGATGGAAGGTGCATTTCCAAGGTGACACAAAGTGGTTGGTAAATTGTGACATGTATAGGGACCAGTCTGCATCTCTTTATGAAGTGAGATTCCTCTGCACGAGGGTCTCGATAACAAGGACTGGAATTATAAATATTAAATATTGTTTGGTTTATTGTAGAGATGGGAGGCTCATCCAATAAGGATCAATGCTTGTCACAACATAACAAACTCTATGACCACCGTCCTCTCAAGTTAAATCAAGATGACTATGAGAGAGTGTGCCAAATCCCAAAGAAAAAGGTTTGTTGTAATTTTTGTGCTTTAATGTTCTACATATTGTAGTTTTTGGTCATTATCAACCAAAATGATGCTATTATTAATTTTTATCAAAATAGGGAGCCAATTTTAGAAACCTACCTGGTGTACGAGTTCGTGATGATAATACTGTTGAATGGGACCCTAATACTGAAAGGGTTTATCTGGCTTCTGGGAAACCATTGGTACACTTTTTTAATTTATACTTGTATGATTTTCAATTTTAATGAGAGGATGGACAGTGACGCTCATACTTTCAGAAAAAAAATCATGTGATATAGGTTCCGGATTATGCAATGAGCTTCATAAAAGGGAAATCTTGCAAGTATGTATACCTTTTAATAGCCTTTCCCTTCGACTAATTTGGCATCTTATTCACGCTTAAAACACTTAACAGGCCTTTTGCCCGACTTTGGTGGGATGAGACAGTTCCCACGGTGGTCACCCGGGCTGAGCCTCATAACCAGGTCTGACAATAGCAGTACATTTTTACTTTTCTCTACAGAACTTTACTGTCTTTGTCCAAAATCTGCACTGGTGGTGTTTGAACAATGGCAATTTTCAATTTCTTGTTACCACTTCGATTATTTGCATCACTCCTTTTTTACTGTAGAATGATCGTATGTGATTTCATTTTGCTTGATTCCAGGCTATTTTACACCCTGAGCAAGATAGGGTTCTAACAATAAGAGAAAATGCAAGACTTCAAGGTTTCCCAGATTATTACAGGCTTTGTGGTCCGATTAAGGAGAGGTATCCTACTACTTTGTTTTTCATTCCTTGTCAGTCGATAGGATAGGACAGTCTTATTCCATTTCCATGGGTATTATCTTCATCTTTCAACTGTATATGATATGACAATCATCAGGTTGTAACCAGTACATAGACATTTTTTCCATGGTCTTTGCCTAAATAATGCTTTGTTGTGGTCAGATTTGTGTGCTAGAATCCTAGAAAAAGATACAAAATCCCTCAGTATGAAGCATTTATTGCAGTAGTCTCTTTTAGAAGCATGGCTAGAAGTCAAAAAGTGTTTGAAACGTTGGACTGGGGATAAAATCACTTCAGTTTCTTGTTCCATCTTATATTGATCAACAGAAGAAAATATCAGGTAAAAGTGGAGGAGCAAATTTAGAAGTCTTGTAGAGTGAAGGGAAATATTGCTCTGCCCTGGGGTTAAACTTGTGCTAGGGTGGTGTTAATAACACATGTTTAAGTGTATACCTTTTTTTTTTAACCAACAGTCTCCCTATTTCGATGTTTAAAAGTGTAAACATCTAATGTAAAATCCCAAGTGTTCTTGGTGATTTCTAGAGTAGATATTCTTCTAAGGATAGACTTACGTCTTTCTGGGTTTTAATATTGTTGGCATGAAGATGTCATACAATATATGAGAATTTAATACATAAAAATGTAATGTCCAATGTGTAAAATGAACTGATTGTAGACATAGATTCACAAAGTAGATACGTGACAGGACTCTGATACGACCACACTACTGACCTATAGAAGACGTAAGGAGTCATGTGACTGGGGTATAAATACAGCATGAGATGGGGGGGTATTCTGGATAGGCTAGAAACCTCTCGAACATTTTCCCCATCCCTGTACTCTTCTTTCCCTCTTCTTTCCTGTTATCTGAATAGACTGTCATCCCAAAGCTTGTTTCTCGTCACTGACGAGAGTCCGTGAGTTTAATACAAGTATTTTGCCTCTTCTATTTCACCCAGATTCGATCCTCCCTTAGAGGATCGTATCAAACTCCTAGGATATTGGCTTAAGTTTGAGGAAAATAGAGAGAACACACAAGGATTGAAGCAAGAACAGATTGAAATAGAAAAGGGGAAAAGAAATAGGGGAGGGTTCCGAAGGGACCCTAGAACCAGTTTAGGAACGCATTCGAGAGCTGGGACACGCAAGTCTACTTTCAAAAGTGCCCCCAAATGAAGGCCCCTCAAGGAGCCTATACCGACCTCCTTATCGGGCCCCTAGGCCCACCTAGGACCTTACCTTCCCTCTTTGGGTGTAAGTAACTTGGGCGGTGGGCCTGGTAATGGACCTAACAGTTTGGGTCCTAACATTATCCCCCCATATTTGTTACACGTTGTTCACTAGGTGGAAGTTAGGGAACTGGCGATTTATGTCTGATGTTACTTCCTAAAGTAGCTTCAAATTCAGGTTGTCTCTTTCATCAATGAAGGAAGTAAGGGGCTGGATGTAGGAATTCTTGCCATTTGCCTTCTTCAGTTGAGAGATATGAAAAAGTTGTATCTGAGTAGAGGCTAATAGATCCAGCTTGTAGGCAACAGCACCCATTATCTTGAAGATGTTGGGGTACTTGAGTAAGAAGGTGGTCATGTTGTTCTACATTTGAACTATGGATAAGTATGTCATCAAAAACACCAGTGGAAAATTCTAGAGGAATGATTTGAAAAATTGATTCATTAGGGCTTGAAATGTGATCAGAGCATTCTTGAGCCCGAAGGGCCTTGCCAGGAACTCATAGTGCCCTTCATGAGTCCTAATTTTTTTTTTTATGTATATAAGCCTCATGCGTTCGGATTTGATGGTTATTGGACTTTGAATTCAACTTGGAAAAGATTGTGATTGTGTGTAGCTCATTGATTAATTCGTCAACAGTAGGTGTTGAAAAGTTGTGTGGTATGGTAATCTTGTATAGTCCCCTATTATCAACACAACCTCTAGCAGCTATCTTTTTTTTAACTAACAAGACCAGATTGGCAAAAGAACTCGTTGAGGGCTGAATGATTCCGATATCACACATTTATCTCGCCAATTTACAATTTCATTTATTTGGAATTGTGAGTAGTAATAAGGATGTATAATAACAGGGCCCTTACTTGCCTTCCTTAAGCACGATGTGGTGATCGGCCGCCTTATCGGGTGGAAGTTCATCATATAGGGCAAAGACCCTTGGGAAATTGTCTGCCAGTTGTCACTCAATCAGTTGTGGGTGCTTATGTAGCTCCCTTGATCAATTGACATAGTCTCATAAATAGTTTCTCCCCTTGTTGGAAATCACAGGCTATTGACTCAAGAGATACTCCTAATTTATAGAGATGGTAATACATCTGAAGGCGACCATGGTGCCTCCTCTCATGGGGAACTTCATTTGGAGTCGTTTCCAGCCCACCCATGTAAACTCCAAGGTCTTCAGCCATTACATCCCTAATATAACATGTGTTGCCCAACTGTAAGGGCAAATAATCATCACTCACCTTGATCCCTTACATTTATAAGACAATTCTTTGACATATTCCTCGCCCTCTAATTATTGTGCCATTTCACATGACTACCCCATAATTTGTGGTGATTGATAAGGGTAGTTTCAACTCTCGAGATATGAAGCTATGCATAGCTCCACAGTCCAACGACATGATGAGATCCTTGTCCTTGATATTCCCCTTCAGCTTCATGGTACCCAGCATAGATAGGCCAGTGACTGAATTAAGGGAATTCTCAATACTACCTTCTTCAATATCACCTTGCTTATTGATTGGGCTGGGCGATGGTGCATTGTTTAGCATCTTCTCCTAAGTCTTCCTCGTCATCATGAACTAAAAATAGTTGTAGTTCCCTTTTACACATATGCGACCCGTTATATACAGTTATGCACCATGTGATGCGCAATGTGTTATGCTTGTCATTGCTGTTTGTATCATGTGGTCGTTTAGACAGTGACTTATATTTATTTCGTTATTATCATAACAAGAACTTAATTGTTAGCTTTTTGAAAAACCTTTTAACGAAATGTGGAGAAGAAAGAAGAACACAGAGAGGAAGAGGAAGAAATACTATTGCTTTCCATTCCTCGCATCACTGTCACCCTCTACTTTTCCTTTTTTCCATGCGGTATGAGGTTCAAGCACAAGCTAATGAGATGAGGTATCATTAACAGAATCACTGAGTGGCTTTTTGTCATATGTAGCCACATATTTTTCTATGTTTACATTTCTATGTCATCCAGTCACTTTGCCTGGTTAGTAAGACACTGGGCCATTGCACTGGCTACCTTAGGATTCACTTAATGTATAAAAGGCACGATGGAGTACTGACACTTGTAACCATGTTTCTTTATTCAGCAATTTGCATGCCCTTTAAGAAAACATTAAAAATGAAGTTACTGATATCAATTATTTGTGCACTGCTATTATCATGAATTCATGATAATCATTAATTAGGTACTATGAGGATAATGGGATGTGGTGCAACCCTCATCCATCCTAATTCATGAAGTATAGGCTGGAGGATTGGCCATTGAAAGACCCTCTCCTAGTTTTTTAGCCATATCATTGAATGATTCTCGCCATTTGTTGATTTCGTATGGAGTAACCAGCAGAAAAATTGACATTTCTCGACATGAACTCTCTTTGACGTAAAAAGTATGCTGATTTTGTAACTTAACTGGCATCCTAATTCATAATCAAACATTGATCTTCTCCAGGTATATCCAAGTTGGGAACGCTGTTGCTATTCCTGTTGCTCGTGCCCTTGGCTATGTGCTTGGTCTAGCATATCAAGGCCTATGTGGGGATAATTATGTTCTTGAGCTTCCTCACAAGTTCCCTCAGCTCGATGGCCTCTCATCAGTTAACATTTCAGAAACCGAGAACGATGTCATTGACAACTGATCATTCGATGTCCTACTCATAAACTATTCCATTTATGGTATCAAATGATTCCTTCCACATAAAATTTTTGACCTTGCTATTTTTATGTATTCAATCTGATGGTCCATATTTACTTGCTAGGACCTGCCGAGTTGGCATCAGCCATGCATATCTCTATTGGATTTTTTATGCCCTTAATTAGTATAATGGATGTTTAAACCGCTGCTGACTATTTTTGGAAGGCACCATTCACTGATCACTCTCTGTCAATAATTATGTAGTTTTCCTTTATTTGTGTTTTTTTGTCTTTCTATTATTCTTAGTTGCCTTTTATTTTTTTTTAGTCGTTCTGGATCAGATCAGTTTGGTGTTTGTCCAGTCTGGCCCACATTGTAACTAACAGGCTGATGTAAGAACCAGTCTAATGTTAAACATAATTGTGAGCACGCTTTCAGGGCTTCAGCTTGTTCTGCTACCTTTTTACTATCTGTCTCCATCTCATTGTCTATCTCTCCATCGCCTGAGTTTTTAGAGCTTGGAGGAGAGCAACTTTTGATTTCGGCATATGAGAAAACATATTATCTGTGAGGCACCCAACATGACGATGCCAAAATTACGAATCGATAAGAGTAAAAGTAGAATTCAAAGGGGAGGGGGAAGTAAGAGGGACAGTATTGTAAAAATGGGAGAGTGAGAGGAGGAGAGGAGAAGGTTAAGATAAGAGATTGAACTTAACATGGGACTTTGAGGAGCCCCAACCTCATGAGTTTTGTAATACCCTCTTCTTTTCCCTGATCCAACCCTTAGTAATGACCTAGACATTAGTGAGCTGGTTATTGAGCTTCCTATGAGTGTAAGTTAGGCCTAGTGGCCTAATAGTATTAAAGCCTATTGATAGGTGCCATATATTTTAATTCATCTTTTGGCAACATTGACAAACATGAATGATTGATTTGTGCATTGTTTGTTGTGGCAAATCATTTCTTTGTGAGTCTATTTTCACAAATGTATACAACACATTATTATCTACTTGAGGTTTTTAATTGGGCAAATAATTTATTTTGCATTGTTAAACCATTTTGAAAGTGAGTTTGCTTTCTTTGCATTGATGGATTATTTGTAGATCATTCTTTTGTTGTGAATTATATTACAAAAGAGTGGCAGTTGAGATTATCTTGTGACATTATTATATGGTTGGTTTAGAAATGATAGAAGTCAGTCTACATAGTAAATATTGTTATTTCACGGTTTGATCAAACATGAAATATTTAGAATTACTTGTAATTCTATAGGCAAACTTTAGGTTATTTAAATTACTTTGGATGATTTCAGCAAGTTAGAATGTGAGTCATTAAATCTAGCTCACAAATAAGTGATCTCAATTTCAGGATGAATTCAAGTAGCTTCAAAAAGAATGGCATGATTATGAATCACAATTGCCTTTAAAATTATAAGAATGTATTTACATCTTCTCATAGTTAAGGATATTTAAGAAAAATTACCTTACATTAAATTTACTCTATAGTTGATAATGTGGTTCAATTATATGAATTGATAATGAAAATGATGAATTTATGATGAGGAGAAAACTCAATGTAGTATGCAAATAAATTGATGACCCTATGGTAGGAATTTGACTAATATCAAATGAGTTATTTAAAGGCTCCAAGAGTATATGTAATATGTAAAGATGTGATGGAGAGGACCCATATGATTATTTAATAGGTCTTAATTCAGAATTTGATCAGCTAAACGTAAATTATTAATTGAGAAAGTGCACCACCCTTCAATAAAATAATACCTTAATTAAGAGACAAGAGACTTGAAAGAAATTTCATGCTGATTTCATATGGCACTGATATCAATCCATTTATAGTTAGAGCTGCAGATTTAAATAAGAATAGATCTTAATTCTAGCAAAAAACAAATTCTAACATTAAGAATTGTGATTATTGAGATAGTTCATGATGCTCAAGATAGGTGTTATAAGCTTGAGGATAAATTGTCGCCTCATGACACACATCTTGAAGGTAATGGTCAGACTTATATTTCAATTTAATAATCTCAAAGAACAATCATAAGTTACCAAACTTACTTTGTGATACATCCACATCAAGAGAAGATTAATAAGGTTGAATCATTTTTAATGACATACTTTTTCATTCAACTAGGTGAGCTTCCTAATTGTTTAAAAAACTAATACTTTTTCTAATTGTTTGGATCATTAGATCATAGTATATTTTCTAAATATACCCATTGCCCTAGCAATCATAAGGTTGCCACAATAAATGGCTCTTCAATCTCTTTATGTAATGTCCTTATATTCTTAAATTAACCACAATTTTAATATATATTAGTAAATTTATCATTGATTTCATATTCTAATGTATTTTGTTATAATTTGTGTGTCATGTGACAAGGTATGGGACAAGATGATTAGACATGTTATGGAGGAGGTAAACTCTATAGTTAATCTCACATTGTAAAAGAAGCGAATTAGTCCTCTATTGAACCTCACTCACTAAACTTGAAGAAATTTTCACTTTATCATCAAAGACAGTATTCCTCTTTTGTACTAATTTAGATTATTTTTCCTTATTTATTTCACAATATAAAAATTGAAGAGTTCAATGAGACTAGGTGAAACATAAGAAGGGGGATGAATTGATTTTCTACATTTTATATTATATTCTCATTTTTTCATCTATGAGTAGATGTGTTGACATATATTTTCACACAACTTCCACATGCTAAGTATGGGTTTATTCAAGGGTCAGTCTCTTTCTTTCTCTTTCTCAATGGGTTACCTCTCAACTCTCTTGTCACCACTAAGGACACAAATAATTTTTATATTGATTCATCCCTCACCTAACTACTTATAGTTCTGAATGATCTTTCTTATTGAAATTCATTATTTCTTCTCATAAATACACACTAATTTAATAAGATGAACAACTTAGTCAATCTGATCTCCCTAGATATCACACTCTTCATGCATACAATTAAGCTCTCAACATTATGTGGTTTAGCCCAAATTCATCTCTACTCACAACCCAAGTGCCTTAGGGTCTAAAAGAGAGTCAATTTTTGAAAAAAATGTTACATTGTATCACTAACGTCAAATGAAGGATTGATGTAACTTTCAGTTCTTTATCGAAGATCATGATAATTGAACCTTGAAAGAGGAGAAATAATGTTTTATAGAGTATAGATAGTCATTAGAGTATTTGTTCATATTAATTTTTCTTCTTCTTTGTAAACTTTTCCTTTTTATTTTTCAATGTTCTAGTTTTTTTGTGTCTTAAAAAATGGTCATGCGAATCCAAAAATCTTATTGTTATTCTGTCTATGCACTAATGACATTTACTCATTCTTTTCTTTGAAGCTTGTCATTCTCACATCCATTTTATTTGAAACTTAGTATGCAGATTTGTAACTTATAAACAACATTTTTATTATTGAGGTCAAGTCTAAATAAGTCCATTTGATTTGTCATAATTTCTACATGTTATGTTGACATGTCATCATCTAGAATGTGTGACAGTGACTTTTCCCCTTATGTGATTTTCTTAATGTCTTCTCTGATATGCTTTTGATGTGTCATTGTACATGTTACAAATTTGAGTCATGCCGGTGTGTTTGTTACTTTATGATTTGAAGACATTTTACTCATTAAGGCTTTAAACTTTTCTTCTTTTAAGTTCTAAGTTTGAATCATACCAATGTCTTTGTTACTTCATTATTTTCAGCCATTTTACTAATTGAGGCTTTCAACTTTACATTATTCAGGTTCTAAGTTCAAATTATGTTAGTGTATTTGTTATTTTGATATTTTTAGGTATTTTGTTGTTAAGGTCTTAGACTTATCGATGTGTTATGTTGACATGTCATTGTCTAGAACATGTGACAATGACTTTTCCTCTTAAGTGACTTTCTTTATGTCTTCTCCCATATGCTTCAATGTGTCGTTGTACATGTTTTGAATTTTGAATCATGTAGTGTATTTGTTCCTTTATGATTTTAAGATATTTTAGTCATTAAGGCTTCAATCTTTCCATCTTTTAAGTTCTAAGTTTGAATCATACCAATGTCCTTGTTACTTTATTATTTTAAAACATGTTACTCATTGAGGCTTTCAACTTTACATCGTTCACATTATGAGTTTGAATCATGTGTGTCTTTGTTATTTTTACATTTTTAAGCATTTTGTCGCTAAGGCTTTAGACTTGTTAGTGTGTTATGTCGGCATATCATCGTCCAAAACATGTGACGATGACTTTTCCCCTTATGTGATTTTTTTAATGTCTTCTCTAATATGCTTTTTGATGTGTCATTGTACATGTTACAAATTTGAGTCATGCTGGTGTGTTTGTTACTTTATGATTTTAAGACATTTTACTCATTAAGGCTTCAAGCTTTTCATCTTTTAAGTTCTAAGTTCAAATGCTGATGTTTGTGTTGCTTCATTATTTTCAAACATTTTACTCATTGAGGCTTTCAACTTTACACCGTTCAAGTTCTAAGTTCAAATTATGTTAGCAATGTTGATAGTTTGATATTTTTCAGATACTTTGTTGGATGTGATTTCTTGTAATTATATACAAACTCTATGATGTTGTCTTAAATTTCAGCATTTAAATATCTCAAGAAATAACTCATTAGATTCATTTATTAGTCATAGAATTGAACAATTATCATCATAATACACATTAGATATTTCTCAAAAATATTAAAATTTTAATATAAGTTCTCATAATGTTCATAAAACATTATGTAAATATTTAATAAATAATTTTTTACTTGTAGCATCAAAATCAAGGACATCAATAGAAATTATCATATTTCATTATAATATTTGTGAATTTACAAAATATAAATATATGACTTTTCCTAAAAAATAATATAAAAAATTCTATTTTATTTTCCATATTTATATTAATATATAGGGTTATTCTACAATTCTAAATGTCTTAGGAGCATGATGGTCCATAACATCTGTCTATATTTGTACTCACCTTATTAGAATTTTCTTACTAAAACCTAAATGTAATGTTGATATGATCTTTTTTGGTTTTTGTTCTATTACTAAGATAATTTAAACATTTAGATTTGATAATATCAATGACTATTTAAAAATAAATCACCTAATTATCTCTTCTATTTGAAACTATGGTCACAAAAATACAATTGCAAAAAGATGAATGGTCATTTATTCAAAATAAATCAAGCTAGTTTCTAAAAATCAAGTACTTGAGCATTTTTTAGGGGAACCAATATTATTGACAATTCATTTGATAAATTGTCTACCTTGTAATGTTTTTGAATTTAAATGTCAAATAAAATATTTTCATCATTTTATCCCAATATTAAAAGAATATATTTCTATTAGATATTCTCAAATTTAGAAAGATTATTGATGCTATCATCCTCCATCAAAGAAAATCTCTATTCTAATTAATGTGATCTTCATTGAAGGTAATTCTTATTTCATTCCCTCTTATCTTTGAGAGGATAATCAAGTTAATGAAGATATATCTTTTTCCTCATAATTCAATGTCTTTATCTCCTATTTCTAATCATAATCTTGAACAAATATGGTTCTTCATCTTTTACACTTCCACATCCACTTAGGAGATTTGATAAGGTGTATTCACAAAAGAAAATGAATATTACAAAAACGATGTAAGAATTTAACTAGGCTACACATGTCTAGAACTTCATCTGAATGAGGTACAAAATTTTCCAATGATTATTCCACTTGAAGCCTAACTTCATATTGGTTGGGAGGTTAATTTATTCATCTCATACAAATCCTAATATTGCTTATATAGCATGTGCAATTAGTCAATTCATGCACAATTAAAAAACAAATACATATATATGTAGCTCATCTAGTATTATAGTACTTCAAATGAAAATAAAATGTGAGAATCAATTATGAGGTGTCATCATAATTGATGAGGTGTCATCACTTGAGATATACACTAATACCAATTATGTAGGAGCAGTTGTCAACAAAAGATCTACCTAAGAATACTACATCTTCCTTGGTGAGAATCTTATCACTTGCAGAAGCAAAAAACAAAATGTGATGGTATAAAATCAAACTCTATTGTGATATCAAATTAGTAATAAGTACTACAAATAATCTAATACAACAAACAAAACTAAACATATCAAGATTGGTTAACACTTTACTAAAAAGAAACAGTTGATTAATATGTACACTATATATATTCATAAGCAACCATGTTGCAAATATATTGATCAAAGGCTTGAACAACAATAATTTTCATCATCTCATATCTAAATTAAGAATTGATGACATACACTTACCAACCAGAAGAAGAGTGTAGAGAATGATGTAATATTTGTCTAGTTTTTGTTGCTGTCTTTTGTTAATTTTTACTTGTCTTTTATCTTTTCGAATCACTATGGACCAAACTAATCCAGTCCTATCCAATTCGACCCAATCCAGTCCACATTGTCACTGACATGTTGATATAAAGACCAGTCACTTGTTAAACTTTTTAGGGCTTCGGCAGCCTGTTCACCCCCTCTCTCAACGCAACATCTCTCTGTCTCTCCACCACCGGATTTCTTAGAGCTTGGAGGAGAGCAGCTGTTGATTTCCAACATTGGGGAAGTTAACACTCCCCACTAATGAAGCAAAGATCCATAACCATCTAGGTATTGAATGCTCTTGAATTTCCCAACTGGTCATCCATGAGGCAAGAAAATTTTCGAACTGAAGGCCCCTGAAGCACAGATTCGTTCATGGGAAAGACATCTACAGTAAGTTGGGGACGAAGAGTTTGGTTTGGCTGTTCCTCATAAACCGAGTTGGGTATTCACTGCTGGTAGCTGGAATGTAAAAGGTTAGGCCGCCTGATTCATGCTAAATATTACTGGTTAACTGAAGGAGAGTTTATGGACCTGCAAGAGAGACAAAAGCTGTTATTTTGAGTAAAGATCATGGAAAATACAGCGGAAGGTAAAAGCATATCATATTCTATAAACATTTTAGATTATGGACTTCGAAGTCAAACCGACAAGTTATGCGACACAGGAAAAGAGCTTTCAAAAGCTTTACAGAGATGTATCTATCAATGGCAGAATGAAGAACAAAGCTCTATTCTGGCCACAAAAGTGCACTCTGGCTGTCAACTCTTGAGCTTCCAGGCACCTCACATATTATCACCCGTGACACATTATATCCAGTACATAAATTACGAAATATGGCAAGTTAACCTAACAAGTCTACGAAAGGTTTGAAGAAACTAGCAGTTTTAGGAACGAATTGACCGATGGTTGAATTGATGTAATCGCCAGAAAAAAATCACTTTTCTTCCTCTAAAATCATCAAATGATCTCGGAGAGTAATCAAATAAAAAATTGAAGAAATCCCTTCATGCGGAAACTGATCCTTCCCTGTCATGCTTAATAATATTTTCAGACTCTGCGTGATTTGAACATTTCTATTCCGGGTAAGGGAAACTCAGCAAACGTGCTTAGAAACTATCACCCTAGCCGTGCTTAATAATGCCAATGTGCTAGACTACCCCAGCAAAGGAGTTCTTAAATCCCTCGATTCTACCCACGTCTGAAGCAGAAATGAATTCACAGGGTGATAAGAATGCCTTCCAAATTAATGGCGAGTTCAAAATAATCAGCTGGCGCACACGGCCCACGCCCTTCACTATATACTAGTGGCAGAAATATCTCGCTCAAACGATCGCTCAAGAGGTTATTTCAAAGAAAAGAAAGGCAACCCATGGCATCCATCGTCGTAGAAAACCTCTGGCTCATCGGAAGGTGCACAGATATCAGCCAGCATGGAACGAGCTCCCTTCACATTACCTCAGTTCATTTTTCCATCGCTGCACGGCGAGGTAAGAAGCGGAGGAAGCCTCAGCACGGCCTGCTCCGTTTCAATGGGATCCGACCTCAGGATCTGACAAAAAAAGCAGCAGAAATCTGAACATATGAGAGATCAGTGGCCTCCTACAAAGGACCTCTGCGCGTCCGCCTCTCATCCCTCTACGATCTACCTACGCAACGACGGACGGCGAGAAACGAGTTTGAAAACGAGTTTGGAGAGCCAGCTGAGTTGGAGCGCGATGATCTCACCGGATCTCGGAGGAGAGGCTTCGTGTCGTCAGCGGCGAGCCTGAGCGGGGGCTTCTGCTTCCCCCCTGACCCAGTCGCCGCCGTGATACTGCTTCCGCCGCCGCCCTGGTCCGCCATGGACGACGTTGGAGCTACACAATTTAAATGCTCGGTACGATAAAGTGGGACTCTCTCTACTTCCATAAGAGCCTTGGGACAGTCCGACACACTTCTAGAAATTTCTAGGAATTTCTAGTTAATAATCTTATTATATTAATACTTTGTAGGAGTTATTTTTAAGAAAAAACTAAATTTCTCAAGAACTTAATAATAAATAAAATCAAACTTTATTTACAAAATAAATAATGAAATCAGTGTATTTACCAATTAATATATATAACCAAAAAATTATTAATCTTTTGGATGATATCTTAACCTTGGATTTTTAAGTAAAGTATTAATTTTTATTCCAAACGATTAAAAATAAATATTATTTTTCAATATGTCGCAAAATATTATAGAAAATAAGGGGACTTTCTCGTAATTCAAACACTTTGCAACGAGAAAAGGAAATATCGCAAAAAATATTCACATATTTTCACATGGAGGAGGATCCGTTTGGAGCTGAAACCCACAATATTTCTTAATTTTTTTTCCAAATACTATGATTAGGTGGAGGATCCAATTGGATTAATGTCGATTAGAGAGAGAGAGAGAGCGAGGGAGGGGGAGGATGCCTTTGGGCGAGGGCTGCTCCACACAGGACATAAATGATAATATCCAAAAGGTTTAAAATTAATTTAAGGTAACTTCTTGGAGTTAAAACTAAATTTGCCATGGAATGCTTTCACGTAGCCTACCCTACGAAATTTTCACGTTGTCAGCGTCCGACAGAGGGACGCACCACGAACAAATCGTTATTTTTGTTTAAAAACTTTATTGGGCCCTATATTTGCCTGCTTTTAATTTAATCTAAGCTCCGTGGGTCTATGCGTACGGGTTTTTTGTCACATAATAATAATATTATTATTAATAATGATAATCTGAACGCATTAAAGTTTGTATTAAATTGGAAACGGTGAAATATGGGGCCCACTAATGTGAATAATAATATCGGGAGTTAAAATCTTAAATGGGCGGAAAATCTGCTCCTACAATTATCGACTCGTCGAGCTTCTAGGAATAAATCGCCTTTTTCGCGTGGTATTTATATTCCAGGAGTATTAATGTGAATAATAATAATGTGAAAAATAAATTAAAAATAACGTAAATTTAAAATATGACGCAAAACTAAAATCTGTCCTTGATTTACAAAAATATTCAATGAAGTCATAAAGGGCGTGAGAGAGAGAGAAGCGGGGGAGAGCGAGAGAGAGAGAAAGAGAGAGGGAGAGGGACAGAAGAGAGAGAGAGAGAGCGAGAGAGAGAGAGAAAGGGAGGGAGGGAGAGAGAGAGAGAGCGAGAGAAAGAGAGAGAGGGAGAGCGAGGGAGAGCGAGGAAGAGCGAGAGAGAGGGAGGGAGGGGGAGAGAGAGAGCGAGAGAGAGAGAGAGAGGGAGGGAGGGAGAGAGAGAGAGAGAGAGAGAGAGAGAGAGAGAGAGAGGGAGGGAGGAGGGAGGGAGGGAGGGAGGGAGGAGGGAGGAGAGAGAGAGAGAGAGAGAGAGAGAGAGAGAGAGAGGGAGGGAGAGCGAGGGAGAGCGAGGGAGAGCGAGAGAGAGAGGGAGGGAGGGAGAGCGAGGGAGAGCGAGAGAGAGAGAGGGAGGGAGGGAGGGAGAGAGAGAGCGAGGGAGAGCGAGAGAAAGAGAGAGAGGGAAGGAGGGAGGGAGGGAGAGAGAGCGAGAGCGAGAGCGAGAGCGAGAGAGAGAGAGAGAGATTCTGATATCACTGCCTCCGAGTAATTGCCCACTTCGTCCCAACTTTAGCATATAAGATTGCGAATGGAAGGGAGATACGGCCTCCCCGCGCTAGAGTAGGTCTTCTTCACATTCGCGGCATCTTAGGAATCCCCGGGGGGATTCGGCAGCTTTCATACCCTAACTAGAAAGAAACAAGCAAACTAGATCTGGGGAATATGTGGATCATAATAAGGGGAGAAAATTAGCGGAAGCAGGAAGATGAGAGCCCTAGTTCTTCTCAAACTATGGTAGATTCTACATACAGGTGTGTGACTGGTACGGATCCGAGAAGCTTCGCACAAGGAAGGGGCTCACGAACGTCCTCCTCCACGGAGATGAGGTCCTACGGATAGGATTAGGGCGCTCTTCACCGGCGGAGGGGGAACCAGTGCTCGTGGAAGTAGGACTGGTAGGACACCATGAAGAGGAGGAGGACGAGGGCCAGGGCGACGCCCCAGGGGGAGCCGCCGGAGAACTGGAGGGAGTCCCTCTCCAGCAGCGGGATGAAGAGGGGGAACCGCCCAGGCTCGACGGCGGAGAGCCAGTGAACCACCACCAGCAGCACCAGAGGTGACAGCGCCACCATCAGCTTCACATGGTCGAGCAGGCTCTCCAGTGCCGACTCGTAGTTGAGGTACCACGACATGCTCACCAACAGGAACGTTATCAGCAGGAAGAAGCATAGGTGCAGCGGCAGCGGCTGCTCCTGCTGCTCCTGCCGATGCCACCCGTAGCTCTTGTCCATCTCCCCCGCCGGCACCACACACAGAGATCGATAGATAGATAGAGGGAGCGAGAGAGAGAGAGAGAGGTTTGGAGGTCTGGAGGTCTGGTTCCAGAGGAGGAAGATGAGGTTTGTGGGCTTATATAAGGGGAAGCTTTGCCGGCGGCGGCCGGATGACGGTGAGAGACGGCGAGGGTTTTCGAATCTCCGCCACCGAGGTTGGAGGGTGACTGTTATTTCCGACCCGTTGGGCAAAATCCCGGCCGAGTATACGTCCAAGGGGCTTGTGGGGCCCACAGAATTCCAGCCGGTGAGAAGCCGCCACGTAAGACCGACCACAGCCGACACGACGTGGCCTCAAGTGGATGGATGGGAGTGGAAAAGTACCGCAAGAGATGCCCGCTTTCACTGGAGTCGGTTTGAATGAAATATTTTACCGACGAAAGGTGTATAATTGTATTTTTACTCTTTCGGGCCCTCTCGTCGGAAGGAACACCGTCACGCGATAGGGACATAAGCAGAAATATACTTGTAAAGATGCTCCTTGGAATGTTGCGATTTTTGAGGGGTACTGATGAGAAAGGGAATATCGGTTACGTTTTCCCCCATCCCACGTGTGTGGCGCGGCCATCGCCTCTCACATGCCTTCTGACACGACGTGTGGCGAGCCAATAGGGCTTTTCGCGTCGATTTTCCCGCCATTTTCCGCGGTTACCCGATCTGTCCGGAGCTTGTGTTAGCGCCAAAGTCCTTCGTTGCACGCGGTGACTAGGCCATTAAAACCATTGACGGTGACGGGACTCGAGAATCGCGTCATGGCCCGGAAAACCCAGCCGAAAGGAGTGCCGGCCCAGAAAGCAGTGGGGCCCATAGGTGGGTGCGGCCCAGCGACATTAATGCCGTCAGATACTTCATTTTCACATGTTCACTTATCTATACTGAAAATTAAATTTATATCATTCCGTGGGCACAACATTTATATGTTTTTTAATCATATCGCAATAATAATCATTATTCCCAACTACCGGTCAATCAAGAGCCACAGCTTCGCCTCTCCTTCGTCCACTCTTCCGCCTTCTTCTGCCCTCGATCATGCTGCTCATATCTCTCTCTCTCTCTCTCTCTCTCTCTGTATATTTTTACTTGGGCATTACCTTTGAGTCATTTTTTCAGACTTTAATATTGAATTTGCCTCGACTAATCATGGTCACATCCCTTTGTTGACTATATGCGATGTCTTGATCGTGGATTTGTCTGCTTCAGGTAGCTAGATAGATTTTAAAGGAACATTCTCGAATTTTCCAAATTAAGTCTAATACTAATTTCTTTTCTGGGAGTTCTTTGTAAAAGAATAATTACCAAATAAATAAATGGAAATTTTGGAGCGATTTTTTTGACAAGAGTGGTATTCGAGATAGAGGTGGCGTGTGTTTTCCTCGCATTATTACGCTTATTGGTGTTTTTTCACGATGGCAATTAAAAAAATGAGAATATCCACATTCTTGGAATTATTTCAAATAACTGACATAAAAATTGAAATAAAAATTGAAATAAAAATTGAAGTAAACAAGGCTTAATGAAATAGAGACGTGAATCCCTACTACCCACCAAGTTTTGCAACAAAATATGCTGTGCTAAACCGAGAGAGAGAGAGGTCTGGGCTTTGCTCTCTCTCTCTTCCAGACCGGGCCAACACTCCATGGAGTCCGGCCCGAATCCCAGTTTCTGGCCTTTCACCTCAGCGAATGCTGAAAGAGCGGCCCACTGAGATCTCAAGAGATCATCCGTCATATTCTAAGTCCATTCTCCGGGCTTGGACTGGAATTGGGCCCTGATTAGGCCCGCCATGGAAAAATAGCTACGTTTTCAATAACGAAAACAATATAATAAACAATATATTTTATAGTTTTTATGGAGAGAAATAATAATTTTAGTACCATGGCTTCCTTCAGAGAGGAATTGAAGCTACCGCAGCATATATAATCATGAAAATATGGGTTTTGTCTCTATCAAAAAGAAAACTTCAGAAGAAAAAATGCGGGCCAGAGGAGCAGGTTGGATCTCTTGTCTGAATAACACAGAATAACATGAAACAAGTCAACTCTAGATACGGTAGCTAAAAGGGGGAAAAAAAACTCGGCAAATCTCCTCTGACAAGCAGCTGGGTTTTCACTTCTTCTTCTCAGCAACACCACCAGCCCTGCAAATCCGCCAAGTAAGGGCATTAGGTCAAGCTATCGAAACCCTATGATATTGAACATTAGCTTTCCAATTAAAGAACATGCTTCAATAATAGAAATGATCATTTCTGAAAGCCAGCAATTTATTGATATCTCAGAAATCTTATGGGAAGTTATTCACGGGGCAAGATGCTCAAATGAGAAAGAAAATCCCAGTTTAGAGGCACACTATTGATTGGAGATCTTGAAGATGAACAGAGGTAACTGAAACAAGAGGAGGCACCTTCTCATCTCAACAATCGGAGAAACTATACCCAATTTATTTTAGAATATAATTGGTTAATTTAGATAGAGACGGATATTTCATAAATAGAAATCCCCATCAATAAACACCATCTGACGTCTTTGACATTCAACTAGGAAGCAACTGAGTTGAAGAGAGATCAAGACGCCAAAACACCAGAGGATGCTAAAAGGAGTAGTAGGGGCAGGAAACGATAAGAGGAATTCGACATGTTGGACGAAGTGTAGAAGATGATAAAATAAGCATGTATTTCCAGAAGTATATAACCAGTTTGACTTCTGTTCATACTTTAAAAAAATCTATAATTTTCAGTGAAAAAGCTACTTGACCATTCTGCTAAGACTGAAGAGCTGAAAAAGTCAACGAACGAATAGAGTTTTTAGTGGAAAAGATATAATTTTCAGTGAAAAAAATCATCAGGCTATCTCAGGTAGCTGGAAACGAATAAAATGGGAGGCAATAACGAGTGTGAACCTCATCTTCCTCAAGACATTGGCCATCTCCTCACGCTTCTTCTTCGCCCTCTTGTGGGTGCCCAGCTTTCTCTTTGCGAGCTTAAGAGCTCTCTTGTCTTTCCCAACTTTCAGAAGCTCGGTGATCCTCTTCTCGTAGGGAGCGAACCCGGCAACTTCGCGAATCACGTTCCTCACAAAGTGCACCCTCTTGCTGGTTTTCTGGATCACAGGAGATGGAGTAAGGGAAGAGGATCCGATCCGGCATCGAGAGTGGGATTTTAAAAAGGAAATGTAGAAATTTCCCACCAATCTGCGGAAGACTAATGAAGAGACGGGGTCAAGTGGGTGAGTTCATACCCCTTTCCGATCAGAAGGGCGCGGGGGAAGCTCGCGCTTGGTGACGATGTGGCCCTTGTTCAGCCCGACGAAGAGGCCAGTGTTCGGCTGCTTCGGAGCCATCTGCGGCGACTTCTGCGTAGGAGAACGCGTCATTTATCGAATCAGATTAGACAGAAGATGTAAACATAAAAAACACGGCGAGATAGCATAAAGGGAGCAGGAAGGACACAGAGAGAGAGAGAGATACCACTGCCGCCGCGGTCGCCGACGAAGATAGAAGAAGGGAGGAGCAGGACGGTGGGAGGCGGCGGAGGCGCGCTTGTCCTGGAAAAGAACACAGAGCGAGACTGGAGAAGATGTATTAGGGCTTTGTAGCAGCGGATGGTCGTACGAACGGGCCAGATCTTTTGTTCTCAGAATAAACAGCCAAGATTGATTTTTTATCAGATCGACGATACTCAACTGGACTGGGTATCTTGGGCTCTTGGGTCCAGGCCCAATCGAACGATATGTTTCGTCAGGCAATTTTACGGCAATAGGGTGTTCCGATTTACGATCTGAACACCCTTTAGGGTTCACCGTTATTTGAAGGAAGATAAACAGCAACTCCACCTTCTCTTACTTGCCTACTGTTATGATCTCTTGCTCTTATTTCCTCTCTTATTCTACAGAATTATAAACCATGTATTTTTGATATTTGCTATGATCTAATTTATCCCATTTGATATTTGCTATGGTCGGAAGATCATAGCAAATATAGAATATTTGCTATGATCTAATTTATCCCATTTGATATTTGCTATGGTCGGAAGATCATAGCTATCCACCAGTATAGAATTTCTATACTGAATAATCCAATTTGTCAAGGCATGGGTCTCCTCTAGTTCCATCAGTTCCATGCTATTTTCTAGGTATGCGCTCTTCTCCTACGACGATTGGCCCAACCCTTTGTGGTGCTAGAGAATATGACATTAGGGCATCTTAGTCCTATTTTGGAGGATAAAATAAATTTAAATAGGAAAAATAAAATTTCTTGAAATTGAATATGCCCTTGAAGAGAAATGTGTGACTCTTCTTTGTTAACTACAAGGATAACAACTTTTTGAAGTGAATGATGGACATATTATATTCTACGAATTACCTTACACGTTTAGGAGGATAATCTTTTGAATACTCACAAGGTTGGTTTTCTTTTTGTCTATGATGTCCCTAATGAAATTATGGATTGGATTTTGTAAAAGATATTGCAATTTTTCTAATGATAGTCATTTGGGTATGTTGAAGATTGTGAATAAATGATTTCCATTAAATTTCAGGCAAGGTATAGATATGCTTCGATATGAGATTTCATTGGCCAAAATGAAGCATTTTAGGATTTTTAGATATTATATATTAGTCCAAAACTTTTTTATAGTCAATTTACAAAGTTACTAGAAAATTCTAAATCATGTACAATGCCTATGATGTAGGGCATCACTTCTAAAAAACGACAAGGGATAAAAGTCTTTTACTTAAGTGACCCAAAATTCATAGGCCAATTATTTTGGAAACATAAAGCATTGGCTACATGAGAAGGCACACAAAGATCCCAAGGCATATTGGGTCCAAATAAAATGCAAGAATAATGTGTTAGAGTTGTTATTTACTATCTTTATTTTTGTAAACATCTCCTATTTTCTAAGAGAGTGTTGTAACTCTAGAGGCATTCTAGTTATTACGAAATTATTTTTTATTTGAGAGATTTGTCTTTTGATTGGATAACTCTGGTGGAGTTAAGGATCGCTCAAATGAACCTTTGTGGATTCACAATGTAATTCTAAACTTATGAATTAAAGGGTTGTCCAAATAGTCCTTGTGAATTTAAGGTTTGAGTTTAGTTCTTTTCATATTCTAAAATCATGTCTTTTGCATTCAAGACTCAAACCTTTTATTTCTTGAAATTTTTGTTACATCAATTGGTCTTAAAGTAAAGATCCAATGACCACTAGCATCGAGGCGAGTTTTATGATCCTTATATATTTAAAATATCTTCACCTCAATCCTTGTGGATTCAAGAATTGATGGAATTTGTGCCTTCGTGATTCAAGACCTTATTTTTATTGTTTGACAACTCCAATTTCCTGTCTTATGGATTTATTTCTATTATTTCACAAAATTTGATGTATCAAGTATTCAATCATTCTGAGATTCAACAAAGTTTTTAATTTTAAAATTTATTCTGAGAAAAATATTATGTTCACCAAAAAGATTCAATGTCTTAATGATGGCATTTGAACAACTACCAAAGAAAAGTTCAAAGACTCATAAAAACGACTCATACCAAGGGATACCAATTAGAGATAAATGAAGAGTCTAACTAATTTATTATTTGTACTTAGATATCTTTGTAACTCATGATTATAAAATATTAACACTGCAAACATGATTAACCTCCTAAAGTTGTGAATTTATGAGAAGTGTTAGAAGAACACTTAAATTAGTTAGAGTCATATAATTGAATGAAGGCTAGTTGAATTCTTTGTGACAAAAGTTTTCGTTAACCATTGGTATTAGATTTTAAGGATGAAATCATTAGAAGATGAGTAGGCCAAACATATCGAACTAATATTAAATCTTGGTTCCAATAATTATATGAAACTAGAATTCACCTAGAAGCCCAAAAAGGATTGATTCACACCCTCTCTTGGTTCCTCCTATATCCACCTTCAAACTAGGAAGAAATATACCTTGCATACAGAAAATTTAGAATACGTTGATGACTAAGGAAACTAAGTTTTATCTAAAACTAAAAGACAACACCCTCCCCCTCAAGTCAATATAAGTTGCTTCTATTCTTGTCTTAAAAGAAATGCATCATATGCTTGAGTTATAATCTTAACATGGTTATGAAAAAAATGAATTTTTCTAGATAAAAGATATCCATCTTATTTCTCCTCTATTGACATCAACTACCGTTAATCTAATGGTAGGGGTAGCAAATGTGAGGATGGCTAAAGTAATTTAAAGGGAGAAGGTGGGGGGGGGGGGGTTCAAAAGATGTAATTGTGTTTTATATTGAATGATTATTTGGATTCAATTGACTATAATATTTTTTGGAGTTTGTGGAGAAGGATCAAAGCATAGTTTGTGGCGAGAATGTGAATCCAACTCTATAGTGAGTTGATAGTAGAGTCTAGGGGGGCAGAGCATCCTAAGCAGATATGAAGGGAGGAAACAACCCTCCAAAGAAAAGTATGACTACGTGGGGCATTATCATAATTATCTCATAATGTGGTTACCTTAACCCTATGATATAAAAGGGTAAAGCTGCCACTTCTATATGCATTTTCTTATGTAGTGAGTTGGTCAACCCTTCTTTACCTCTCTCTCTATCTCTTGTACATGTATTTCCTTATGTGGTTCAAGGAATAACTCTCATCTCCTAACAATATTTGAGATTCAATTTCTAATTAAAAGTACAAGCAAACTAGTGATCTACTTCTTGTATCTATTTAAAATGATTTAACATTAAAAATAACATAATTAAATTCGAAAGCTATTTAGATTATTATGTAATCTAGTTGAGTTATTTAATTTGGCTCTTCTAATTAGGCTTTTGTTAAGCTTATATGTGTCGTTTATATAGTTTAAATGATGAAAAAAAAGACAAGGATGCATACATTGACTCTACAATGGTTCAACAATCAGCCTACATCAACTATCTCAAGAGCTCCTACTCTTTGGGTTTCCACTAATGCTCAATAGAGTTTACATCTAGTTACCCACAACACTAGAAAATAGATAGTTATTGGGCTATCAATCACTCTAGAGTTTATGATAATATTAGTCAAATTTTTTCAAGTCAATTACTCCATCATTGGAATAGGGTCACTAGACAATCTATCATTGTAGTGTCATCCTTTAAGTTTTTGGCTCCAACTTCTCAAACAAGTCATGATGAAGTCAAACTCACCTGCTAGTACACTTCAAAATTTTACTAGCTTGGTCTATCATAAAAATAATAGATAGATAGACAAGAATACTTGGTATGGGATTAGAAACATAGTTAAAGTAGGTTTTTTTTTAAGCAAATTTATTTACTCCATTGGGCATAGAGAGCTATAATACTAAATATTATACATTTTGTGAAATCACTTCTTTTTATATGGTTTATAAGGTAGTCCCTTGACTCTTTAATGTGTTTATAAATCCATGAGAGTACATAATGTGGGAGATGAATGAATAAGAATGAAATTTAGTTATTGATCAAATAAAAAGATAATAGTGCAATAGACAATGAAGAATTATGTAAATAACCATCAAGATTATAACATGCACGAAATAAAAGATTAGGCATACAATAACCTACAATAATAGGATTATGAACTTGCATGAGAACTCAAAAATTATTGTTCAAGATGCCCACCAGACTTATTTTTTGTGTTGAGGAAAGAGTAAAATTTTAATCTATTAAATTGAATGCAAATTGTTAATTTACTATGTTGTTCATTTTAATGTATGGTGATATTGACCTTTATGACTTACCATATTTATTGTGCATTCAATGTTATAACTCTTGGACAATATAATACATTTTCATTATTCACATACGATTACAATGATGGTCAAAGTTTTCATTTGCACACCCACTATGCAGATATTTCAAACCATTTGCTTATGATTATCATTTAGAAATCAGATTCTATAAGAATAGCCACTTCTTCAATGGGTTCTATAGAAAAGTCAAAGTAGAGGATTTTGATCCTAGAAGGTCCATTGACTTTATTTTATGGGTTTAAGAAAACTAAAAAAGATAGGAAAACCCAGATCAAATCAGTCTCATATTCTTCGTCGATGGTTTTCAGTCTGGGGAGTTGGGATCTGAATCTAGGACCCCAAGAAGACCCAACATAGGCAGTAAGAAGTTAATGGGCCAGGCCAGTATCATGTAAACTGAGCCCACGAGAGGGTGTGGGAGGGAAGTAGTGTCATGGTCAACGCAAGGGCCGGGTCATCTGTGGGTCACCTCGACGGTGGCGGTGCGGTGGGCCCGTTGGTCCTAGCCACGTGGAGTGGCAGAGCTCTACCACTCTTGTCGGAGGGCCATCATCTCGCTGGGCCGTGGTGGGCCCGCAAAGGACCGAGCCTGTGCAACGCATTTATAAAATTTAAATTGTTAGCCCATTGAAGAAGGGGCCGTTCGGGAATCTCCAGGTGGGCTTAAAAGTTGTGGGCCCCCAAAGATTTTGTCTAAATTTAGGGGTCCATATACCGCACTGGCCCAACCAATAGGCGGGGATCCTCCCCGTTTTATTTGGGCTTTGAGGGCGTGGTCCTCGGCTGTTCTGCACCACTTGCTTCGCTTTGCCTGGACAACAAGGGAAAGGCGGAGTTGGGTCACCACGTTGGAACTGGAGGGAGCTGCTGGGACATGATGACGGGTCTCCCACATTAATTACCCGGTGCGTCGTTCTCCCAAGCCATTTATATTACATATAACCCAGAAATTTCTTATTCTTCTACTTTTCAATGCTAAAAAATATTTCATATGTGTATACACTCTTAAGGTGGCTTGTCGGGAAAGCGTTATCTTACCAATATGGTTCAAATCCAATCAATTCAAGACAGGCAATCCTAAAAGCATCAGAACCCATTTGATACGTTCTCTGAAATTTCTTAACCCACCTGAAGAAGGAGGAGAGAGAGAGAGAGAGAGAGAGAGAGAGAGAGGCCACCACGTCACCATCAGGACAGCTAGATGGCCGTTGGCGAGGTCGACACATGCAAGTAGAACTCACAAGGAGAGCATGGATACGCAGAGTTCGGGTAACTTGTCAGTCGCTGTCTCTTCTTCTCCTTCTACCTCTCCACGAGAGTTAAAAAACTTAAATGCCTCTGAGGGAATATTCAAGCTCGGACTCTCTTTAATACTATGCGTACTCTTCCAAGGGCACACCTGACACCGCAGCCAGCACCCTGTGTGAATGGCCGATTTGCCTCATTCGCACGTGCAAGCTCTCTCAGTAGTCTTTTACCTTTGTTCTCTCTCACTCTAAGAGGAGAGGTAGCGAGAGTGGTAGCAACGCAAGAACGTCCCCATCAAGTACGTAGCTCCGTACGTCACACAAAAACAAAGCTTTACACTTTCCTGTGATATGGGTGCCGTCTTTTCCCGCACGTGCGCAACGGGGTTTGGTCTCTTGAACGAACGCCCACCACGTCTTGCCACCGGGCGCTTGGATCCTGGTAAATTACAGAGACGTGCCCACTACGCTCCGGCAGCGGCGCCGTCGATGGCATGGTGGTCACGGTCGCCGTCTCCGGCAGGGAAGAGAGGGAGGGAGGGAGGGAGAAAGAAGGGGGTTTACTGAATGGGTATGGAGGGGAACAATCTGCCGATCTGCAGACCGTTATTTAACGGGGATCGATTAAATCCTCCGTTATATCGAACTTCTTACTCCCTCGTGTGATGGATCCGCTTCTCACTTCTGCCGACCTTATATTACTCTCCGTAGACGGGAAAAGAGTGTGGCTCCCTCCGCGACGAGGTAATTTTGAAGACGAAGGGATTTCTGGTTTCTATCTGTTTGTTTGTACGCCTAAGAACGCGCACCGAAAAGAGTACGCTTGTTGAGATTATGTAATCGCCAATTCAACTGATCATGGTGTAATCAGTTTCAGCGGTTTCCATGATACTCTTCACGAATGTTGGGTTTGGAAGGAGAGAATGGGGAGGGATAGAAAGAGAGAGAGGGAGGGAGGGAGGAAGGGAGAGGGGGCTAGAGAGAGAGGGAGGGAGGGAGGAGGGAGGAAGGGAGAGGAAGAAGCGAGAGAGAGAGAGAGAGAGAGAGAGAGAGAGAGAGAGAGAGAGAGAGAATTATTCACATCTCAGAAGGGAAACGGGAGGGGGGTTGTACTGAAGATCATAAAATGTTAATCCCTGTATTTTAAAACTATTTTTATTCAGTACTTCATCTGGTATTCAAAACTTCGCTCTTCATTTGATTTCACCTACTTCTCAGCTACATTATTTGTTAATCTGCACAACGCTTCAGCCTTGGGTTAGGTCATGACAGGCTTCAATCTCTGTTGGTATGTGCCTGATCAATCACCTGGAAACTGCTCGGTTCAGCATTCTCTTGACTAATGAGGAATTAAAAGCTTTCTAGCTCTATAACTTTTACGTCCAATTAATCTTTGCCTCTCTTTCGGATTCAGATTTCAAATCTCTTACTCTATTAAATAGCATGCTGAGGGAAGAACTGAGTGTGAGAGAGAGTGAGTGAGTGGGTGTGGGGGTGTGTGTGTGTGTGTGGGTGGGTGTGGGTGTGGGTGTGGGTGTGGGGGTGTGTGTGTGTGTGTGTGTGGGTGTGGGTGTGGGGGTGTGTGTGTGTGTGGGTGTGGGTGTGGGTGTGTGTGTGTGTGGGTGTGGGTGTGTGTGTGAGCGAGAGAGAGAGTTTGATTCTAAAGACGAAAAATTCAGTGTATATTGAATGAAAAATTCGAGTGTTCTAGTGATAATCATAATAGAAAGGAGGATCTGCAAAGTTTGCATAGCAAAGATGACAGATCATCAATAATTCTTAAATACGACACAATTTCTAAACTCGAGAACTCACAATCAAATCCTTCAAGCGGAAAAAACATTTTAGGGTTTGCTTCTTTTCACGGAGCTCAAGATTATCTTAAAAGGGTTTGAAATCAAGAGAGGAGGGAAGAATCAAGGGTTCTGTGATAATCAAAACGATCTAATGGATTACCAATTCCTCTCGTTTCCTACCGTTACAAATGCAAATCCAGGCTCAGGTGGTCCTTCATACCAGAAGCCGCCTCATAAACCAGTCTGCCCCCCGGCGACGAAGACGACGAGGGTGAACCAGTGATCCCGCCGCCACCAATCCGTGCAATGCTACCCAACGCTCTCGAACCATCGCCACTGAAGAGAGTCATCGCCGCCGGTCGGTCCAGTTGTGTCGGCGGAAGGCTGGCGCGCTGCACGGGGGGGATTCTCCACATACTTGGAACGGGCTGAGAGATCAGCCCAGAAGCGCCGTAGAAGGGAGCCCCGACTAGGGTCGTCGAAGAAGGGTAGTGGGGGGAGAGAACTGGTGGCTTGAAGGCGTGGTCGACGCCTAGCCGCGCTGCGGAAGCCATGAAGCCATAGATGCTGCCCTCTGCGGCGGCGCCGCCGAGGGCCTGCTGGTACTGGTGGGCACCCATGGTGGACTGCAGGTGAGCCCTTTTGGCGTGCTGCCGCTCACGCTTGTGCGCGTTCTGGTGGCCGCCAAGGGCCTGCGACGTGGGAAAGTTCCTGCAACAATAGTGGCACTCGAACCTCCGCCCAGTATCTCCCCCCCCGCCGCCACCACCACCGCCACCGCCACCGCCACCGCCACCGCCGGCAGAGCCCTTGGCCGTGTTTCCACCGTCGTCCCCTTTTGGGGAGCGTTCGTCCTCGGCCGCGTCCGGAAAGTCGATGCCAAAGAGGCGGATGGAGCTGCTTGCGGTGGGGCTGGAGTTCTCTCTCGCGGAAGGAGGTGGGCGGAAGAAGGGGAGCTGGGAGAACGAGTCGACAGTCATGGTGTCCTGGATCTCTCTCTCACCCATCTCTCTCTCTCTTTCTCTCTCTCTCTCTCACACGCACTCCGGTCGTAGAGGGGGAGAGGAACTGAGAAGAGGGAAACGATGGCGTGAGAGGGAGGCGAAGTAACTTCTCTGGTTGTCTCTTTCTCCTCCACCCTCTCCCGGCACAAGTACAGAGAATGACTTATGTGAGTATTTATGTTGCCTGAGATGTACATAACTAAGATCATTCAAGACCCACAGAATGCCCACCCCTTCTCCTTTCCACCTCGTTTCATAGGTGAATTAGTTCACACTAAGGTGGCCGGATGTAGGCTTTGAGCAACTTTGTCTTCTTCAACGCTAGCCATGGCCATCTTCCTCCACAGTTACATAAATCTAAAATACTATTGTCCATGTCAAAGAGTGCACCACTACAGCCCTTGGCTTCCCAAACTGGGTATGCTTATACTACTGAAACAACCAACACCACTAGTAATGCTCCATCTCTCTCTCTCTCTCTCTCTCTCTCTCTCTCTCTCTTTCTCTTTCTTTCGATGTCTTCGTCTGAGAAGGTGTCTCTCTATTCAGAGCCTGCTGCAGCTTCTTTATAGCTTTGGCTTCTTTATATGAATTGCAGAGCCTATGGGGGGGACCCATGGAGATGTGTTCGAGTGTTATCCAGATAGGAAGAGAAGTAGATGGCTGCAGCTCACACCCTTCTTGGATTGTTCCCTTGGAGTAAAAGCTAGAGAGGTCAGTCCCCACCTCTCCTCTTCTATCTTCTCTCTCTCTCTCTAACCCCCTTTTCCTCCATCGTTGTCTCTACGTCGGTCTTCTATTATTTTCCGAGTAATTTGTCACCTGCATGTCCCCAGGTTTTTGTGGTGGATGAATCCCGAAAAAGGGGGGTTCGGAGTCATTTCTTCCCCATGGTACTCACGGAGAGGCACGAGCCGACCAGCTTCCATATGAAAAACCCTCTTGCCGTCTTGACTCCCCCATTGGGGACCAGCACTCCCCATTACCATGGAGTTCCCATGCGCGAAAACAAAAGCCTCCCGGGAAATTTTCAGCTTTTTTCAAATAATTATAGTATTATAATGATTAATTATGGGGAATAAACTCCAGATAGCATTATTTTGCCAACTTTCTGACTTGTGCACTGCGTTTAAGCAACTTAAGTGTGAGCATAAAATACTAGGGAGAATTGAGTTGGGGTTGTCATTCTTAACAGAAAAAAATGTTATATTTATGTAGAACATAAAATAAAAAATGCTACATTCATAAGTACATTTGGGGCATACTTACCTATTTATGAATAGTTGATAATTAAAAAAACCCTATTGGAACCTGCTGATGCAAGCCAGCGGAGCCGATATCCAACGCCATTGAAGGTGAAGTTCTGGACTGAATGTTCTGGTGTTCTGAGGTTCCTGCAGGCTTGTTTGGCAGAAATCTCTCCTCTGTGCTGCGAAGAGAATGCTGGAGTAACGTGAACTGCAAGATGACCTGCTTCTCTCGTCGTCAGGGAGGAGGAGATCAAGCCTGCTTGACCTTTCCTCCCCCTGTTTCCCTTCTCTTTCTTCTAACCACCGTCTCAATGCAGGGAAGTCTATTTTTATCCTTGGTTTTTCTAATTGTAATACAAGGGAAATCTTCGCTGTTGCATCCGTAGAAGATCCTTCTCTTCTTAAATTTCCTTCAAATCTGACACTGTCGGTATATAGAATCCTGACTCTCTCTCACCCACTCTCTCTCTCTCTCTATAAAAGCCGTCTGCCTCCCACAATGAACTCTGGGTGGTTAAGTACCCCCAATCGACTACAAGGAGGCAGTCCGGCCACCAGAGAGTACGTAATCGACCGTTTCAGTAAGATCACAACGTTCTTCTTCTGCTAACGTTTAAACTGCGAATCAATTAGTCATGAGACTCTCCTTATGTAGCATCAGCCACGAGAGTCTTGAAGCATATATGGAACTTGGCTCTACATGAAAATCTAACCCACCTCTCTTCTTTCTATAGATGAAAATGTTTTTGACTCTACATGGTCTTTAGGTGAAGTGGTAGTTTGGTCATAGAAGAAGTTCTCTCCCACTAAAAAGATATGACGTTGCCGTCTGACTCTGGCCATACACAGTGAAGAACTGGTCTTCTTCCTTCCCCACCTCCAACGTGTGGTGATGGAAATAGGAATGAGAACGATAACGTTGGCGTGTATGGGGCCCCGGGGGGCCTCCATTGTTTATGGATGCGTTTCCCCACTTTGCAATTATTCCTCTTGATAACTGTACACCTTCCTCCACATCCTCATTAATCTACCATTCTAGTCTTCTGACCTGTCGCTGTCCACCTTACTCTCATTCCTCATCTATCCCTTTCCCTCTCTGTTTGTCTGTCTATTCTCCTCCTCTCTGTCTGTTTGCTTCTATTCTTCCCCATCTCTCTCTCTCTCTCTCTCTCTCTCTCTCTGTTTGTTTCTATTCTCCCCCGCTTCCCCCACTCCCATCTCTCTCTGTCTCTTTGTTCGTCTACTCTTGCAGCGCCCCGCCCCCCCTTCTCTATCCATTTTCCAGGTAATTAACGGCTCTTTGGGCTAACGGATAAGATCGCTCTTCAACCCAAGCTTGCTCTCATTGGGGAAGGGCCATTAAATAAGGAACAACTTGTCTTCTTGGCTGATTCGCAGTGCCACAGTCACTTCACTTTCCCATGGCCACGCTCAAAGAAAGACGATCTCCGCCCCAGAATCCTCTCTCAGCATCATCAATTTTAACACCAATAACCTCTTCATTCAATCAGTACTCTCCCAGCGCCTTCCCTTCTCTCTTTCGACGCAGTGAAGCCATTCGTATAGGGGACCATCCTTCCGGGGTCCCCTGCCGGGATCCCTTGGGTACGGCGTATTCTCCGGTGGATCCTTTCCTTAGGCCCGCTATCGATGGAGAGACCCTACTGGTCTCGCTTGGTTCTCTTCTCCTCTTGCGGTTTGTGAAGGCATGTGACTTTGGGGAGGAGGGGAAACGCATGACTCCGCACATGCGGCGGTGGACATCAATGTGAAAATGAACGTGCCGGTCTCATTAAAGCTCCGGTGGTCTTCTGAAGGCAGGGTCAGATCGCCTTCTCTACAAGGAAATCCGTCCCTAGGGGCCACCACTAAACGGTCAAGCGCCCCAACGCGACAGAAATAGAGGAAAACTGAGAACTCAGAGAGAGCGAGAGAGAGCGAGAGAGAGCGAGAGAAAGAAAGAGAGAGAGAGCGAGAGAGAGAGAGAGGGTGGGGCTCTTCCTCACGTGCCGTGTTACCAGTTTGCACTGAAGAGTGCAGGAAGCATGATAGCATCTGCAGAGCTTGCTGTGTGGCTGGTCCTCCTGCCGAAGAAGCTCAAAAGCGACGGATGGATCGATCTGAGCTGCACCCTCTCGCCAATCATGGGAGTCCTCCCCTTCTCTCTATCTCTTCTCCAGGAAAGCCAATCTTACCTCGGTGGGGTCGTGAATCGCCATCCCCTCTGACGCGTTACCATCCTCTTGAGAGAAGTTCGTCGTACTCATCCTCAGAAGGAGAGCCCCCGCCATGGAATCGGGGTAAATCCTCTTCCTATTTTCACCTTCCTCACCTTCCTATTATCATATAATTTGACCCATTAATTTTTAATATTTAATAATGGGATTTTACGTCTTTCGACTAATATACGATTATTATCGGTGTTCTAACGTGGTACTAGTCTCTCACCTAACTTCGTCGACCCTCCTCCAACTATGAAATCATGGTTGTGTGATCAGCACTCCTCGTGCAGATCAGGACATTCCATCGCTCTCGTCACGTCAAGATGGTTGCCTGGAAGTCAAACGATCAGATGGTGACCACTCGAATCGGTATCTACCCAAGGGCATCAATAATTTTGTCAAGGGCTATATTCTTACTTGAAATAGTATTTTTTTTATGTTCATTTACCCTGTAAAAATTATAGGCGATGTGGGTTCTAAAGGATGCTTATCACTCATCGTAAAAATTATTTAATTGGTTTAATCTTATCAATACGCCAACTTACTTATCTCATAAACGATGCTATCTACGAAAACTTCCTCATCTCATAAGCTCTGGGGAATACTGACAGCCATTACTAGGCTTGACCAATATAATATGAGCGTGGGTGAAGATCTCTTAGAAACTTACACTTACATGAATAACACATATACAATCGATTTTCTCCTTTTTTTCTTGGGAATAAGCCGGCATTATGCTCAAAAATAGTGAATGGCCTCCCCTTCCCCAGGAATCTTAGAAGCAGTTTCGAGTAAATCAGCACTTGAGAAATGAAGATGTTTCTTTGTGATAAATTTCGAATAAATCCGATCCTAGAAAGAAAAATGGAAGAACCATATAGTCTTCACACATGAAACTTTTATGTCTAATGTAAACTGATGATGTGGGTGATATATTGGGTTCTATTTACATTCACTCAAGTTCAATAAAAAAGAAAAAAACATAAAAAAATAGCATTTTATGAGAAACTCTATCTTTTAAAGATGAACCCTGCTATAATTTCCAAGAAAGTTTGACTTGAGCCTGCTTCTTCCATCTGGAAACATTTTTGTAACGTGGAAAGGTCCCAAAGACTGGAATCGTTAACACAATCTTTTCAGGATCCTTTAACCATTTCAAATCCTCTTCCATGAGTTAAGAATGCGTCTTTCGACCTTCCAACTTGTCTCCTCTGAGATAAGACACTGTTGGTGGCTACAGTGAGACATTCGGCCCCACCCAACCTTTCCCTTTCCGAGGTGCAGCTACCATACGCTCACAATCTGTTTGCTGATATGCTCCTTTCACTCTTCCCTCCTTTGGTACTTGTGGCCTCTCTCCCGCTGTATCTGTCTGTCTGTCTGTCTGTTTCTTTCTCTCTCTAGAGACCCTTATCTGTCTGCATCTGAGTGGTCCTTCACGAACAAGTATCCCCACACGTCTTTATCTCTCTCTCTCTCTCTCTCTCTCTCCGAGTAGTTATTTCCCATAGAGCGTAGTCCAGTCGCAGGAAAAGACTTATTTGGGAAGCGAGGGAAGATCGTAGTCTTTTGGGTTTTCAACTGATGCAGTGGCCCAGCGAGTTGTACATGTGGAGCCCTCTCTGGTGGGCCGGCGGGGCCCATCCCCTTGGTATAGTTATTGATCGGCAGGCCCATCTACTGGGTCGGTCACTAGTTAATGAGCCGTAAATGATCTGAATAAGAGAGAGAGAGAGAGAGCGAGAGAGAGAGGGGACTAGAAAACTACAGTGGTCTGAGAGTCAAAGGGATCCGTTCCGTTCCTACACGTATGTTGTTTATCTAGGGGCGATCCGGGGGAGAGGCAGAGGCGCCCCCGGACCGGGAGATAGAAAGGAACGGTCAAGAATCAGAGGAGGGCTGCTGCGTCGGCCATGGCTGCTGCTGCTGAGGCGGCGGCGGCGCGTACGCCTGCGGCTGCTGGGCGTAGAGCATGGTGGCATGGTCGACGGCAGGCCTGCCCACCATCACACCGGCCACTGCGACCTGCGTCGGCACGTAGTAATACGGCGGCAGCGGCTCTGTGGGGACGCCCACGCCGGGAATGGCCATGAGCAGGTCCTCCTTCACCTCGTCGCGCGGCACGATGTCCACTAAGAAGTCGAACACGTCCGTCCTCGTGATGGCGGCGGCGATGTCGTTCTTCTGCAGCGTCCGTCGCTTGTTCTCCTCTGTGTGCGCCCACGCGCGCAGGGTCAGCTCCAGCACGAACATCTCGCAGGCGCGGGCGAAGAGAACGGGGGCCTCGGCGGCGATCATCCGCACGTCCTCGTCCGCCTTCATGATCTTCTTGATCCTGGCCAACGGGAGAGCGTGGTTCTTGAAGTCCGCTGCGTCCTCGATCTCCCGCCGCTGGCCCTCCCAGAAGGACTGGAGCTGCTGCTGCAGGTGCTTGAGGTGCTGCTGGTAGATCTGCTGGTAGGAGAGCTGCTCCTGGCTCAGCTGCGGCGGCGCCACCGGGAACGCCGGCGACGCCACCGGATAAGGGGCGATGCCGTACGGTAGCTGCTCGACCGCGCCGGCGGCCGGAGGGTGCTCTGGCGCGGGCTCACCCATTGGAGGCTGCAGCAAGATCACAGAGTGTTTCCCTCCCACTTCGATAATCCATCCTATCCATCGGTGAAGAAAGAAAACGGAGAGACGAACACAAAATGAAAGCCACCCGGCAAATCATCGCCTCTCAAGAACATCCGCAGGGGAAATAAAGAAAAATAAAGCATCTGACTTTGGGCCCCATTTACCAAGACACAAAAATATGAAGGCTTAGATCAGTCAAGGCAAAATCATCTGAACGTTTGGGATAAGATTAAATGGCTTTAAGAAATCAGCTAAATTGGCTTCGAGCTGGCTCAAGAACTCCAAAACCAGCCGACGACTTGCCTCCATGACAGGACGATTGCATCCCAGAAACATACTGTTTATTCAGGAACTGTTCATCTAAAACGAAGAATCGAATAGCAGAACCTGATTAGTTTGCTCATAGGCTAGTAATTATCTCACTTAAATTCAAAGAACATGACCTCTTATTTTCCAAATTACGATTCATAAAAAAAGCTTTCAACCTCAAATATTTTTTTTTCTCAGATACCCAAGATTAATTCCGCCGTTAAACTAAATAATAATAATAATTTTACATCCGTCAAATGACAACTTCAGCTATTTGACTTCAAGACGCAAGAGAACCTACTTCAAATCTGGGTCAACGAGGATTGGTTAACATTGAAATGAGAAGGCAGCCTAGTAACACAATTCTTCCCAACCTCCAAGCTTCCCTTTCATGGGCAGCATATCCCGTAAAATATTCGTCAAATTAGTTGCAAAAATAAATTTAATCAGGTCTATTATCAGACAATTTCCTGAAGACACTAAAGTGAAGGACATCACATAGAAAGACGTTGAAGATGCAGCAGCTCCATGGAGTTTACATAACCTCCAACGTAACCACATTCCGTGGCCTAATCTATCTTCATAATTGTATAAACCCATTTCAAAACATCTGTTTCTTTCCCCGTGAGCACTTAACCAGATCATCCTCGCAAGTCTTGTTCTTTGGTTTGATATCAATTATCTACCATTAAATGCACCACAGTAGTCTCATTCCTTCCTTTACGAAGCTTTAATAAACCTAGACCCCAAAGAATATCAGAGATCAGAGTTGACGTACTCTAATTGAATTCATACAACGTTTGTAACTCATGTCTCTGAAACACGTGATCTTCCTACTCCCTGCTACTCTCTCTTCACTTCAATTTTGACAAAAGATATACATCTCACCGTATCAACCCCCTCCCTCCCCCTCCCCCCCACGCCCAACACATAAACTCAAAAAATTAAGAAGAGGAAGAAGAAAGCTATTGCATTTGTCCCTCCGCCAGTATACGACATTGTCCTCCCCTTGCATATCAATTCACAGCTCAATTTGACTTATTAACACACAGATTATGAATATCCATATCATGCAAGGAGACATTGCTTTTTCTAATTCGAATTGAGGGGTGATATCAAACTGGCTCTGTTTACTATCCGGAAAGAGAAAGACAGAGTCTTTGTCTAAAGAAATGCGTTGATAAACAGAGGATGCATACAAGCTTTCAACGAGGTAGTTGTCTTTCAACTCTCTCAAAACTTTCTACAGCGGTATCTGATGCCCCACTGATCCTCCTCCTCCAAGATCAAGGTCTTCTCCATCTCCAATGCTGGTGTAGTCACTCTGAGATATAAGCTCACCCTATTCTAGCCTTTCCCAAAGCTTCCATAGGGCATGGTCACGAGTTGAAAAATCTAATCTTTCACAATTTGGGGGATTCATCAGTTCATCGCTGGACCATGTTTTGAAGATGAAAAAAAAAAACAAACGTAATTTAGTCTGTAATGGCAATGCACTGAGGAAATGATTTCTCCGTATGCTTGGAATTCATTAGTACGCACCCAGAAAGCCTCTTCTCTTTTTATCCGTTACACTGATTTTACTGATGATAACTTGTGTGAAATAACTTCCATTGCCCTAATCCTCAGGAAAATACAACGCTCTGAGAAGCATCATCCCATCGTTACCTTTCCATCCTTGAGTGGAGACAGCAGCTTCTCCACATGGAAATCCGCGGAGAAAGTCATAAGAAATCCTCCAAGTCAATTCACTCTTCTTCCTCTCATTGATTAAGACCGCTAGAACACCACCCACAAAACTTAATTCACGTTCATTTAGGAAATATCCAGGTGGGTCTCAAAAGTTTCATCAGTGGTTCACAACATCCATGACAGAGATGCCAATCTCCTCATTTGTTGGAGAGGCTAACTACCAGCATAACGTTTCTTGAGAGCAGGAGCATAACTATTCCATACCTAATGCTGCCAAAAGAATGAAAACCCAAGCCACTGGAGAATGTTCTCTTCAGATCACCACATTTACCAACCATAGCTCGCACCCTAACAGCGGTTTAACCAGTGGTTTTCGTCCTGGACATGATGGGTTCTTCATCGAGGCTTCTCCATCTAACCTAATTTCCCATCTTTCACACCTCTCAAACAAGTAATGTCAAAGTTGGTGCTTCACCTCATGGCAAATCAAACTTTTTTCTCAGAGCCTGACACCATTTAAGAGAAAACGTAGGGATCTAGAGATTATTCAGACATTCTACCACCCTTATAGCAAACTTTCAGACAGCGCGGAAAGTTCGAAAGCCACGAGGGCCTAACAAAAGGGAAGTCGCATGTAGGGGCCCAAACTGTAGCTTCGAACCGTCCAAAGGGGAATCAGGACGAGAGAACGGAGATGGAGGAGAAAACAAAAACTCTGCTTTGGAGACACGACGCAATCAAACCAGGACCATCGTGACCTAGGCGGAAGGGATGAGAAGAGGACGGGGAGGGCGCTATACCTCCTCTCGCGGGACCGGCGCCGGACAGCTTCTCTGGAACGAAGTCGATGCACGCGCTTAATCGTCAGAGACCACGCGGGCCTCTAAGATTCGCGTCGCTGCGGTCACCGCCTCAGCAAAAGCCGTCCGTCTCGCCCGCCGCGATCGGCGGCGACGAGGGCGGTCGCGGGTGTGGGACTGGAAGACGGCGGCAGTGCTGACGGCCTCCCCGGCGCTGAGGTCCGATTCCGACGGCAGCGGGGGTTGATACAGCACCCCGTTTTGACTCTCGGGACCGCCAAAAACGGAACGCGAAACGGGCTCGTAGAGAGTGATGAGAGGGGACATGGACCACTTATTGGATCCCAATTTGACCCAATAACACTGCCTAGATATGTATGCGTTGTAGCTACCCCAACCAACCCTAATAAAGCTCAAGGTATTCTTTTCAAATCATCATTAAAATCATTTATATGGTACATCACGGCTTAGAACATGGAAGGCCAAGTGCATCCCACCATGAACTCTCTCACAGGGACTTGGGTTTCTTCTCTCTTCCAACCTCAGTTCTAAGAAGTGTAATAAAGGTCAACGCCAAAAATAAAAAGCTTTCAGCTGCCTCTAATCCGTTATTTGACTTCCCTCATACATTTACTAGTGTAATAATTATTTTTCTTAAAAGCCTTGAAAGTAGAGTTGTGGGTCTTTTCTTGAGAGGATTTTAAAGAACAAAGCATGATTATGATATGGGCTTCAATTACTTCTCTAGAAAGTATCACTAATCCTTGACATCAATAATTCCTTATTTGGTTATGAGAAGACTGATAAATAGACAAAAATACCTAGTAAACTAGTTCAAATGAGATTGTATCACATGGTCTGAGTGATATAATTAGTGTCATGCCTTACTGAGTCGCACATTTAATTGAAAACATAAGAAACATGTGTGGTGGTTTAGAATTCTTAGGTGTTTTAATGATGATCACGACATATGGAGGTATGAAGCCATTCGCCTAAGTATTGATTTGCATTACTAGTTAACATGAAGATGTTAAATATTTCTACATTTTTAAGGATACAATAACTTAGGTATCTAGATTTGGATGTTACCTATTGAATAAAAATGTGTCATATTGTTGGTCTCCTGGTGACGACACGATATCAAAAGGGGGGGCAATGGATTGATCATCTTTTTTTTCTCTTCCTAGGGAAATCATGAACACGTTCACACCAAAAATTTATACTAGTTTAGTACACATGACCTTCATCCATTCTCCATGGACTAATGTCGAACTCGAAGCCTTTTCCCTCCAGTTTTGTGGACTGGATCCGGCCTTGGTGGAGCAGGGGATTGAGCATTGGGTCGAGCAGACCGCTAGATTCAGGACCAAACAACCGTTGTGGGCAGAAGAACCATTCAATGCACATTCTTCCATTATAGAGTGAAGAGAATGGGGGAGTGGCAGCATTTCTAGGTGGTCCAGACTGTGGATTGTTAGAGTGGGGAAGTTGTGGGTGGGCTCTCCCTATAAAAAGGAAAGGTTCCTCTTCAAGTTATAGTGAGAGGTAACAAGTGATAGCGGTGCACATGAGTAAGGGTCGATGTTTTCCATATTCAATAAAGTTCTTCCTTTGACTACTAATGTTTTCTTGTTATCTTGAATAAGAGAGGCTGCTTACTGCTAGTGGGGGAAACCAAGGTTGATGTGAGGATAGAATTGAGGCAAGTTTGATACTTGACCTATCACAATTTTCCTTGGGTTCTACTACTTTCTTTGTGGCTTAAAAGATAAAATTTTGGGTCAACTACTCAAGATTTTTCAAATAATTTCTAGATTTCACAACTTTACGTGGCCTGATTAAAAGATGTTTACCTATCTCTATTAGATTCAAATATTTAAGAAGTCAATAAAATCAGCCATGACTAATCTCTCTTAGATTCAAGCTCCAGATGAGCGTTGAGTGCATATACAATAAATATACATAGTAATAAACTATCGTCATTCTTGATGTTTAACTTTTAGATTCTTGAAGGCTTCAATCCTTTGATTCCTCATTAAGGAAGCTTTTGTATGTAAGAGTCGTTAACAAGCTTGCACAGTGGCTGATCTTTGATGCTTCTTGATGTCTACAGATGTAGCAATAGGGCTTGCACTCCTGTGGGGAATGTGGTGGGGATGGTACCCCTTTTGTTAGATTTTTCTTTCAAATTTTCTGATTTATCTTCTTCTTCGTCTCCCTCTTCTTTCATGCATTCTCTTTCTCTCTCCTCAAGAACAACCATTGCCTGCCAATGAGAGATCAGGGTTTTCTTAGGGTTTAATCTGAAATGAATTCAATGACTCTTCAGATCAGACTCAGGTCTAGTATTAAAACGGTCCATTTTTCTTCCACATATATATAAAATGATATTTCTGTCCCGGCTTTAATCACAGATGCAACATTTGGTTATGGTAAAGGGTCATTTGTTTTTCTTTTTATAATCATGGATACAGTGAATTATTTGTCAATTTTGGAAAATAATATAAAGCGGATAGATCCATTTACCATAATGTCAAAACTAGATCTAATATACTGAAAATAGATACATTAAACCTTATATTTACATTAAATCTAGTTTTGAGTTGTGATGCTATGGTTTGTGGGTCACATCCATGGTATTGTGCCAAATAGAAATTCCACCAAACATTAGACAATTAGAAGAGGTAAATAACCTATTAAAAAGTATGAATAAATATATTGTATGTGGATGACAAAATTTTATGGAGATGCTGAATAAAAGGTAAAATTATTGTCCATTTACATCCACGAAAAGTCTATAAATGTGAATAAATTTCTACCATTTACAGACTCATCCAGCCTCGTCATGGAGATTTTGACAAGTGTAGGTGTCCTCGACGTATCTGGTGATCTGTGAAATTGCATAGTGTGAAAGACTGGAGGCCGTGTAGTAGGATGTCACTGAGAGCTGGGCAAACTTTGGGACTGCATAACCTGGGTTAAGAGAAAGCAATTGGAGATTAGAGCAACTGGTCCAGGAGATCTAAAACAAAGTAGCCTCCTCATATAATTCAGTCATTAGAGAAACTTTGATTTAATAACATGTAGCCAGTATAATTTATATGAAAAAAAAAACTTTGGCAACCTGAGCTAATCAAGTCTCAGTATGTGTCACCCCTTTATCTATATATTTAAATTGAGATTCAAATCAACTGTTCCCTGAGGCTTTTAAGGGAATAAAAAAAGAACCATGAATAAAAAGAAAAAACATTCAAATCCGGACTAGATGAACACTTATTTATCTAAAGAGCTGTCCTAACGCGGTTTAAGATGTATGGATTGTCTGGAATTGTACTCATGGTTCATGTTATAACGCAGTTTTTACAGGAGGGTAATTTGGAAAAGGGTCCAAAATTCAATATACTGCAGTAAGGTGAAACAAACAAGGCCAGAAGGACGGGAGAAGAAGAAACTGACTAGACCCTTTCAAGTTTTCCTTCCTCTGTGAAGCTCCTGAGTTAGAAAGCTTAGTCTCAAATACTGCTAGGTGACAAAGGGGAACCCTTATAAGTAGTATATTAATTAATTTTATGACAAAACATGTGAGAGGTGAAAACCTGGTTCAATGAGGATTTAATATTCGATGCCCATTTCCATAGGGGATGATAAATATGATCTCCGGTCAGACGCCAATGTAAGTTAAGAAAGTCATCTGAGTTGAAAAGAGGTCGTTTGAGATGGGCATTGCTTTTTAAGATCTCCTTTTCATAGTACAAGACGTACCTATGATTTGTTTTCAATGAAAAAAATAATGTTCCATGCTAAGTGTACAACATAATTAATATGCTTTGATGAAAATGGGGCTTGTCTAGGGCTCATAAAGTGCAGGCGACAGGTCTATGCTCTTATGATCTCTCATTGAAGAGAGGTCATAAGAGATGGGCAACACTTTTTGAGGTCTTCGTTTTATAGGACAAGACGAATATATGTTTCGTTTCAATGAAAAAAGTAATATCCCATGCTAAACGTACAACATAATTCATGCTTCGCTGAAAATGTAGCTTGTCTATGGCTCATGAAGAGCAGGTGACAAGTCTATGCCTCTCTCTCTCCCTCCCTCTCTCTCTCTCTCTCCCTCTCTCTCTCTCTCTCTCTCTCTCTCTCTCTCTCTCTCTCCCTCTTTCTCTCAGAAAAATGTTCTTCAAGACATATATGAGCTTTGCTGGAGATGAAAATGGGAACGAAATGATGATGTGTTGAGAGTCTTACTTCCAAGTGCAGCACTGGCACCAGAAAACATAAGCAGCGGAGGAATCTGCAAAACAGACAATTGATGGACCAAATTATCGAATGAAAAAAAAGCAGCAAGAAGGGGGAAATAACAAAACCATTTTTCCTGAAGAAGATGAACGATAAAATAGACAATAATGAATGTTCACGATAGAAGATTTCAGGATTATTCCTTAATGTCTTTGAGATCTTTTAAGACTAGCTTTGACTAAGGTCCAATTGAGGTATCCCCATCAGGTACTAAAAAGAAAGTCATTCCATGATTGTCTGAACTAAAGCATTGAGCAACATACAGTTCATTCCGCATGTTCTTTTCTAACTTTTCAAAATAAAGGATGATGAACAGACGTTAAGAAGTCATATTGCCTCACATCCACTTCCAATAAGATGACTACCAGACATTAATTAAAAAAATACACAAATGACCAAAATGAAATATATGTTAAAATCCTCTGAACATCTCTGAGGGGCCACCAAGCTTGATAAAAAGCAGGAGTTTCCCCGTGGACATGTGCCTAGAGCTTTCTGGATAAATATAAAAGTAAAAACAAAATAGACCAAATATGGGAATATTTTCTAATGGTTTAGTTTTATTTTCTATTTGGAGCTAAAGGTAAAACGAGAAACGGATGACTGAGAGATAGGGTAAATCATCCATGTTCTTGTTTTGTCAATTGCATCATGCGTAAACAGCTACAATGGTGTCAAACTACACATCGAAAATAGCCGAAGAAAATAATTCTTTTTTATGGCAAAAAAGCACCATCATATGCACTTGAATAAATGGTGCCAAGATCTGATCATATGACGTCAATTGGCTTATCCAACCCTTTTCATATGCTGTTTACCAAGGTATATGGGTCAATGCAGGACACAGTTGGTCAATTTCTGGCCAGTCCACCCAGAATCTCCTGCCAAATGAGATTCAGCCCAAACCAGGACACAGTTTGGGTCTTTCAATAACCAAAACCCAGAAGTTAGATAGGGCACTGCTAATCCCACCAGGAAGTTCTTAAATTAAATAAAAATCTATAATCTGAAGAGATTGAAAAATATAAAAAAGACAGATGCGGAAACAAATGCATTCATGACATTTTAAACATAAAAAAACGCTTTTCATTTGAATTTTCCATGGTTAAAATGAATCAGAATTGGAAGAAAAACAACAATCTGAAAAGTAGTCTGCACTGGAAAGAAAAGTAATTTTTACCCCGACCAAGAACTGTAGCCACTTTGGACCCTGCACATGCCTCTGCACAAATGGAATTCCTACACAGGAAGTGTTAAAATTTATGAAACATTCGGCATAAAAATATAGAAAAAAACAGCACGAATTCTGACAGCAAGAGTCCTGGGTTTGCTCCCATCTAGGGATGAAAAAGAAACCAGAAAATATGTGCGAAACAACTCCTGGTTGACACAGGGTGAGTACGGGTTAAGATTTTTGCCTAGGAAGTGGAACAAATCACCCAAGAAATGAAATTCAATGATAGAACGGGATCAACATCATATTTTACCTGTATTGAACCCATGAACTGCACTAAGCATTGCACCAGCTCCAGAACCAGCCTACATGACGGCATTAGAAATCAACTGTCTATACCCTTACTGTTATAAAATCATTTCCTTTAAAAATATTAAGGTAAGATCTATTCCAACAGAAACTGTATAATAAGGGGAAAGCAGGATGAGGTGAAAAGGACACGTACCACAGCAGTTGCATCATGCAAAACAGACGTTATAGTCCATTCAGCATTTCCCTGGTAGGAAGCAATTTTTGAAAATTAAAGATCCGGAAAATATCCAGTTGGACTAAGTAATGGACAAATACTTAGCTTTCATACGCAGAAAATAGTCTTGAAGAAGAAAGGAGGCAGAGCACGGAACCATAAAGCTATGATCAGGTAATAATAAAGCGTCATACAGTTTTCCTTACCAGGTAAATTTAGATCTAGATATCAAGGTTACATTTTCCAATAATGTTTAAGAGGAAATGGGATCCTGATCTGGCACTTTACTTTGACAGACGGAGTTTGATGAATAAAGTCTAAACTTCCTGCCAGCAATCAAACTTAAAACCTATTGGCAATGAGTGAAGCGGGCCCATCCTTAGAGAAAGAGATTTATTTCTCTGATAACCAATATAGAAGTGCACTTAACAAATGTACCCACCTGTACCGAGTATTTACGCTTATTCGCATGGAAAACTGTTGTCAATATAAAGGTTATTGGGCACATTCACATTCACACCAATTTTCAATGAGTGGAAAGGCCTGTCTTTGTAACATCACATTCATTTTTTATAACAACCACCATGAAACTATGCTAAGAACATCCGCATTAAACAGGAGAAGAAAAACATCAGATGAATCCTCCCATCATAAAAACTAATTTGGTAGGATCAATAAGACTGATGAATGAACTACACCTTAGGGTTCATAATTTGAAGGCTATTAGATCTACATCATCAAAAAAAATGGTCTAAGCGTCCGTTTCTAACCATATTTCAAACCAAACAGGACAGAGAAGTGAAGAAATATATGGTGGGATTTCCTCTTAGGTCATTTTTGGACGTCTGATAGTGTCAAAGAATCAACAGAATGGTTGCCCGAAGATCATTTGATACTTATCACCAATAACCCTGTTATCATATTAGCTCGTACATCACCTGAGGTAAATCTATGATACTGTATTTTGGGACTGAAATGACATCTTCACAGGATAGAAACCCGTAACGCCGAGTGCCTACTCGATTTATATCCGATACAAGTTCAAATGCTTCCACTTCGTGAAAGAAGGGCCATTCTGTTCGGGACGAAACCTGAATCCCGGACATGTAATGCAACGAAGATTTCCATGTAAATTTGTTAATGAGAACAAGGGAAGCAGTCAAAAACTGAGAATTGAGATCTTACCCCGGCCCTGTAATCTCAACCCCCCCGCTCCACATCCCCAGTTCGCATCAATATACACAATTAAGATGCAATAAAAAGAAATTGACAGGATCTCTTCATCCTCAACATAAAAATAAAGAGAAATACGTACAGGTACAAAAAACAGAGAGAACGAGAGCAGGGAAACAGAGGATCGTAATTACAGAGTTGGGGTTTATGAGGGAGAGGCAGCGGGGGCAGCGTGCTGATCCTAAGCCAGGGTTTATTGTTGGATCGTGGAGGAAGTTACCCGACCGGAGCTTCTCCTCGTACACCTCCCTCGTCCCCATCACCTCTCTCTCTCTGTTCTCCCTCTCCCAGACGGGTTTTCTGAACTCTGCGAGGGTTCTTTGTCTGCCGCTTCCAATTGAATGTACGGTAAGGTTACCTCCCATCAATTACCTGCCAAAGCAACTTTATCGTTCAACCCCTTACTCCGTTGATCGGAAAATCAACGGCGGACAGCGGAGGGACCGCCCTCTACGGCTGCTTCTCTTTCATCTTGTTTCTCCGTCTCTGCTTTGTCTCCGAGCTTCCCCTCTCATTGCAGATCGTTTCTCTTCTCCTTTTATCGTTCTCAGGGAACTCTCCTGGTAAAAGAAGTGTCTGAATCTCTTTGACTGCTTTCCCTCATGGGAAAGCTTAGAAGTCAGGGTTTCATTGAAGTTAACTAGAAATACATGGGAATGTAATGTGAATTGGTATAAGAAGTTACACTGATCTTATGGAATTCACCTCTCCTGTCTGGATTTTAGGATTGTGATCTGACTTAGATTTATGCTGCTAATAACTAAATACTTGGAAAACCATGGATATTACTTTGGTGGAACATATTACACTGTTAACAGAAATGTGAGTCACTTGCGTCCCATTGAAGAAAAGTTAGCTCTGATCATGCACAAGAAATCAAATTTTAGAAATTGGGCCTTCCAAGACAAACATAAACTTCACTTATACAATGGAATGATAATCGAGGATGTCATCAGCATAGAATGAACCAGAAATGCATTTACTCATGAGATAACCTTCGGTGGTCATTAGTTATACAACACTATTGTTTAATAGTTTTGATCTTAGGAATGAAGTTGAGGATGATATATGTTAGTTTCAAACCCTATCTTCTGAAACCAAAACATTGTTGAAACTTTTTTGGTTCTGTTTCTTCAATGGGAATTTGTCCAAAGCATACACTTTACACATTGAGTAGAATAATTTAGCATAAAAAGGCCTCATGCTATTTTTTGTTGTTATGTTACACGACGTGGAACATGGTCATTAAAGAAATGCAAGGAATGACTAACTATAATGACCATCCATTGGATTTTGGTCACCTTTTAAACTAGTAGCCAATTTATTTTTAAAAAGTAAGTTTTAATCCTATTGGAAAATTGGTGTTTTCAAAAATTTATTTGTCATCCATAATAATAAGGGGAAATAACATATGAGCATCATAGGAAGTTTTTCATATTTGTTAATAATTTTGACGACTTCAATGTATGGTGTCACATGATCAAGGGGCTGCATATTTATGATCATTCTGATATTAAATTTTAATTTATGAAATATGGTGGTAGTGATGGTTCATTGGTTGAAAATTCTCTTTGAATGATAGTTGAATTACAAAGCAGATGAAGTTCCACCATCAAATAATATGAGATTAATTCTTCTTATTGATGGGAGATAATGGTATGGGTGGTGGTTGTAGCATGGATTGAACATATTGAGAACTACTATAAATGGAATAATTTAAATGTTAAAACTGATTACAACAGGCATGGAACTATTTTGAAAAAACAAGGTTCTTTTTATTTGAAATTTTTTCAACGTGTCTAGATAACTATAGTTTTAGTGATGGTTATGATGAGCATCACAAACATACTAGTTTCGAAGATAGATCTCTAAAAAGGTCCCTTCTAAAGATTAAGAGAAGTTCATGAAGAATACATGTAATTTTAGCCTTATGGACGTTCTACACAAGCATGAACCTATGACATCCCAATTTCTTTTATTAGTTTACAAAATTTTCATGAATTATTTTTTCTTAACTAGATTCTCAAATCTTGCATGGAATTGATAACGAAGTATCTGATGTGGGGATGCACCGGCCATAACATTATCATATAACTGTTTCTTCTCTTTCCTTTGTGATCCATTTGTCTCTCTATTATATCTAAAGTTTCCCCAAGAGTGGAGATCCAATCTTTTATTTCTATGCAACATATATTCCAATAAGAACTCTTAAGTCAGAAAACTGAAAGTTGTAAAAATATTTGTCAATGAATTTTCACATCACCAACATCATTTAAATTCTCGTCTTGGGTGATAGTCTTCAAATGACTTTGATCATAGCTACTATTTCTTCACCAATCAATATTTTAGGGCTAGAAAAATAGAAAGCACATAGGATGGTGAGGCCTAACATTCGTTGGTTAATTGTAGTGGAATGCATGGGATTACACGTTTTTTCAGGGAATATAAACGAGTTCTAATGTATATTCTTTCAAATGCAGTCCATTTCATTTGGACTCTCCTATGCGAAGTATGGAAGGCAGTGAGAAGCTAAATGCTAGCATGAGATATTCTAGTTCCATTTGAAGTATGGGGCTTTGTATTCAAGATCAATTGTAAAAGATATGCTAATATATTTTAGTTGCATGGTTTGTTATTAATGTGACACTATTGTTATCTATGTCGATATATAACGTTGGAAAGGTAAACATTAGTCATGCCCATCTGAAGTCCATGCATCTTTTGCAAGGCTTGGACCTGGCTCAAGCTTGGATAACGCTCAGGAATATGGGTAATTGTAGAAGCCCATGAATCCATGGTTTGCTTCACCATAGTCACGCACACACACACACACATCGAGCGAGCGAGAGACAGAGTGAGAGCGAGAAAGGGGGAGAGAGAGAGAGAGATAGAGAGAGAGACGAGAGAGGAGAGAGAGAGAGAGAGAGAGAAGATGTGTGAAATATACATGACGAAAAAGCACGTTCGGGTTTCTAGGCTGGAGCCTATTTAGGTCCAAGCCTCTCTCAAATAGAGATTGAGGCTTGCTAATTTAGGCGTAGTTTTGATGAGCCTCATCAGCATTGAGTTGGATTTCTAGCTTATCCAAAGCACATACACATTTCATCACTTCGATCACTTCATGAGAAGTTTAGAGACTTCTGACCAATAAACATAAAAAGAATTACTCTCCATAAGTTGCGTTGTGTCTGTCCATACTACCTGATAGAATTGACTGCTAAGAATTGAGGATAAGTGCGAGTCCATTAGGCATAGCACTTCAAATGGTTCATGGGTCTTGAGTCATCCTGAACGCAGGATATCTTACTCATTCAGGCACCAGCAGCTCCATTTTCGGCAATAAAGCTGCAACGTTTGCTCATTATCTGTTTTCTTTACAGCTACTTGTTAAGGAGTCGAAAGGACGATATAATCGGACCAAGCGGCTCTTTCATGCCGGTTTATCCGACCTTTGGCCACCAGACAGATTAGATGAAGAATCGTGATGTCTAGTCAAGACCCCCTACAACAGACATATCAGTGTCACAAGTAGGTAAGAGCGCGCGCGCGGGAGAGAGAGGGGAGAGAGAGAGAGAGGAGAGAGAGAGGGGGGGGGAGGAGAGAGAGAGAGAGGGGAGAGAGAGAGGAGAGAGAGGGGGGAGGAGAGAGAGATACTAAGAGGCTTGTAGAATGGAGTCATGGGGAGAGCGTGAGACAGAGGGAGGAGTACTTCGTTATTAATAGAGCGTTTGACTTCTTTCCTCGCTTCCGTCTCTCACTCTCTCTTCGTACAAATTATTGTGCTGCTCATCAAGTTTGAGCTCTGGTGGGCTTATCCCTGACGTGGAGGCCACCACTCGATGGATTGGTATGTAAATATGAGGAGAGGCTTTCACCTCGTTGCTCTCCACTACCAGAGGGATGCTGGCTCCGGTGTATTTATTGATGTGGGAAGCCGGGAGAGTTCCCCGCCAGCGCCGCCAGCAGCATCATGGGAACTTTCACTGGTCACTTTGTGCCGGGAATGGCATTCTCTCTTCTCGGCCTCTGGCATACCATCAAAACAATTGCCTCCAAAAAGTTTGCCGGAAACGCCGGTTTTCAGTCCCGGACATGGCACCCTCTGGGCGGTCAGCTCTCCGTCCTCAGGCACTTGGAGCTCCTCCTCCTCTTCTGCTTCTCTATCTTCGCCATGGCCACCCAGCTGCTCGACCACGGCTTGCTGCACCTTTCCCGCAGGCCTGATAGCTTCGAGCACGCCACCATGTTCTTCCACCTCGCCGTCTACGCGTGTGCCGCACTAGCAGCCGATCGAGCCCGTGAGCATGCCGAGGCGCTGGGGGGGTTTGTCGGTGTGCTTGCGGCCAACGTCTTCGCTCAGGAGTTCTTCCTGCTGCGCTGCCACTCCACCGACCACGTCGGCGTAGAGGGCCATTACCACTGGCTGCTTCAGCTCCTTGTGTTCGTCTGCCTCCTCTCCAGCTTGACCGCTGCCCTCTCACCGGGCTGCTTCCCTGCTGCTCTTGTCCGGGCCATGGCGGTGACGCTCCAAGGCGTGTGGTTCATCGTCATGGCGTTCGCTCTGTGGATGCCCAGGCTTATTGCCGAAGGTTGCCACCCGACAGACACTGCTGGCGATGTTGGCACTCACGGAGCAGTCACCTGCGAGACGGCGGAGGCCGACGCGTGGGCCAGGGTGTTGGGTAACTTGCAGTTCAGCTGGGCTATCGCTGGAGTTTCCATCCTCACTGCAGTCCTCTGCCTGAGGCACGGCAGGGATCCAACGGAGTATCGGCGACTAGTCCCGGGAACTGCGGACGTGCTGCATCTAAATCCGGCGAGGGAGGAAGACTCGAAGCAAGTGGGGGTGTAGAGTGCTGAAAGATGCTTGGAAAAAGTGATATAAATATAATTATATTTATCTATATATATAAATATGCAGATTTCGAGGCTCAATCAAACTTAAGTTTGATCTAAACCCAACCCAATATACATCCTATGAAAATGATGGCAACTATCTCCAACATAATCGACATCAACAAAAGTGATTATTTAGCATTGTGAATGGCTCTTAAATATCAAAATCATATCACAAGACGGTTCTATTTTTCTTCTACGATAGCCAAGAGCTTTTATTCTTCTTCATGACCAGAATTTTGCTGACAACAATCCGATCCTCAACCTCAAGTTCTCCAGTCAGTTGGCAATTTATATGCCCTCTAAATGGAATGTGACACTAATGCCCAGAAACATGTATCACCATAACCAGAACTAACCGTAATGTTCATTCTCACATTCGCATGACCAGAAGCCCAAGATAAATGGATCCATTTTTTGCACAAAGATCAAAATACGTACTTCGAATTAGAGAGAGGGAGAGATGAATAGACAGATAAATGGATGGAGCGAGAGAGAGAGAGAGAGAGAGAGAGAGAGAGAGAGAGGGAGACAGACAGACAGAGACAAAGACAGAGACAGAGACAGAGACATAGACAGAGACATAGACAGAGACATAGACAGAGACAGAGATGGAGATGGAGAGAGGCAGAATGAAAGACTGACAAATAGACAAAAGAAGGGGCTTGAGGACCATGGGAGATGGGTTTGTGTTTTGTGTAGGGATGTAGATGTGAACGTTTAGGACTCACAGCAGGGATAAGAGGGCCCGAATGGGCCAACTTTTATTTCACAGGTTTGCTTTTAGGCTTGATACCTGAAAGCACGGGATAGGTTAAAGTGCTAGCAACACAATGTAATGTGTAAAGTTAAAAACTTTATCCCTCCTAAATGAATATGGGAAGAAACTCAGGCAGTGATATATGTAGTCTGATCGTATTTTAGTCGTTCAATTAAAACATGTCAAATTCAATATTTAGACTGAACTTAGAATCTGAAAATGAACTTTAAAATCCTCGTGAGTTCAGGTCAATCCTTAGGGATGATCGCCAAATTGTGTATCAAATTCTTGTTTTCAGGCACATGGATATTTTTGAATCAAAGGAGAATGGAAGGAGCTGTAATTGTTCCACTCTATCTAATTCCTAGCTGCTGATTAACAAGAGAGGAAAGAGGGGAAAAGGGGAGAATAGACAATGTGTTGATCTAATTGGATGTAAAGCTGAGATTAAAGTTGCGAACATCATTCCTATGATAGGGAAATAAATTCAAATCTACTTAAAACCAAAACAGCTCCTGTCTAACACCCAAGGGAAAATAAAGTTGCTGAAATAAACTTAGGCATAAAATACACCGGAAAACAAATCAGTGACTTGACAATCTGATTCTGCCGAGCGCCTGTCACCCACACGGCTGAAACAGTAGAAATAACGAACTCGAAACACAAACTCAGTCTAAGGAGATTTAGTTTAGAAGCCCCTTGCTCCACTGCTCCACAAACTCAGTCTAGGGAGAATGATAGAAGGGAAGGTCGCCGCTGCTGCCATCGCACGACCAGCCATAAACACCGTCGTCGTGCTGCTGTGGTCACGCTGCTGCCGTCATGCCACTGTCACCAGTGTGCTCATGCCACTGCCGTTGGCACAAGTCGTTGCACCGTTGTGGTCATGCTGCCGCCGTCACACCGCCGTCGCTACAAGTCGTTGCCACTGTCGCTGCTGTCGCCACTAACCTCACAACCTCCGCCTATCACAAGGAGGGCTGCGTGCTCTAGCTCCTGTCAGGGCTCCTTTTCTCCCTCTTAATCCCCCCCATTGTGATTGGCTGATATTGGGCTTGATATAATTATCCCATTATCAAACCCAATATTCTCCTAAAAGATCCAATAAAACTGTGAAAATTCCAATTTTCCTTATTTTGGTTTTCTCTACACTTCTCCTGTCACTTAAAGATATTTCTCAAGGAATCGACCTTGGATGTGCAGGTTAGATAAATTAAATCATTAAATAAAAATTTCTCAAGAATGATATTCAAATGAAGTAACTTTGATGAAATATGTTCTAAAATCTATTTAATATTGTCCATTCAAATTTATTATAATGGACACTAATTAATACGATATTGATTATCATTTTTATCTGATTGGGATAAAAAAATAAGTATTATCATAGTGTTAGTCACACAGTTGGCCAAACAAAAATGTAAAAGGAGATGACGATACATGTAAAAGCCTGCCAACAGAGGAAAAAATTATGGGGCAAATTAAATCCCCCATAGAAGGTATGAAGAGTACGATGGCTCTTGTATTACTATCTTTGATCAAATAGAAAACCATCAAGACTTTGGTTTCAATGGGAAATAGAAAACCATCAACATCTATAGCGATACAAAGAGAAGCAACTCTACTAGAACTATATTTGATGTCAATAATTTGAGTTTCTTGATGATATGAAACTCTCGCATAAGGTGGTGTTGAAAATAGTACTGAATTATCTTCATTGCATCTTTGATTTCATTCTTTTCTTTTCTTTGGTTATTGACTTATAATTAAAGAAAACTATGATTCATAACGTTGCGTAATGAATTTATTTTATTTTTTGGTTTTGGGTACTGAATTTCATGATGATATTATGTTTTCTTATTGCTTATAATCTAGAAAAATAATTTTCTTCAAGATGAATTTAAATTTTTTGCATTGCGTAATGACTGCATTATGGTCATGGAATCTTCAAATGTTTAATTGTTTTCTAAAATATGTTCTTAAACATCTAACAGCTCTCGGTTAATTTTTGGAGAAACTTGAAAGTTATACCTTCAATTGATAATTTCATATGAAACTTTCTAAATTGAGAGTAGCATACAGTGGCATCTTCAGTTGTTATATCTTCAGTTCTTGGAGATTTCATTGCGGTTCCCTCTTCCTATGTTAAGGGCTGTCAATTGGGCTATGTTTCAAAAATTAGAGATATTCACACCCAATTAACATGGAGAAATCACTCTCTCAATCACTTACTAATCAGACATTACTAATGAAATTTATAATAATTGAACTGTACATCTTGATCCTATATTATAATTTGATATAATCGTTATATTGTGAAGAAAAATAACTTACCAATCCTATATTACGATCCGTTTCATAGAAATCAAGAGGAATTGGAATCCATTTCTATAAGCTTCATGGTATGTGTAAAAAGCATTGATGTCCTTTTAGTATTCCTATTAAGTAAAATAAAAGAATAAACCTTTTCTTTTCCATTAATTCCATAAAAAATCATTCTTCTTGCTAATTATTGGGGAAATCCAATCTAAATGACCATATATTTACTTTTCAACTAATTTACTAGGAACTACTGTCAAAAGGGATGAATAAATATATTGAATGAAATCAACAGGTCCCAAGTTCATTGATGCTAAAATCATTACCCCCATCAAGAAGTCAATATCATGGGAGGTAAAAAATTCTGAAGTAAGATATGCCAGATTCAAAAGGTGTTTATTTCCCATGATCTAAATGTGTTTCCATAAAATTTGTGGTCATGGTCTTAAATTTTGTACAATTGAAGCAGATATTATTGTAATCTGCATGTAAAAAAACATAAAAAAGTTGAATGAAACCTATAAAATTGATCTTTTGAAAGTAGAGATAATAATGTAAATATTGGCTTTACACCTTCATAGTTAATTTGAGCAACAGTCCATATTATTCTCGTCTCAGATGGATAACTATCGTTGGACTTTTTTCTTCAGTTATGATTAATAATCGTATTTTAATTCATTTTCAATGATTAGTAATCCTATTATTTTATGTTTGACGTGCTCAGGCCACTTCATCTCTGTCTGTCTGTCTGTCTCTCTCTCTCTCTCGTGCTCTTTCCCTTATTTGCTCCGTTCATTGAACCATAACTGATTTCAATGGTCACATCCTTCTGAGCAGCGATCGGAGCCCACCCTGGAGGCATCAGGTTGCTGGTCACGGTCAGCCCACTTACCAACCTCCCGCCGAATCAGTGATCCTGGCAGCTGGAGAGTCTGTCCGGTCTGTTTCCTTCATCGTTCAGGCATGAGTATTGACTAATGTTCGGGTTCTTATCTCCTTATTAGGCGTCTCCGCACGTCCGTCTCAGGTTCCATCGAGGTAGAACGAAGCCAACCGAATCCTACTGGATCCCTCAACCCGGTCGCATGAAGGTGTGAGAAAGGGATATGCAGAGAAGGGAGCAATAGCCTCAGGACGTGCCCTGGTGAAGACCAACCGTGTGCTGCCGGACGGGCAGCGAGAATTCAGTGCGGGTACAGGCGGCGGCGTCGCGCGGCGATGGCATGGTGGTGGCGTTGACGGGGGTATTACGGACTTCACTCCTTAAGGTTGGCTTGATTATCCTTTCTTCACCCATTATTTTGGAGATCAAACCGCTACTTAGGGTTTTCAAATCAACCTTAAAATCTGCGATATGCTCCGGGAGGAGCGGGGCTTTAATTCGTACTGATCGTGAAGGAGGTGAGGGAGGAATTTCTCGAGGATGATACTGGTTGTAAAGGCCAATCAACAAGGGGGAGAGGGTAAGAGTTTTCTGCCCCATGACAGGGTATGGTCTCCACGAGGTCTTGGAGTTGTTGCCATTTTCTACGGATATTACCATGGGCATGTTTCTGTCGAGGCCCCCGGATACTGGCAAGCTTCTCTGTCACGATCTTCTTGAATAGGCTTCACTGGGGGAAGCCACAGACGAACGAGGAGATAATGCAGCCTTGATGAAACGTGAGGATATGCCAGAAGCTTTACCTCTACAACTGATGAATTTGGCAAACGTCCGATGTACACCTTGATTTGTTGCCGGGGTTAACGGCACGCTTAAGGCTGCTTGGCTTCTGTGTAACATCTATCACGGGTCTTGACGAGGAAGAACGAAACCTTGAACAATTCATCTAATTCATAATACATTGACACTGTTTTAAGATAAAATAAAAAACATATATAATGGACTTGATTTTCAAAAGGTTGTAGATTTAACATTTGAGTCATAAATATATGGGATAAGATGCTTAAATATTAGTAATCAAACTCAAGGGAAGCACTATTTATTTTTTCAAAATTTTAACTGGATTTGATCAAAATATTTCTACGATTATCATGCAGTGCTTTTATACGTTTCTAACACTTCTAGATCCTGACTAATGGAAGTAATGGTTTATGAATTTGTACGGCCATTTAGTGGATTTCCAATTGTCCTAATTTCACAATATTATATAATTTTTTCCAGTTCCATTACCTTAAAATATAATAAAACTTATATTAGTTTAACTTCTACGCATTTTTTTTTAAACTGACACCACTATTGGACTATCTTAAATATTTTCTTTAAAATTTAAAAATAATATAATAAAAGTACAAATGGAAGGAAGTTTCCTCCGCACTTTCCCGTGTATTTCGCCGGAAGATTAGATGCTTGCAGTGCCGCTGGTCACTGACACGGACATCTGATTGATTAATGGGATGTTCCATTCCAAGCTCCAATGATTTCGTTTACCCACATGTCAGTCAGAAGTTTAGCATATGAACCATCCATTCCGTGTAATTTCATAATGTACGCAAATCATTGTGAAAACTATCGTCGACTGTTTTAAGCAAGTTAGATCTGATCGGATTCGGTTTGTTTCATGAAACAGTGTTCGTGCTGTTTCATGGAAGGTGCCGACAAGGGTATCCACCCATCCGTGGTACACTGTCTTGGAGTAAACGATTCCTATCACGTTGAACCTCTTGAGGGAGTGTTTCGCAAGCATTCTTACTGATTGCACGTTGGTGTACGGGGAAGAGAAGAGGGAGAGAAGCATGATGGACAAGTCCGATAAAGAAAGAGCATTCATCGAGAAACAAACAGAACAAGTGTTCAAATAATTTTGGAGACTGGACGACTAAACTTCTCACGAAAAGATGCTTCTTGAAGTTTACTTCTCTCTCCCGTAAGGTAAACATAGTTGGTACCCCTACATAAAAATGGGACCAGATGTCAATTTTTTTCTTCATTTATACGTCAAAAGCCTAGAGATTGGCTTGTCTACGTTTTCTATAAGCCATATTCTAAGAGTTTTCTTATTCTACTGGCGCTAATCTTCCATGGGATTCAATCTTAATCTTATAAGATCATACAGTTCTTTCCAAATCGATTGTATTACCCTCTCAAATCTCTAACTAGTTAATATAAGACCTTGTAATAAACTCAGTTAGTTCGCTAGAAGTTTTCTGTGTAAAAGTATACCCGGGGGATGGGTATCGATGCGTTTTGATTTTTATTGTTTAGCCTTTGTAGTGGAGAAATAAAAGTTCAACTGGCCCGTACTGATTATCAGGTATAGATAAGTCATTACAACAAAATATTTCATCGAAGAGGAGAGCTGCATCTAAAATTCTAATAACAATTTATGTAAAATAGTAAGAATTATGATCTACGGAAAATCGGTATATTTTAGCATCCCACCCAAATATGGTATACGTCGAAAGTACAGACATGCATCATGTATAGAATAAAAACTATAGTAAATATCTGTATAATATCCGCATTTGGGAGACATTAAATGGATCTAAATACGTAAATTATCGCCGTAAATTATGCGTAAATGGATCTAAATGCACGTAAATTATCTATATCGTACGGAGATTTTCTTCCACGTAAATTTCATCATATTGCTGTTGTGTATCCAACGCCATCTTAAGTAGATGTATGTCACTGTACTGGTAATGATAGATATAGACCTGCCACCAGAGGTACAACTGCAAGCAACGAAATGGTGTATAAGAAGGCCACAACCAAATCCTAATTCCCGAAGAGCTACGGGTAGTAATTTCCTTAGCCTAGTGAGCTTGCTTTCCATCTCCAGAGTACAACACCTTCTCCATTCATCGAGGTTTCTTCAATGGGGACCCTTATCGGCCATGTAGGCCCGGGGTTCGGGTTCCTCATCATCGGACTGTGGCAATTGTTTAACCATATCAAGCTCTACTGCCAGCACCCCAAGTCCTACCGCCCGCCCATCTGGTTTCCAGCCCCGAGGGTGAGACATCTCGAGCTCTACCTCATCATGATGGGCGGCTGGACCTCCATACTAATGGAGCTCTTTATCGGCCCCTCCCGGCACCAGCCGCTCGATCCCACCGATTGGACTATCCCCTCCAACCACCTCCACAATTTCGAGCACGCCACGATCTCCTTTACCATCTTCGCTTACGCTGCGTTTGCGCTGCACTTCGATCGTGTGCGTCTGAGAGCTGGTGGGACGCTCTCATTTCTGCTTGGCGCATTGGCCTTCGCCGTTGAGCTGCTTCTTTCCTACCTTCACTCCACAGACCACGCCGGCGTGGAGTGGCAGTACCACTGGCTTCTGCAGATAGCCATCGCCGTGTCTTTGATCACGACGGTGATGGGGATCCCGTTCCCCCGCAGCTTCGCCGTGGGCTTCGTGAGGTCTGTGAGCGTCGTCTTTCAAGGCGTCTGGTTCAACGTCCTGGGCATCATGCTGTACACGCCGAGGTTCATTCCCAAAGGCTGCTCCCTGGAGACCGACGACGGCCGTTTCGTGGTCCCCTGCAAAGGCCATCTCTCTCTCCACCGGGCGAAGGCGTTAGTGAACCTTGAATTTTCCTGGACTCTCATCGCAGTCGTCGCGTTCTCCATGTGGTTCTACCTTTATCTTGCCAAGAAGTACCCGGAGTTGGCGGAGTACGAGTGCCTTGCAGAGAAGGTTGACCAAGAGGACGGGATCTGGAAGTCGCCAAAGATAGAGGAAGAGAACCCCGATAGCTTCGCCGACGTGGGAAAGTGGTTAAAACCAAAAGATTTGGAAAGATAAGAGGCCAAGGGCCTCTCCGCTTCGTCAATATGTTCGCGTAAGGGCTTGTCCCCTATTCCTTATCATGCTTTCGGTCTTATCTTTCCCTCTGACTAAAATAATGAGTGTTTATGTCGCTAATGTCTTCGAATGATGCGTAATTCAATTAACGTAGACAAAAAGGGAATCAAGCAGATTATGAACTCTCTCAGAATGTATGCCCCGTCAAGTCATGTATGCATTATTAGTTGGTAGTACAGAGAAAAAATTCAAGTGAATAATAACAGAAAAACTCTATAAAATAAATTACTGTCATTTAAATTTTGTTCAAATAAAAGTAGAATAGATGGGGCATTGGTCCATCTAGAAAGAGAAGTCTATATGAATGCATCATTTAGAAAAAATGATTCTCCCAACTCCTGCGAGTTAATATTGGCCGAGATGCTAGATGGATCCAGTATATCTTTATGTTTCCATTAAACCTTGCGTATGAATCTTATATTTGGCTGCCTAGGATTTTGTAGAGGGAGTGAAACGTATAGTTTCTTTGGTCGTTCCCTTATGCCTATACGTGCGCTATCTTTACATCCGTTTTTAGTGCTCCGGAGTCCCCCTTTAATAACGATTGAAATCAAATCCAGCAAATTGCAATGATCTTAAACCGCGGTATGATGTGAAGTATCTCCACAGATTATAATACTAGAACAGACCCATACCTCTGACGGAGAAATCATAAAGAGAATTCCAATAAAATTACTCATAAGATCCGTAGACGACCTCCATAATGTTCCGTCTTCTTCCTCCCCGTTTCTCTCGTTTTTTCTCTTCTACTCCTGAGTAGAAGTTTCCTCCGGCCTATCACATCTTTCAGATTCCCCAGAAAGTAAACGAACATCAACCAGTTCAAACTTGCCGGGTCGGATAACTGATCTAACGCGATGAAACCTGTTTCTCGAACATCAGGACTCCCTTGCCGTCGTAAGCTCATTTGTTAATCGACCGTGAAGCATCCTAATATGCCAACCAGGTTGCCTCGATTTTAGTGTATGAATTATATTCAAAGTCTGGTTTGCTTTCATTATGAGGCACCATAGTGGGTGAACATAGAACCATAAGTATAGACGTGGTAAAATAAGTTCCTATGCCTAATCCCAGTCATGGAACTCGAGCACATATGTTCTCTCGCTTGAAACGTATTCAGCCGTCAGTGTTTAGGTCTAAAACAGCTTCAAGTCCGAAAGAAGTTCAACTTTCCAAAAGCTTTCCGTCTATCCATCTGACTTTTAGCTAGACTTTTGATCCGTTGAATTTTAAGAAGAGGAGCAGCATATCTTTCCAAAAAGATAGTAACATACAACATCAATATCTTTTATATCGATATTTCTAACTAAATCTAGCGCGGTATTGATATATTAATGGATCATCATTCTTGCTGCGATGGAGATAATACGGATTCTGATTCTTTAAAATCGTTATAACCAGTTACAAGACGAGCTGTTATGAGGGAAAGCTTATTGGATATTCTTTGCCCATCATTCTTGCCAGAAAAGTCAAAATCAATAAATGGAACACAATATAAATACTTCTTAAAGTAATATAATGTTACATTGATAGAAATCTTCAAATATTGACATCCCGTTTGATAACCATATTCTTTGAAGTAAAGACTCCATACTGAGATTTTGGCCCATCAGTAAGCATCCTAATCTTAAATAAGAAGAATGCCTTACCTACTTATGACAGTGACACAAAACACTCCATCTTCATCAGTCTCATAACATGAAGCACAATCATCAATCTCAAGTTTGTGGAAATTCGTGCATATGATACCTAATGACGCCTAGCTCTCAAAAAATGCTGACAAGAAAAATAACCAACACATATAAGTACACAAGAGTAAAATGGAAGATAAACCTGTGACACAGCTTTTGTAATATGCAGGCTTTAGTAAAAATTGTGATTCCAAAATAAAGGAAATTAGGCTCTACTGCTCTTGTAGTAAAAAAATTAAACTGATCGCATCTAGATTGGACCTAACCTTCAAATTAGTTGACTACCTGAATGAGTGAAGTGTTGGAGATGTAAAGAAAGATGCGATGGGCTCTAATGGACTCTTTCGTGAGTACAAAAATATATTCGATATAATTATATAATGAGGATCTAAAAGGATATTCCTCTCCATTATATAAGAGAGGGAAGGCACAACCTCTCAAGTCAAGAATTCTATGATGAGTCACCATCTTGGAAAGAAAAAGAGCCTCTTATGAAACATTGGATATAGGAGGCTTCTCCAGACCACATATCTAGTGTACACTCTTCTCCTTTTCCTTCTTACTATCTTTTCAAGTTTACAGTTTGTTTCACTGTACAAAGAGGGAACATTTGTTCCCCAACATACAGCATCCTTGTTCTTGGGAAAGATACATGAATTCAGAACGAGATAGCATAGTATCTGATGTAAGAAGTCATAAATTAACATTAAACTCGAACATAGAATAAATGTAACATGGTTTCGAAAAAATGGTTTAAGGAATAATGATGCTGTTTTTAATGGATTTTGATATAAGTAAAAAAAATTAATTCAAGGGATTAAAAGATGGAAGAGAAAGCTCAGGCTCACCTACCCTCATCTTCCTGGAAATTTCCATTTTAAAGCTTTAATAAATAAATTATTCTTACAATTTATACGCAATGTTTATAAGTTAAAAACAAAATTATTCCAGAAGAGTTCTATTGACTCCCTCTATATCATTATTCGGGGCATACTTCCAAACTTTTTAGCAATTTATATCATGTTCTTTTAGGAAAATGATAAACTCAAAAAAATTATAAATCTTTTCCTTATCATAACTGAAGAATTTTATGTCTCAAGCAATTTTTTTTCCACTAGGTCAGTTGAATTAGGAATTATATATGTGATATATTTAATAAATTTAAAAATTAATTAATGAAAAAGCTAAACCCCCATAGTCACTCAATAGGGATATCACAAGTATGAACATAAATTACGATAGGATAGTTTCTATGGTCAGTTGTACACGAAATGAAAGTTGGCTTTTGTTTCTTGCTGTAAAAAGATGTTCGCCAAATATTTAGGAGAGAAACTTTCTGATGGAATTGGGATTAAATTGGGAAATTATTTTGAATCTCAATTTCATTACTTGACTGTTGATCCAAGGCTTAGTTAAATCACAATTTGACCTTGCCGGGTTACTTCTTCTTCAATGTCTAATTGACAGATATGTAAGGATTTTAATTAGTTGCTCCAATGATAGTACTAATGTGTTTCTGCCACTGTTAACCTACACTTCGCTAATGTCCCGTCCGACTAAGTCTCACCAACGAATATTTGAATATTTTGATCCAGTTCTTCATTTTCTAGTTCCGTTTTATCAGTGAATCTCGTATCGACACGTATCATATGTCCACACAATCTACTTGAATGCTCACAATCGAATTTATCTCCTTTTAGTCCTCTCATAGTTGGAAATAATTTTTGGCATGCGACTTTGTCCATGGTGCCAATACTTTCTCAAAATATCAAGTATATGAAAATTGATTTTTATTTTCCAAGGAGTTGGCACATGAGAAAATTGTGTCACTTATTCCATGAGTGTCAACACTCTATCCTCTATTCTATAATTTTGGTGCAGGTTTTGACAACTGACCACCGTGCTTATTATTTTTATTTTTAGATGATCACCTTACACTTAATCAACCTGGATTTATTATTGTTATTCATTTACGATTCCTATACCCTCCAAGTGAAACAGTCAGTTGTGTTTTCTGAAATGTTGTGAGGGTTTAAGTTTAATTAAAAAATTATATAACTTTTATTATCGTATAAATTGTAAATTAAACTTCACTTTTGGTGAAGTTTAATTTAATGATGGGGTAAACCATCAGGAAACAAATCATGATTTTTTTTTTACCCCCCAATTTGCATGAAAAATGGGAGGAAGGGAAGAAGATAATGTTCTGCTAGACAGAGAGAGGGGAACGAAGGAATAGGGTATGTTTTAGGAGAGGGAGAAATAAAAAAAATGATAGATTGATGGATAGGAGGGAGAGATAAGATTCTTAGGAATGTCGAGAGAGGAAAAGATGGAGAGAACAGAAGGTTATTAAGGCGCTCGTCATTTCTAACAAATATCAGTTTTTTTAAGGTACGAATACGTTAATTATGTAATCCTACGTTCGTGATAGGATAATTTCTAGCCATCAACATACTCTCAGGGACAAGTCTGACCAAAAACATGGTGACTACGATAAGAGGTCGTGTTTTCAAGGATCCAAACTATATAACCCGACATTTTTCCAAATCTAATTTTCAACCTGAATTAAAACATGACCCAGGAGTTGTTTCTTTTCTGGACATGCTTAGGATCTAATAGGTTTCATTTGCCATTTTAGTTATTCAGGAAAAACGCTCTCATATATTAACTTCTATCATTAATCGTTTATTTTTTTCATATTACATCGCTTAGAATTGGTCTTTTACCATTCTTCGACTTCACGTCTAGATTTCCCTTTCAAGTCCTTAGGCAATAAGAAAACTCTGTTTTCGGACTAGCTGGCCGGTTTCTTAAGCACGACTTCTCTGTACGCTTAACATTTACTCTATCCCTGGCAGAAAAAGGAAAGCCACAAAATCTGATTTTGATGTTTCGACCTGTAGCAGTTGGTCTCTACATTAAGGAATGGAAGTATTCTGAAGGACTTCTTTGAGTTTCTAATGGGTAAGATCAAATATGGAAAATAAAATTTTATTTTTTCAATAAAATACAAATGACAACTAGCTTAATAGTGATATACTACAGATTATAAATAAAATGACTTCCGAGTTGTCGTGACATGTGTATTGATAAAACATTCATATTGTTCCCATTCGAATTACATAATTCCTTCACGGTACAGACTGCGTATAAAAGGCCTCCACCACCACTACGAAACTAGCAGCTAAAGTGCGATCTCATTCCCATCCTAAAGTTCTTCCCCTCTCCATTGCCGCTCATTCTCCACTCGACCTCTTGAAACGCAGTCCAGGCATCCTTCATGGGCACCCTTGTCGGCCACGTCGCACCGGGGTTCGGGTTCCTCATCATCGGACTGTGGCAATTGTTTAACCATATCAAGCTCTACTGCCAGCACCCCAAGTCCTACCGCCCGCCCATCTGGTTTCCAGCCCCGAGGGTGAGACATCTCGAGCTCTACCTCATCATGATGGGCGGCTGGACCTCCATACTAATGGAGCTCTTTATCGGCCCCTCCCGGCACCAGCCGCTCGATCCCACCGATTGGACTATCCCCTCCAACCACCTCCACAATTTCGAGCACGCCACGATCTCCTTTACCATCTTCACTTACGCTGCGTTTGCGCTGCACTTCGATCGTGTGCGTCTGAGAGCTGGTGGGACGCTCTCATTTCTGCTTGGCGCATTGGCCTTCGCCGTTGAGCTGCTTCTTTTCTATCTTCATTCCACAGACCATGCTGGTGTGGAGTGGCAGTACCATTGGCTTCTACAGGTAGTCATCTCCGTGTCCCTGATCACGACGGTGATGGGGATCGGGTTCCCGACCAGTTTCACAGTGGGTTTCGTGAGATCTCTTAGCGCCGTCTTCCAGGGCGTCTGGTTCAACGTGTTGGGTATTATGCTTTATACTCCGAGGTTCATCCCCAAGGGCTGCTCCCTGCAGTCGGACGACGGCCGGCTCGTTGTCCCCTGCGACGACCACCTCGCACTCCACCGCGCGAAGGCATTGGTGAATCTCCAGTTCGCCTGGTCTCTTATCGCCGTTGTGGCTTTCTCAATGTGGTTCTACTTTTACCTGGCGAAGAAGTACCCGGAAGTACCCGAATACAAGTGCCTGGCTGCTAAGGGTGACCAGGAGGACTATTTATGGGAGTCACCAAAGAAGATGCACGTGGAAGAGAAGCCTGACAATTTCCTGGATGTGGGTAAGTTGTTGAAGCCAAAGGACTTGGAAAGGTAATTCAGCGGAGGGATTCTACCCACTGCCTTATATGTTTCCTTTAAATATTAATAATTTTGTAATTACTATTACCATATCTATAACGGTATCTATTACACACCGGTGATCGCGGTGTGACATCTATGAATTTCCCCTTAAATGCTGGAAAGGAAATCTGAGCCAGCAGACTGTAAGCGATGGTGTTGCTTGGTCTTTACTAGACGAAGTGTGCCTTCATGTTGAATGCCGGGCGAAATCACCGGCGAATGATCTCTCAATGAAAAAGACTGAATGTGCCCGTGCTAAATCAATGTTCATTTGCTATAAAATGAAGTGTATCTGATTATAATTAAGACTCCAATGTATATCACGCTTCCACATCCCTCTGCAAAAATCATCCAGGAATGAAGATTGGATACTGTAATGTTTGTACGTCAAATAATGAAGATGAAAAACGGTGTACTGGATTATTAGCAGACGTTCTAAGAGGGTATCTCTACAAAAATTATCTGTCACACAGATGAAGATCTGCTATTATTCAAGGCACATTTCAGAATCACAGGAACTTAAGGGCTAAGATTTGAGGATTCTGAAAACATTTAACATGGAATGAAGTAAAGGCGTCTAAGTGTGGATGGTGAATTAGCTAAATTACCCAAAAAATATTAAAAACTGAAGTGTTTGCATCAGCTTCATTTTCTTGCGTGCAAGGAGTGATGATCTACTCGCCTTATGCTTGTGCTTCGAAGCGTGGAAGCAAACTTTGAGCCTTCCCAGGGCAAAAAATTTAATACTAAGTTTTAAGACCATGCAGACCTTGGTAAGGTTAACTAGAATCTAAATGTATACTATTGGGATTTATTCAAGCAATGGGGTTCAAGAAAGACAGATCTTTGAAAATTTTGGCAACTTTCGAATCTGAAAAGCTTCTTTTACTGATGAGCCTGCCAACAACTGGTACGACAAAGATGGGCCGACCCAACCGTTTAACGGATAGAATAGCAATAACAACTGGTGTACATTGTTGAGGACCTTTGATGATCACTCAGACAAAGGGAATGAAGCCCAATTGATCCGTACGACCCGAAGTAATGAGAAAGTGAGACGATTCAGCTCTCAATAACACAAGGACACAAGGATTTTTTACGCTGTTCGCAGATTATCCTCCTACATCCACAGGCAATGGCGACGGTATGCTTCGCCAGATGTAGAAATTTCCGAAGAAGGCTTTCACCTCCAACAATACGGAATAGTTGGCTACTATCCTCTCTCTTGTACAAAGGAACAAGCAGTGACTCTCATCACCATCCGGCAAAACAGGCAGTGGCTCTCCCCTTCCGTCCACAGACAGATGGCTGCGTCCTTTCTCCCCGGCCTGCAAGAGAGGTGGAGGCCTCTTTCCCCCGCGGGCAGCAAGGCAGACGGTGGTGTCCTTACACCCCAACAAAGCGGGGGGCGTCGGCAATCTTCCTTCGCCAATAGGACAGTCCGCAGCAGCGGAGGCTCTCTTCCTGAGACAATAGGGCTGGCGGCAGCGGCGGCAGCTCTGTCCCTCCGAAACTGGCGGCGCCGTTGTGCTTCGGAAAACCCTCACGAAGCCTAATAAGGGGGCACGGCCTGTTTCTGTCAGGCCGGTGCACGGAAAAGGGCCGCTTCTTACGTCTGCGCATGAGATGAGCCACAACCCTGATCCAGGTCAGCTGGGAAGAAAACTGTTGAGGAATATGTAGAAAGGGAATACTCATCGAAAGGCGTGAATCTAAGCATTCCCCAATAATACATTTTTATCAAGTAAAATAAAGCCAAGACCGGTTGAATTTTTCTCTGGAGGATGAGAAGTTGCAAGTGATATAAAATGTTCTACTGATTCCAACAACCGATATTTAAAAATTCTATGTGAGGTTACGTACGTAAGTAAGCCAACAGCTCCTTAGTTATCTACTTGAAAGAAAACACAAGGCAACCATTGAAAGAGGACAAGACAACCAATTTTGAACGCCATGCTTCTTTAAATCTTGTATCCCTTTTTGTTTAAATATATCTTTTGAACACTACAAACATATTTATGAAAACAGAAGCGATCGTAAACTTTTGCTCTTAACTAATGCAAGAACTAAGCCTATAGGTCAACCTAATAATAAATTAGAGTAAAAATCATGGAATCCAATTATTGATATGTAACATTGTCTGGGAAACCAAATAATAACTTATTTGACTTAAAATTGAATTTTTTTGTCATTCAAATATTTACACTTAAAAAAAATCACAGATTTATGTGGAAATTCTAATAGCTAGTGAAAAATAGAAATTAAGAAATTAAATTGACTTTAGTATCATATTTTGAAAGAAGTCAATCACATTTCTCTTGAACATTACACTCACAATGCCCTTGTCACTTCGTAGTGACTCATCGGAATGTCCTGACGAGATCCATTTACAAATATTGTCACTCCTGTGCTATGTTCTGTGAACTGAATTCTTTTCCTTTTATGGTCCCGATTTCCAATTTACAACCGACGAAAATATGAAATTATTTTTATCATTCTAATATTTTAACCAGTTAAGAGATCGACTATTTTGTTCATGCCACGTGAACACAAACTTTCTAAGAAAATCATGGAACTAGAAGAAGCAGATATTCTGATTTTCTATGAGCCTTTGGATATGAGTCCAAATCCAGTTTTTCTAGGAACCTTTGGTTTTCTAGGAAAAAGCAAACATTGATCGGATGCTAATGATAAACTTTAAGATGGGATGTGTGCAATTTTTCAATAAAATAAAGATTTTTTTTTGACTGGGTTGTGTCCCAAAGAGTGGACATTTTTGATGCAGCTTCTAACTTCCAGTATATCTCTTGTCATGTAGGGAGATGGATCACCTGTCACTTTTTACTAGTTAATGGAAAAACTAGAAGGTTACAGGTGAATAGAAAAGGTGCATCTTTTTATGTCACATTGCGGTTTCTAACGATGAGATTTAATAATGATAACTTAATATGCTTCTATTCCTTAGAGGCGAAGTCATCACTGTTCTAAGGAATGTGAAATTAGTTCATTTGTCCCCAAGGAGCCACGTGTGAGATCATACAACCCAGATTTAGTTCTTGTCGCCTATAGACGAGAATCAAGGCCTGACGTTGACATATTTTTTCTCTAGTTCCATGTTTTTAAATTAAAACATGGAAATCTTCTTTCGAAGACGACCGTCAATTCTTGTGTTCTCTTATTTTGTGTGGGACGACTTAGAGACTAAGAAAGAAAGATGGGTCCTACATGTGTAGTACTCTCCTTTTTTCTCATTTACTGACCTACTGTAAGTCAGAAAGAGAATCGAATGATAGAAAATCTTTCAGCAAAATCGCTTGGTTACGGCCGTATAGAAAGCTAAACTAATTTTACCAATCTTGCTCATTTGATTGTCAGGAAGCTACTTATATTCAAGTATATAACTATGCACAATATTTATCGGCCACTTCCTGGCGCAATACACAGCCCAGGCTGTTGTCGTTCACATAAACGCATCATGAGTTTTTTTATTTATTTCATTTGGAACGACAGACGTGGACACCTCAACAAAAGTGATTACATGACGTATATAAAAGGTCTACAGATAGAACCCAGACGTATAGAATCTCCGAGAAACCACTCTTCCTTACCCTATTGCAAACACTGTCCCCTTCTCTCCCCATACCCCAAGGAACTTTCGAGATTTCTTACATGGGTACGCTTGTTGGCCACGTAGCCTCGGGGTTGGTGTTCCTGGTCATCGGACTGTGGCAACTGTTCAACCATATCAAGCTCTACTGCCAGCACCCCAAGTCCTATCGTCCCCCCATCTGGTTCCCAGCGCCGAAAGTGAGACATCTCGAGCTCTACTTCATCATGACAGGCAGCGCAATCTACATGATATTGGAACTCTTTTTCGCCAACTCCCGGCATCACCCTCTAGACCCCGCCGACTGGACCATCCCCTCTAACCACCTCCATAACTTTGAGCACGCCACCATCTCATTTGCCCTCTTCATTTACGCCGCGTTTGCGCTGCACCTAGATCGGGTGCGCCTTAGAGCTCGTGGTGTGCTCTCCTTCCTGCTCGCAGCATTCGCACTCACCATTGAGCTGTTTATCTTCTACCTTCACTCGACAGACCACGCCGGCGTGGAGTGGCAGTACCACTGGCTTCTACTGATAGCCATCGACGTGTGTCTGATCACGACGGTGATGGGGATCGGCTTCCCGACCAGCTTCGTAGTGGGCTTCGTGAGGTCTGTGAGCGTCTGCTTGCAAGGCATCTGGTACATCATCCTGGGTGTCATGCTGTACACACCCAGGTTCATCTCCAAAGGCTGCACCCTTCAGTCGGACGACGGCCACCTCGTTCATTCCTGTGCGGACCACCTAGCGCTCCACCGCGCGAAGGCGTTGGTGAACCTCCAGTTCGCCTGGTGTCTCATCGTCGTTGCCGCTATCTCGCTCTGGTTCTACGTTTACATGGCGAAGAAGTACCCGGAGGTACCCGATTACGAGTGCCAGGCTGCAAATGGTGACGAGGAGGACTACTTTTGTGAGTCGCCAAAGAAGATGGACCTGGAAGAGAAGTCTGACAATTTCCTTGATGTGGGTAAGTTGTTCAAGCCAAAAGACTTGAAAAGGTAATCCAGCAAACTGTTCAACTATTATTAATAATTTTTAAATATAATTATGATATCTCTGAATATTCCAGCTGCATATGATAACGGTGTGTCATCTCCACGTAGCTGATGGGAAAACAAAGGAGAAAAACAAAACTGTGAGTGTTGATATTTTAATAGGCGTAGTCTGTTCGGCAGGTTGAAATCCGTATGAAATCACAGGTGAATGATTCCATGAGAAAACTCAGAATGTACCAGCGCCAAACTAGAGTTCATTTTTCTGTAACGTGAAATAATGTACTTTAACGTAAGGAACATTCAAATTTATATCGTAAATTTATATCGCTGCGCAAAATAATCCACAGAATGTTACGCTTCTACGTCCAATAAACGTGATTAAAGTTGATGTGTATGGAGGAGAACTTTATAGGAGGGCATCTCCGCTAAAATAACCCATCTATTATAAAAAGATATGACATCATTCAGGTCACATTTCCGCTTCACCGGGTCTTACGCTTATCGGAATGTAAAAACGCTCGATCATTTAAATAAGGAAAATTGTAGCGCGGGCTTCATCAATGTGTTGGAAGAGATCATAGGCGGCAATTTTTTTCGATAACAAACTTGACTGGGTTGTCATCCACTTAGCGTAATATAGTACATCTTCAGTTCAGGAAAGATGTGATCCACAAATCAGAAAAATTTCTCATGAAGCCCACGAAGGAACTATGCCCATAAGCTGAGAAAGTGAAACTGGTCTATTATACACTCTGAGTTAAATCCCTATTCCATTCAACTACATCGTTAAATATTAAAATGTACTTAACTAAGGGCTAAACATGAAACTTTAGTGCACTTTACAATCAACTTATTTTTTCCGAACTAAGATTCGACCGTTCTGAAGACATAAAACCTGGAATGATTTTAAGGGTTTCAGAGTGAATAGTGAACTAACGCAGTTACCCAAAAAATATTAAATTTAGGTGCCAGTGTTTTCACGAGCTTGATTTTTCTCAGGTACAAGGTTTTAGGAGTGATGATCTATTGGCTTCAGACTCTCGATTAGAAACTTGGAAAGGGACTGTGAGAACGCTTGTGTAAAAAGTTTGATGCTAAGTTTTAAGGCATTGTATGTTTTGAACTAGGAAGGCTCCTTTTACAGATGAATCCGCAGTCAAATAGATCGCTCAACCTGACTTTCTGGCGAATAGGATGTCAAAAGTGTCTGGATAACTAGACATGACAGTCAGGAATAAAACCAGGAGAAGTTTTTGGAAAGGGAGTACTTATCCATGGAGTGCGTCAAACCGTTTCCTAAATAATGAATTTTCCAGAAAGCAATAGGCGCTAATACCGTCAGGTCAGTGTACCCTTTCGAGGACCACCTAGCGCTCCACCACACGAAGGCGTTAGTGAACCTCCAATCCGCCTGGTCGATCATCTTCATCGCCGCTTGGTTCCTGTGGTCCTACTTGACGAAGAGGTACAAGGAGGTACCCTAGTTCGAGAGCCACTCCGGGAAGTGGGCAAACACGGCGTGTTTCCGAAGTCGCCCAAGAAGATGGCGGAAGCTGGAGAAGCCGAAAGTCTTCCTAGATATGTGGAAATATCTCAAACTAAAGGATTCAGAGAGGCAGGAGAGAAAGACGGGTTCTGCCTGCTTTCCTTCTCATCTAATTTTAGTAACAGGGAACCCTCTTATCTCCCGATTTGTTACAGTAGTATTAATATGGCTAACACTATTTGTCGATCAGAATATCCAAAATTTACGATTGATATTTCCACGGTAATGTTACTCAGAATGGCAAAGCAAACTACTGTGTACGCTACGATGCCGAGAACTATATTATAGTAATCTGTTGCCAGGTAGAATTCTGTATTAAAGAAGACATGAGTAGACGCTTCCTGCCGTGCGTCAAACCGTTTCCTAAATCATGAGTAGAATTCTTGATCATGTTTTTGATTAACGAGAAACGTTCTTGAAATAAATCTCTCGCTACTTATCAGTGTAGCAAACCTCATATGAGTAAATCGCTATTCTTCTGTAAAATCATGATGGGATCCAAGTTTCAAAAAATTCTATATTATCTAGTATAAATCCAGATTAATGTTGATGCGTATGGATTTAGAAATTTGTAAGAGGGCAATCGCTCGAAATTTTCCCGAGTATTATTGATCACATATTTTTTTTATGATATGATTGACGCATTTTCGGCCATTAAGTAATAAAATTTAAGTTGAGCCTCTGGCTAGGATCTGCAAGAGACGGTCCTTTCGACCTTATTGATCAATCAAAGTTGAGAGGTCATTTATTTTTAGCGCAATCGATGGATGGAAAGTTGCTTAATTACATGTTCAGCAAAGCCCAGCAAACATAAAGTCAAAATCTTTGTATGATTTGCTACAGACGGACAGTAGTATACTAAAATGATTGTGTAGCGCAGTATTTTAAACACTTTTCTCGTTCAGATTTCTAGGTCATGGATATGTCTATCTGTGAAATTGCAGGGCGATATATGAGAGTCCAAGGATCATCATACATTAAGTGCGACAAATTAAGTAACTGTCAATATATAACGTGGCCTTGTTTAGTTTCAATAAACAATTAAATTATTTCACATGGTATGAGAATCTATATTTTAAATATTCAGGGTATAAGATGTGCAGACTTACAAAGACTTATTTTCAATGATATATAGATGAATGAAAATCAAGTAGCAAAATATTTCATGTGGACAAGCCAATAGAAATTCAATAGTAGTGTCCATATCAGAAAATGTTAAAGAATCAGTCCAGCGAAATCATAACTAATTAATTATTTTTAAGGTAGCCTCGTGTATTTTAACCACCAAATAAACTCCCGAAGAGAATTTTTATCGTACCATGTGATCTTTTGAGTTGCGTAGTGTAATATGGGTAACAAAAAAACCTGAAAGATCCCGTAAGGCAGAATATTCAACAATGAAAAAAAATCTATGCCTCTATGGTTTTTCTCATTAAATCAAAGCTATCTATTAAATTTTATTATATCACAAATAAGATATCCTTAAAATAAACCGACATCCAATAACTTTGACTTTAATATGAAGGCACGATTTTATTGCTTTGCGTGAAAGCTAAATCTTATCATATAAGTTCCTTATTTAACAAGTATTGTTCTTCTCAAATGAGATATTTCAGTCAGATATTATAAAAAAACATCTCTCTTTAGATTATGAAATGAAAATATTGAAAAAAATAAATCTTATGCTGATCATGACATGATAAGGTTATAAATAACTATCAAATATCAAGATTAAATTTTCATTTCAAGCTAATAGACTTACGAAGCTGAAATCATAAAGCATGACAAGACAGCTGTCCAATTGAAAATCCCAAAAGGCAAGTTGCCAGTTTAAGAGCATAGAAAGATTAACACATAGCAGACTGGGTGTTGACAAGAAGGATTAATGAAAGATGGGTACTCACAGATATTTGACAATGAAAATAGCCATGTAGGAACTTGTAGTTTATATTAATGATAAACAGTCCACCCATTTCTAAGGCTGAAAACTTAATTGTATTAATGATTTTCTATTACTGCTTAAAACCTTTTGCTGTCTATCCATGTTTTCACTAATGAATGGTGTCACCAAACTTAATTTTCCAATTTAAATACTTGAACATAATGTAATATTCATCATATGTTGCATTATCTCAGTTTACATCTATTTTTGACTAAAATAATTAGGTTCTTCAATAGTTTCAGCCCCAAAGATGTGGTTTGACCATTTCTAATAAAAGAAAATATTAAATGAACAAGAGTATTATCTCAAAAATTATTATTTTTACTACACTTGAAAAGAAAACTAATAGTTTTCTTAACTTTATTGATTTTAATATTAAAAAAATTAGCGTAAGGTTAAGATAGTAACCTTGACACTAACAAACGTTTGTGAGTATATCACAAAACATTGTCTAACTATCTAACTCTTTGTACAAGTTCATATGATTTCAAGAGCATTTGCAGACCTTTTTGGTTTCAACACAAATTGAGTGAAATTATGTAACTAGTAATCTATTAGTAATCTATTCTATTAACTCTTGGACAAGTTCAGTAGTAGTTAAGTTTTGTTACTACAATTGTTTGCAATACCAAAAAAAGTATAAAAACATCATTGTTATAGTACTATAATTTACCCATTGGAATGACTATTAAAAGGCAGTTTCTATTATTTTATGCTCATAATCATGAGGAAATGTTGTCCTATAAGTGAATCAACCTCACTAACATTCATGGAGAGTTTCTATAAATGTTAAACAACATTTAATGTCAATATCAAGCATGAAAAATTATTATAGTGTGATAAACCTCCAAACCTTTAGGCCCACATCTCTACTCCTCTAGGTTGTCTTTAATATCCCCAAAATACTCTTTTAAAATTAACAACCTGAAGTTGGCATGAGTATCATAGTATTTAATATAAGAACTCTGAAATAGAGAGTAATCAGTTGGAAGTTAATTTGGCTTGGTGATGCAGTGAAAATTTGAAGAATTGATAACTTGATTACGTTTCAGCTTTGGTTGTGTATTCTGGAAGCAAAATTACGACCTTGAATTTAAAAGAAACATGTCTTGGTTGAAAAACTCCTTGCCCTAAATCCACATAACGAAGATATTTCATCTGTTGAGTCCACAAAGGGTTGATCCTAAGTCTATAGGATCGAAATTGGCTCCCTAAGTCCATAAGGATACTAGAATCCACTAGTAAAAAAAGAACCTCAAAAAGGAAGGAAACTTGAAATTAATTGATAATAACATGCCTCATTGGGGCTACAAGGGGGCCCTATTTTTAGGCCAAAAATTAGTTATAACTAACCTATAAATGGGGAAATCTATTATGATCCTAGAAAATAGGAAAAAAAATAGATTAAACTTTCTTATGAAAAAAGAAGACTTTGATAGACGGCCCCTAAGAAATAAGAACACCCTAAATAGCATAGGGGGATTAGTTTACATGAATAAAATGTGCGAATTTAAGATTTAGACTCATTAAACATGTGACCAAATCTCTAAATGAGTATTTGAAGTTGAATTTGGCCAAAATAAAGTTTTCACGTCTCTTGAGTCTCTAATTCACTTGAGTTGGTCTAAAATTTTGTTGGATTTGATTGTATTACTTTTTACTCTTTTCAACGTAGATCCCATTAGTTCTTCCACTTGGGTCAAAAACCTTCCATTCCTCATTTGATAGTAGTTTCTAGGCTACATCACTTGGCTTGCTAAAACCATCAATCTAGAAGGGATTAGCTTCTAGTTTGATCAATCTATAGCAATAAATTTAAAAGAAATGTTTAAGAATACCTTTGAATCTAGTTAAGACTAGCTAAAACCTTGATTTAAAGAGACTTGTACTACTAGATATTTGTATAATGTAATGATATTTTCTTTAGATAATAGAGTATGCCTAATGTTCAAAACCACTATAAATCTTGGATTTTGTTTTAGTGATATAACCCAACACAATCAATCAACCTAGTTGATTGATGGTTGCTAACTAGAAAATAAATAATTACATATAATTGTGAAATGTTCTGATTGGATCCTACCTCTTGGCTCTTCTCTTAGCCTTCCATAAGTTAAAAGTGGGTCAACCAAATTGGTCTATGTTGACTGAGAAGAAATTGGATATAATTTCTCAAATGGCCTGATTCACCCACCCTTCTTCTCTTTGTTCCTCCTCTAGTCTTCTATAACCAATATTAACTTGGAGGTATAGAAGTAGAAAGAAAGGAGAAGATGTCATAGATTGAGTAGGAGGAGCCCAAAATTGGAGAACACAACTAGGGATAGGTTTCAGTGAACTTGGATTGTGTAGATGGAAAATGACTAAGGGTACGAGCCAAAAGAAGGTTGAAAGGAGGACGACCAAAAGGAAGAGCGACTTGATAAAGGGAGATCTAACAGGTGATATGGGGACCAGAGCCAAAAGAATGGAATGGAAAAGCTCTGTATCTAAACTATTATCTCGCCTTTTGAAGATATCATTAGTTGGAGGACCCTGGGATGCATAGCTTTGATACATAACAAGGAAATATGTTAGAAACGGAATGAAAATGAAGCTTAGTCCTATCATATCGTCAAAAATGGAAATTGACATGGACTTGGAAAATACAGAAACATATGGATGAAAATTCATGACTCAGGCAAAGTGAGCTCCAACAATAGCCGGAGTAGGTGTAAAAGATGCTTCCACAAGAAATACAAGATAAAGTATGTATCTTCGACCTGCCTGATCAGAAGGATTTCCTCAAAAGGGAAGGCCTATCGAAAGCACATGAAGAACATGAAGTTTCTTGGAGATAATTCATAGTGATAGGTCCGATCAAAGGAAGGTCCTCAGAGATGGACAGAACATGAAGAACATAGTTGGGAGAGGGAGAGAGGTCTTGGAGCAGCTGGTCTGTCAAAGGAATCTACTCATGGAGTGTGTGAGCTTGGTAAGTATCTCTAGAATAAATAAAGCCGAGAGAAATCAAGGCTCTCCAACATATCTAAGTAAGTAATCTTATGAACTTTTGGTGCAGAAGAACTTTAGTAATATTAAGATAAGGGCCTTTTTATTAGTACAAACATCATACATTTTAAAGGATGATTATCTTGGGTACCAACGGCTGCGTGGCTGTTATTTAGTTCATAAACTGGTGAGACTGCTCAGTCACATGATGTAAGAATAGACTATTCAGCAATATATGGAATCTACATTCTAACAATGTCATTTCTTCCTTTGATATCTCATAATAGATCGACTTGGACAGAACACGATATGTGTGTATCCACGTCGCCGTTTCTAACCGCCACGGTCTAACCGCTACCGGCCATGTTCTAGAAGTGAGAGAGGTCCGGACCCAAAAAAAATTAAAACTAATCTTTTAATTTAATATCTCACCTGATATAAAACTAAAATAACTGAAAATTTTCAATTAAAAGCGATTCAATAACTTTCCAGGGTTTTGGGGAACAAAATGTTAATAAAAAAAAGGGGAGAAAGAATTCCAGGAGGTGTTTTAAGACTGAATGAGGATCTCCACAACCGTTGGAAGTTTTTGGATAATTTTTCCTACAGAAAGGTTCAATAAGAAAGAGGTCGCCTCGTCGAATCAAGCCAGTCAGTGTATTTGGCGGGGTCTTCCTTCTCCGCCCGCCGGAGCAAAGCGACAATTCCGGCTAGAAGGTCTTCCACGTTGAGATCAGACTCCGAGACGCCGGAGTTCACCATTAGACGCCTGCAGTCTTTTCCTCGTCCGGGAATGAGAGGCAGGTATTCTTCCGGGGCTCCGACTGCGTTTGGTGTACTCTTGATATACTCGGGATTTTCTGTTTGATCGCTTCTGGCCGTCCAGTGAGATAGATTGATTTCGTTTTCAACTTGGTTCTTTTGGATCGTCTTCTCAATGGAACGGAGAAGTTTCTGAAGGAGATTCGTCGCCGGTGAGTGATGATTGCGGCTTTCATGGTGGCATTAGGAGGCATCGATAGTAGAGTAGGAACCGTTGGACCGCTTTCTCACGGTCGCCCAGCCCTTCCCAGTGAGAAGCGGTCCATGATGTGACCGTTTCTCACGGAGGGGTTTAATATCCTTTACAGTGGCAAGCAGTGAGCGGAGAAGGCCTCGGGGATCCTCGCTTGCCGATGCAGGTTCGGTGGTAGATGCTTGACTAGCCCAGGTTCTTCTTCGTCAGGGGGGGAGTCTTCGCTGTGGTCACGGCGGCGCTCTACCCCACCGTGCTTCCACACCGCGCTGCCATCTTCCGGCAGGAGGTCCCCGGGGAGCTCTTCCAAGGGTTTGGCACGTCCATCGGCGGCGCCGCTCCTGCGCGGGCACTGTACATGGCGGCTGTCGAGGTTACAAAGAACTATTCCGCCGCCTACGCTGCCCAGCTTGGCGTGCCGGAGTTATCGCCGGCACCGTCGCAGTGACGACTGCCGCAGTTGCTGCTCAGGTCGTGTGGACGCCAGTCGAAGTGGTGACCCAAAGACTGATGATGCAGTGGGCTCCTCAAAGAGGGCCGTCGGCTGCCAAGTACCGCAGCGGTGTCGATGCTTTCCGGAAGATACTGATGGAAGACGGACCGAGGGGCGTCTACAGGCGCTTTGGCTTCTCGCTCTTCAAATACGCTCCTTTCAGCGGAGTGTGGTGGGGAACCTACTCGTTGCTCTACAGATGCATTTCCCCCAGCTTGGAGTCCCACTGCCAAGAGTGGAAGCCAGACGCCCCCGCCGCCGGCTACAACCAGGCGGTCATCCCTACCAGCACTGGCGGCGGCGCGGTTGGTTGGTTCAGGCGGCGAGCGCGACTGTAAAGGGGGCCATGTCCGTGCTTGTGACGATGCCGCTGGACACCATCAAGACGAGAATGCTGGTGGCGGAGGGCGGCCGGAAGCCGGCGGGGAGCTTCTTCATCGCACTACGAAGCCTGGCGAAGGAAGGCGGGGGATGGGCCGCCGGCTACCGGGGGCTGGGTCCCCGCTGGGTATCCACTTCTCTATCTGGGGCGGGGATGGCCACCACCTACGAGACCCTGAAGCGCCACTCCGCCGAGCCCGTTACGCTGGATCCTCCGCCATGATCCGTCCTCTTCCCCCCTTCCTTCCACCCTCCTCGGAACTTCTCGTCACTTTCGCTGGGAGTCAGACGGACAAAGCGAGAAGATATAGCCAGCCGGGGGGAGGAATTGTAGTGAACGGATTGGATTCTTGAAATCGAATCCAAATGAGAGGTACCACGCTGACTAAGCATGTCGAGGGACGAAAATCGAGGAATCGATCTGGAATTGGTTTGGATAAACACGGCCTGTCCTCGTGGGCTAATTTCAATCGGGACTTTTCCAACCCATTAACTATTTGGGGAGGTCTCCGGCCCATTTAGGTACTGGGCCAACTCTGGGCTGGGAATGGGCAAATTGGGAAAGTCCAGGCCCATCGTACAAGCCCCCTGGCTCTTCGTCGTTTTTCTCCGACGAGGGAGGGCAGGCGACTGGGACGCCCAACAGATTAGGTCCAGTCCTTGCATGCCTTTGATGGGTGTTCTTCTCACCCCCTCTCCAACTGGCTTCTTAAGCTACCCTTACCTGATTCAGACGACTTCTCAAATGGCTCATCTCTCTCTCTCTCTCTCTCTCTCTCTCTCTCTCTCTCTCTCTCTCTGTATCTCTCTGTCTCTATCTCGACATTGATCTATCTATCTGACCACCTCTCACTATCTCTCATCTCACTGCTGATGTAACAGACGCTGGTTGAGCTCTAGCCATCATAGGGTTTTCAGTGGATTCTGACCGGCAAGCTACTTCCCTTCAAGCTCTTTCCGAAAAGCTCGAGTTGGCCACTGCATGCGAATTCCCCTGTCTCTATCCTCCATTCGAGCTCTTCTTCCCTCCTTCACTACCTGCCACACTACTGAACTTGAGAGAGAGAGAGAGATCTTCCATTCTTACTCTTCTTCACCCCTTCACGACCTGCCAAACTACTGAACTTGAGCGAGGGCGGGAGTGAGAGAGAGAGAGAGAGAGTGAGGAGGGTGGTGCACTTTCAAAGCACTATAAGTACCGGCCACTGTGAGCTCGTAACTCACAGAGGAGCAAGATGGCCACCGTTCAGATAGCAGGCCGCGGCTATCTCCACCTCTTTCTCCTCTCCGTGGTTATTTCTCTACCGCTAGCTTCTGTTGCCACCCGTGGAGAGGACGTTACCCTGAGCTACGAGTATAGGTCCCCCCCACCACCAGCCAGATATCAGCCATCCCCATCGCCGGTGTATCCACCATCACACGCTGTGCCTCAGCATCCTCCGCCACCGGCACACCCACCACCATATCCTGTACCTCAGCATCCTCCGCCGCCCGCATACCCACCTCGCGGACGAGGACGCAGGGTTCTGCCACCGGCCCACCCACCATCACACGCTGTGCCTCAGCATCCTCCGCCGCCGGCATACCCACCTCATGGACGAGGACGCAGGGTTCCGCCTCCGGCACACCCACCATCACACGCTGTGCCTCAGCATCCTCCGCCACCGGCATACCCACCTCGCGGACGAGGGCACAGGTCTCCACCTCCGGCAAACCCACCATTGTGCACTGTACCCCAACATCCTCCGCCGCCGATGTACCCACCTCGCGGACGCGGACACAGGACTACGCCACCGGCGCACCCACCATCAAATGTTGGACATCGGCATCCACCGCCGCCGGTATACCCACCTCGTGAACGCGGACACAGGACTCCGCCACCGGAGCACCCACCATCATATCCTGTACCTCAGCATCCTCCGCCGCCGACTTACCCACCTCGCGGACGAGGACGCAGGCCTCCGTCAACGGTGCACCCGCCAATAAATGCCGGACATCAGCATCCTCCGCCACCGGCATACCCACCTCGCGGACGAGGACGCAGGGCTCTGCCACCGGCGCACCCACCATCGAATGTTGGACATCAGTATCCACCACCCTCGCCGGTATATCCACCTCGCGGACGAGGACACAGGATTCCGCCACGGGCGCACCCACCATCAAATGCTGGACATCGGCATCCTCCGCCGCCGGCATACCCACCTCCACCACATGTTGCTTATAAATGTACTCCGCCACCGTCGTATCCACCGCGCAGAGGCGTCCCCAGGCCTTCGCCGTCGCCGCACACGCCTCCACCTGCTGTATACGAGCGAGTTCCTCCACCGGCGTACCCACCTACAGGACGAGCTCACAGGCATCCTCCAGCACACGCCCCCCGAGGACAAGTGCACGTGCCTCCATCGCCAGCATACCCACCATCGGCTTGGCTGCCAGTGTACCACCGTATGGACAAGTAAACTAGGCCGGAAGAGCATGGGAGGAGAGGGGTCCCCTTCTCTCACGCACGTAATAATTTTAAATAAATTGTTCTCGCGATCATCAGTGAAGAGCACCAAGTACCCACTGGTGTTGCATGAGGAGCTCTGTAATGTACGGTTAAATAAGAAAGAGTGATGTCTTGATAATAGCTATTAAACCTATGAGGTTGAAGTCAAAGGGTTCATGTCCCTAGAAGTTGAAGAAATCGTCTTGGTTAATGTTGCCTTCTTATGACTACTCTGATGTTCCTGTCAAAGGTAATTCTCTCTATGGGAAAACAGTTGTTTTGCTAGCATCATCAGTAGCACAAGTTTTCTTCCAGCTCAACGTGATAAAAACGTAATATTCATCTAGTTAGGACTTCACATGTTTGCTGCGTTCTATTTACTACAACAAAAAAAATCTCTAGACGAAAACTAATCACTTAATATGGTCAATAATGTATTACTACTTGCGGCTTGTTGTACGCATGTTTTCATAAATGTTTTAACATGTTTTTCTAAACTTAATGAGAAAGTCTCACTCCAAACTCTTCCTCAAACAGATTTCCAGTCCAACGAAAAATGTGTAAAGAATATTGGAGACCATTTTATTTAGGATAATGATTCACTGCCTTCAAATGAAATTTTTTCATGAAGAATCTAGGAGTACATGTGATCATTAAATTTTATTATTAATATATTTTGGATTTTTTTTATGATTTTCATACTATTACAATTGAAGCACTTCACATACCTACGAAGCTTAGCTTGCTCAAATTTGATATATCATTTTCAATAATAGTATCTCACCTTTTTTTATTTGGAAACTCATTCAACCTAGATTCTTTATGTGTAAAAAGCATCTCAATGATCATTATCCTTTGCCCAAATGTAAACCACTCTCTTGCTACCAAGTATGATGTTAGGTTTTACTTGATCAATTACAACACAAAAGAGGCCAGACCACTTAGGTTACTCCCACATGGTGTGAGAGAGAGATATTGGATTGAATCTAATCTCACTAGCCACCTTTTTCCCTTTAGATTGTCCTTATTTCTTCCAACCAAGGGTGAAAAATAGGGAGAGATATCATCAAGGGAGAGGTGGGATTACACTTGGCTGTTGTTAACTCTAGATTTTTGGTATTTAAATTACTTTATTTATGTATGTTAAAATGTTAATTTTTAAAAGAAATGTAGAAATATACTATTGAATTAGGATGTCAAAAGTTAAAGGATTTAATTATTACTATTGTTATTTTTAAAAATAACCATGTGTTTTTCCTTTTAAAAATTATTATTATTATTATTGTTATTTTTATTGATTATTTTATATATATATTTATTATCATAGCAGACTGCTAGACAACCAACCATCCACTGTGACCCATGCCAATGCTTGGATTGGGGATTTATGGAAGGGCTTATTCATGTTTAATTAATATACCCATTTTCTCTACAACATCTTTTGATATGAGACTAAATGATTATCATGTGTTTCAGGTCTAGTAGAAAGCGACCATTTGATCCAATGGTATTTGGAGTGTCATGTGACCGAGAACATAAGTGAACTAATACACAAAGGTTCAATCCAACAATGTTTGGAACGTCACGTTACTTAGAACTTAAGTAAGCTCATGACTACCTTTAGGATATAAATAATATTATCAATTATTTTTTAGTAAAATAGACATTATTGATTATTGTCACATGTGACATAAAAATCAAAGATAACTATAAATATGGTATCTATTCTTTCCTCCCTTCATGTGATCAAGGACTTTGGCGATTGATGAGCTCATTCCTTCTTCCCTTCAACACACTAAAAGCCTCCAGCAAGTGGTCATCTCATCCTCTTTCATCCCACATAATGGTGACAATGCCATCTATCTTCTTCCTAATTGAGATCTCTCTCTCTCTCTCTCTCTCTCTCTCTCTCTCTCTCTCTCTTTCATTGTCTCTTTCTCTCTCTTTTATGATTGGAATTCCCTCTAAATCTGCCTTCACTCTCTCTCTATCTTGCATTATATTCTCTCTATTCCTTCCTCTTAAATCTCTCATCTTCTTTAGCTCTCTTAGTATTTAAAAATTTCTCTTTTTATGAATTCGTGATAAAATACTAAAAAAAATTACATTAAAAGCTAAAATAATTTTCATGATAGGTTATTCTTTTTCCCTATGTTTGAGCTAAGACATACATTATACTAAAAATCACATAAATTTTTAGTTATAAATTTTATTAGAAAATGGGTATTTAAACTCAACAACTGTTATGCAAATTGTGAACTTTATTTAATAACTTATAGGAGAATAAATAGTACATAATTTGATGATAACTGATTTGTTTTAAATGGAGGAGAAGACTAAACATGACTTTACTTGAAAGAGCTTATTCCATGAAATTCTTGGCACTTGTATTTAAGACTGGTTTTGTGGTGAGGTAGTTGAAGGTGCTGAAAGTTATTTGTTACATCATGAATTGGTCTTCCTGTACATTTAGTTAGCCAAGCTAATTCATAACTCTCATTTCATGCTTCAGTTATATACTTACACTTTCATGTTAGCTGGTGAGAGGACTAGCATCCATGTTGAATTAGAACCATGTAATTATTTCTAGTACAGGTATTTTGTAAATAGTTAAGTCAAGATCATATTGGTGAGGGTACAACTTACTAGAGACATGATATTGATAAAAAAGTTAATGTTCAATTCCATATGAAAAGAATATTAGTAACTCAATTTAGATGGAGTTGATCAAAAGGACAAATAGACATCATACCAGTTCACATCTAAACTCTTTTTCTAACAAATGTTGTGGTAAAAAAGTTTATGTTCAATTTCATATGAGAAGAATATTAGTAACTCAATTTAGATGGAGTTGATCAAAAGGACAAATAGACATCATAGCTGTTCAAAGGAATATTCACATGAGAATAATATTCATCTATAATCAAATGAATTGAACTTTACATTATTACCACACATTTTAGTGGGTAACTAAGGAGCAAAGTGATTTTAGTATGGTTGATTTATGTGGAAGTAAAGATGAATCCAATTCATATGAATCAAACTTGAAAATCAATCAACATTCTTTAGGGCAATAAGACAACTAACTACAAAAGTTTCATGGCAAATGAATTATTTAAAGATAATGTTCAACAAGTAGAAATGACTTGCAATGATTTGAATAGAATATGGAATTGGCACAAATTTAACCAAAAACATGAAATCGTTGGCATTTAATTGGCACAAGTCATAAAAAAACGTTCTTGAGTTTTTAAAATAGTCTATATTTTCACGGACTAGGCAATTTCATAAATGTTTTTGTCCCATGAGAGATGGCAAGTCCCATTTGAGTTATAGCCAGATGATATTTGTTACAAATAGAAACATCAACTTCACACCTTACTTACGTAAGAGGATGAGTACATAGTAGAAAGATTTACCCATTTGGATAGCTTGATAACATTATACAATTTTTCCAAACATTCAAATTTTAATTGAAAATTGTGGTGTAAATCCTGGTAGAAGCATCAAATGACTTGCCTTTACCTTTGAAACCACCCTCATTCAAGTTCCAAAATTAGATTCCATCTTGTGCAAGGCTGCAATAAATTTTCCAAACATTTGATATGAGAACTAAGTAACGTAGAATATACATTTGAAAACCACTTTGTTTCCCAAAAACTTGATGATAAATCGGAATTTGAAGTAACAATCCCTTCTTTTGAGATGGATTATGTAATATTGTCCCTAAAAGGGTTAATGTAAAGACTATTACCTCTCTTACAGGGTAAATTATAAATTTGATCTTCTAATAGGCATAGAATTTACTTGTATGGATTCCCACCATGCTAGCACTTTTACTCAAGTACCAAGTATAATTTGTTAAACTATACATGTGAAGAAAATGGTACTCAACTACATAAATATGAAAAGTGTAATTTTTCAGTTTTTCTCAATTACATGTATAAAAGCATAATTTACATGTTTATGAAGAAGTTCATTTTTTATAAATATTTAACATAAATGTTTAATATAAAAGGCACTCGTTAGTTAAATTCAGGACATAGAATGGACTAATGGGCTGCCATGCAAGTGATAAAGCCAACAACATGAAGAGCAAGTTAAGGGAACGCTGGGGTCAGAGGGAAATTAGGCAGGAGATTGAAATCAAGTTGGAACAAAAGAAATGAAAAAAAAGAACTATACGAAAGGAATTATATAATGACGGCATAAGAAAATTTAAAGAAATTAGAGGGAAATAGTCAAAAAAAAAACGAAACCTCCTCTAGAAAAATGGTTTTGATGACCTCCAACTCTCATCAACCCATCCGCCGAAAATTATATTTCTCGGAGCTCAGATATATATATATATATATATGTATATGTATTCGTATTAGTTAATTAACGAAATGGCCGTGAGCAATGCGGATAAGTAGTGGCCGTAGCTCGTGGAGGGGACGGGCGACTCGTTTGCAGCTGTGTGGCCGGCGGGAATCGCGGATAAACTGAGAACGGTGGCGCCCTGCGGGAGCTGACTGATCCCCGGCTGCCGCTGGCGAAGCCTTCTCCTTGACGGAGGAGGAAGAGGGGGAGGGGAGGGAGAAGAAGTGGGGAGGAGATGGCGTTCTCATCGCAGCCGACTACTGGGTTCTTTCGCCACCAGCAGCCTCGCACTCCCTACACTCGTTCCCCTCTTCCGGGCGCGCCGCCGAAACTTCAACTTCTCCTCCGGAGAGGACCTCAATCGTGGACCCGTTGCCCCGCGGAGAGGAAGGAGAGGAGCTTCACTGACCAGATCCTCGACTACATCGAAGGTTCCACTGATTGAACCCCTTCCAACTAATTTTTGCATCCGCTTCCCCATTGAAATTGCTGCCTCTGCGGGTACGCGTTGGCGTCTTGGTAGCCAGTGCACGAGCGCGGAGATGGGGCTTGTCTCATATGCATACTGCGGAGTGTTAATCTTCTCCCGAGCTTGATTAGTGAGGCGTCCTTTCCATGTCTTGGTACTTGTAATTTCCTCGTCCTTTACAAATTTAGGTGGCCCGAAGCTGAGGAAGTGGTATGGGGCGCCGGATCTACTGCCAAAGGATGGACGGCCAGAAGATGAGGACGACGGGGCTCCAGGTGGGATTCGAGCTCGCCCTGGTCTCTTTCGCTCTGCAAAATTCGTGATCTACCTGCTGTTCTTTCCTTTCGTTTTTCTCCATTTCTTCTTGTGCGAATTCAGAAGCCGAGCAAGTCCGTGACGCGGTGCTGGTGACGAATGGAGACAGCGAAATTGGCCAGGTGATAGGCTCTGTCTGGCTTTCTGTCACTGATTAATGTGCAGCATTTACATGATTGCAATAGTAACATATATGATGTTCTGAACTACGAGGAATGATAAACAGATGGGCATTTGGTTCCACCTTAGACAGGAGTGGCTACACAGGCAAGTACAGGAAGTAGACTCTTCTTGTCAGAGAAAATCTCTCAAAAAAAGCTGATTCATTACGAGTTGGCAAAGCGGCTCTCACCCAATTCCTTAGCGGTTCGAATGAGATAAAAAAAAATAGAAATCAAATTTAACAAGGATTGAAAACTGCATTTCTTGTATTCTTGTAGCTGATCACAGAAACTTGTCATCAACATTGTGAATCTCCAAGATGAACATTGGGCATGATATTTTAAGCTACTGTGCATCATGGGTTATTGGAGATATTGTGAGGAAAGAGCAGTACGTAGTTATGTATTTAGTAATAAATAATTTCTTTAGTAATACATTTAATCATATACCTCCTCCTCCCCTGATAAAATTGCACTCTTTGTTAGGCTTTCCTTGATGAATATAATGGATGAGCTTGACACTAAACCTAGAGTTCCCCATTTCGTCTTAAGAGACTAAGGGAAGGGTGACAGCCAATGGTAGCATCCTTTCTCGCAGTCTAGTGTTTGGAGTATATCTTCATCATCGTGTTATCATATTTGGCTGTTTGCTTGTGGGATTATAGTTTTATCTTTTCTCCTGACCAATCGAGCGTTTCCATGCTGATCCTGGAAGAGTTTTGAGTTCCCAGCTCTTCTACTGCCACCCACCCCCCAAAAATAATAAATAAAAGAGGAAAAACACGATTCCAAGTTTCCTTATCTTTAACATTAATCCTATTGATCAAATTCCCTATTCTGCCAGTGAACGCCTCCACAGAAAAAAATTGAGCGAAGAAAATCGTACAACTTAAGAATGTCCATGCATGTTTTTCCTCGCAGACTCAATACTTGGACGCACAGATCGACCGACTGTCCATGTTTATTATTTCTTCTTTCGGCAATGATGCTCATGCTATTCCCTGCCCTTCTCTTTTCTTGGTTCTCTGTCCATGTAAATTGTTTGTTCGCACAGATGGTAATCTTATCACTGATTGTCAAACGAGCTCGAGTCAAAGCACTGGTCAAGGACAAACAGGCTGTTGTCGAAGCCTTTGGAACCTACGTTGAGGTAAATGGTCAACTATTTGATCAACAGAACAGATTTTCAAGCTGTGCATTTTTCTATTTTTGAATCAAGTAGAACATTTTTTTTTATATATTATTCTGTGTTTATGCGTGAAGCCCATAGCTGGAGATGCAAGAAGTAATTCCCTTCCTAAGGAAGCTCTTAGAGGCGTCCGTGCCATAATATGCCCTTCCAATGTAAGCTCTTCAATGTTACAAAGCATTCCAAAGGCTTCTGTCATTTTAAATTGAACCGAAACAACAGCTGACGCCCTATTTTGGCGATCAAACTGCTGATACCGGGGCTGGGATTACTCTAGATTATGATTCTTGGGCGTAATTTGTCTCTTCTCCAAATCTTTGTGCATTGGCAGGAAGGTTTCTTATCTGACGTCGGGCAAATGAAAGGTGTCGAACATATTGTTCTCCTGTCCCAGGTTTCAACCCCTCTTAGCGATGGATCACATCTTCTCCCCCTAAAACAGCTGCTGATCACCGCTCTTTTGAGTTTAATAAGGTAACAGTTGGCTGCTTATGAGGGTAGCAGCGGCTTGCAAGCGCTCATCAACGCCAAAGCCAGGAAGTCAGCTGAGAGGGACGAAGAAGCAGTGGTTTCATCGGGCATTCCTTACACAATCGTCAGAGCTGCCCTCCTGCAGAACAGCCCCGGGGGAAATCAAGGGTTCAGTTTCCAAGAGGTCTCCTAATTATTTGAACCTTCTAAGAAATCATCATTGCTAATTTTGTATCATTGGGGTCTAATTTCTTCAGTTAAAGCCGATTATTTCCCGCATTAATTATACTGGACATTGAACTGTTTGTTGATCCACAAATGTCAGGGTGTGGCTGCTAAAGGAAGGCTCAGTAAAGAAGATGCGGCCCGCATCTGTGTCGAAGCTCTTGACGCAGTCCCACCCAAGGGGCTGGTATTTGAGGTTCGTTGATGAGAATATTCAAGTCTTAGGCTTTCTTTGGGCTGGGGCCTCTAATCTGAGCCCGCCCAAGAAGAATAGATCCCGTTCAGAAGCCCCGACTTCTGGGCCAGTTTTCTTCTGTTGCGGGCTTAGATTTTTAAGTTTCTTGCCCGATAGAGTGGTTTAGCCGGGCTCCTCATACCCAGATTTGGCAACCTTCTTGAGGAAGCTTTGCTCTGTGTATATCTCAGGTGGCAAACGGGGATGAGAAGGTTTCAGACTGGAAAGAATGGCTCACAGTGCTCATTAGCCGCCAAGAACCTTCCCTCTGACCACCTGGACGACCGGTGGAGGCGATTAATATCGATTCAAATTTCTCGTATGGTTCGACAATCAGAAGTTTTCTAATGTGCGATTCTTGAAAGAAATTGAATGCTTGTACACCTCTGTGGAGCTCTGCTACGCCTGGCTCTGCTGTCACTGGTCGGACAGAGTCTCCGTGGGGCCGCTACTGGTGGTGGCCTCGCTCTGCCCTGCTAATGAGGTGAGGACGCCGCCGTAGAGGTCGGTGACGCGTTTGAGGTTGTCGTAGAGCTGCCGGATGAGGCCGCAATTGCGGCCAAGGTCCTCAGGATTGGCTGACTCGTGGTTCTTGTTGACCTCGTTGATTAGAAGTTGGTTCTGGTCCAAGATGATCTGAGCCTCTTGCAAGAACTTCTGTAAGGCCTTGTGGGACTTCTTGGCCACCTGCCCTTCCCCTTCGCCTTGTTTTCCCAAGCTGCTCCCCTCCATCCTCTCTCTCTCCATCTCTCTCCGCCCCTCTCGTGATCAAGAACCTGACTGATTTGCGGAGACAGAAAGAGGGACCCAAGAGAAAAGAACCGCCCCTTCTCTCCTTACTAACGAGACAGAGACAGAGACAGATAGAGACAGAGACAGAGACAGATAGAGACAGAGACAGATAGAGACAGAGACAGAGACAGATAGATACAGAGACAGAGACAGACAGAGTCAGGGATTCTAAAACTCGAGGTGGTTGGATTTTCTTCCTGACGGTGGGGTGAAATCTTGGAAATAGTAACAGGGTTTCTGTCCTATTGGATTGTACACTAAGAATGGGCCTACGTTCATCGTGTTAGAATCGTCAGACTCCAGACGACAGACTATTTGGGTTTGTCCATCTTCAGAAATACCCAACCGTGTTGAACGAGCTGCAACCGATCTGGTTTCAAACGAGCCGGAAATGCCCAGGTCTTCATAGGATGGGCTTTTAAACGAAGCACTAATATAAAATGTAGATCCGGCCAAGAAAAAGAGCGAGCTTTGAAGAGCAACGACACCCAAGTTGCAGGCTTCTTCTCACTCCAATGAGCTCACCCAGCTCCTGCTTGCCGTTCAGTGTCATGGTTTTCACCACCACGAAGGCAGCTTCTCTTAGAATTGCTTATGAACAAGGAAAGACCCCGCCCGCTGGCTTCATCGTACACCTCCAAAAAGCCTCACTGTTATCTGAAGACGGCCCTATAAATGATAAAATCATAAAAGTGCATGACGACAGTAGCATAACAAGACAGTCCTCCCGTGACACGAGGAGTCAACAGGAAATTCCTTTTCCTTCCTGAGAAATATATATTTCTAGGTTGCAGATTTTTTCAAGCAATGATTAAACTCATTCTAAGTGCTTTTTCTTGTCGTGGGGCACCACAGAGAGGAAAACACTGATGGAAGAAGGTTGAGAGGCATAGCGTACAAGGCTAGCACAGTTGGCAGAGGGTAATCACAGAGTTATCACTAACAATCAAAACTGGATGAACCTTAATGGGCAATATGAACTCTGCGATGAACAACTCGATGAGCAGGGAAATGGTAAGAAAAAGGCTACAGATCGAATCGGATGAATGCCAATGACTAACTCTTCATATCCGGAAGCATGTGAGTCAATACTGATCATTTTCAACTTCTTCTTTAGATTCGAAATTTTTGATCACTAAGACGACGAATGGAACTCCTTCGAAAACCCAGTTCTTAGGCTAGACTGACGTGCAGTTAAAAGTTTAGCTCACACAAGTTTGAGGGTAGCGGAATTTTTTCTGTGAAAATTCTAAGCATGGAGACATGGAAGGGTCAAATCACTGTTTTAGCATCAAAGTCTAGATTCCGGAATTTCATTCACGCAAAATGCATGTTATCGTGCTCCCATAATCTCGAATGCTATCAGTTCCGGTACGTGGACCAAAATAATACAATGCGAGCAAAAGTCCGCAATAGAACAGCGTATAAGTTATCATGCCTGCACATCGATCGTTTAAGTCTCCAAAACTTATACCAACAATTATAACGAAAGTTTCTCCCGTGAGACAAAGGGTCTTCTTTCTAAAGAGGACCAGTTGGTAGCTATGCTCTGTCGAGAATTTTCATATGACTGGAAATTAAAATTAAAAAGAAAAAAAAAAACAGTTTCAAACTCAGTAGAAGAGTATGCTGGTAATTCTGATATCTCAAAATATTGAAACTGTGATTTATTCATTTGCACGGGGAGCCCCTTAATTCCCTTTCTAAGAAATAAAGATAAAGAATTGCGACATTGTTTTATTGATGACAATCTATGTCCTATGTGTGGATGAATACCTCAACCGGTTTAGGAAACGCAGGAACAATGACTCATTGGAATTTATCCACATTTATTAAGCATCGAAAATGAAAACGTCTCAAAAGGAATCCGATGGCGAGATTGATATGGTCTCTTATATATTCTGATCCCGATGGATTGCTCCATCTGGTCTTCGTAAACATCTCACGTACTGCCGTCTATTCAACCAACTATGACGTTACTCCTGGTTTCGAATTTAACTCCACGACTATCAAATTTAGGAAACACTATTCTGAAGGGATACTTATTTTCCAGGCAGTCCTATCGTCCAATGGTATTTTACCAGTTTACACCCTAATGTAAGTTTACCTAATAGTCGTTTACCGTCTCTAGACATAATTGGCCTTGGAAATGAGGATGCTCTCTTATGGTAAATCCTGTGGGTCCGGTGGTTGTGGGGAAGAATAGATTGACTGATTTCCATGTGCTCTCTCTCTCTCTCTCTCTCGATATAAAATATAGATCCATGTATACACTTTAATACATGCATACATGCATCTGCACATAAATATAAATATAGAAATCTATTATCAATAGCCCATTTCCGCAGCCTGGAACACCTCATCTTCCTCGTACACAATATTCTTGAGCTCGTGTATCTCTTTTACATGGAAAGGGTTGCTTAGTTGCGCAAGTAATACTTAGCGAAACTCCGCACAAGAATGACTATTCTCTTAACCGCCAAAATGTTACACGCCTTATAGATATTATTTTTTCCATGATATAATTTCGAAATGAAATTTTTACTCCTTTCTGAGTACCGAAATTTATCTCCTTTCTTGACCATGGTGGGGAGTGAAAGGATGGACGGAGAGAGGGGACAACAAGAGGTGGGGGGCCACTCACTGTCCGCTAACAGTTCACCAACCATTCCCTTCACAAATCAGCGGCTGCCGTGACTTTAAGAACTGCATCCTGTTACGAAATAAAATAAAGCCAATTATTTAAAGAGAACTTTGTCCTTATTCCATTTATGGCGACCAATAAAAGTGGGACACGTCCCGGCCTCTAAATCCCACCCACGTTCGAAGCAAAGTTTCAGCGCTGTACAGTAGTCTCAAATCCGTGGCCTGTAGATAAATGCTATAAAAATGAGTCTAAATTAAGAATGTTCAGATCATATATTAAAATTGGTAAATATTTATGAACAGCTGGTGGGAGCATGTCACGACAACCATTTCCCTTCAGATTGCTTATGGGTCTGATAGTTAGATCGTCTGACGTCGTGACAAGTTCATAAGATACGTAAGGCGCACGATGCTGGAGGTGCATGAAATAACTTCCGTTACTTTTCCTGGTCAAATCATATTTCGATACGAGTTTGACCCCTTTGGATGTCTACTTGCTTGTTAATTTACGTCAATGCCTCAATATAATAAATTGTATCAGCGTCCGCTCAACCATTGCTCCAAATTGCGATAAACTTCAAGCGAGGCGATATTTGATCCAGAAATTCAGAAAAGGAGATATTAAAGATATTTCGATCAACCATGCTATAGCCAACCAAGAAAGAGCTCGCACAAGCATGTAGTCATATTTAAGTCAAACAGTCAGAGAAAGTAGATCTGCCACAAGATCTGATCCATCTTCCGGCTTGCACAAGAGTCTAACTATCCTTCACCTGCAGTCCCCTGACACTATAAGTTACATTTATAGACCTGACATTTATTATCCAGACATGTGGTAACGTGCTGCTCGATGGGTCGTTAAATAACTGAAGCTAATAAAACGATCTTTTACACCAAAGTACACGATGGCTGATGCTCCGTAGGCCTGTTGCTTGTTCTGCACGTGGAGTTTATGTTCGATCGCCTAGCCCCGGGAAGCGTAGATGTGATACTTTATACCTGTTAAACCACGGGAAACCCTTTTTGATCAACAGGAGTCAGTCCTCCGTCTTCTCCGCCCATTCCTCGGAATCTAGGCAAGAGGCCACGGTGGCTGGGAGATCTGTGGTGGCAATGGGCTGAAGACACTCTCTCCAGTCCTCCAGAATAGCTTCCTCGAAGAAGAAAAGGCGACCAGGGCTAGACGGCGCGCACTCATCGCCGTCTCCGCAGTAGACTGGGCTATACTCGTCGCAATCTCCTCCGGAGACGCGCAGGAAGTCCAGCTCTTCGGTGTTGCTCATGAGCTCGTCGATGTCGAAGTCGTGGAGGATGCCGAGGTAGTCGTCTCGTTTAGGGAACGCCGTCTCCCGGCATCCAGATTCCTCCGTTTGGTGGGCCGCTGCTTCTTGTGCTGGCGGGGCAGGAAAGAAGATCCTGGTGCACCTCGCTGCCTTGGTTCGGATGACCTCTTGAGACAGGTCCATTTCTCGGGCCGCTGTTTTCTTATCTCTGGGTCTGCAGTGGGGCCTGCGCCAGTCTGAGGGAGAGGAGTCGCCACTGACCTTCTTGCTAAGGTTGGTGTTCCAGTAGTTCTTGATTTCATTGTCTGTTCTACCTGGGAGTCTCCCCGCAATGAGCGACCAGCTGGGGAACAGATTTATCCAACTGAGAGATGAAACTTTTTATCGATTAAGACAATGTTACTTGTCTAGAGGGATTTTGAAAGATGTTGATTTTTTATGAGAAAATGAAAATGATTCCCAGGACATAAGATGAGAATGGATACCGATTTCCGAGCAGCTTGTGGAGTCTGATGATGAGGTCCTCCTCCTCCTTAGAGATATTCCCTCTCTTAATGTCTGGTCTCAGGTAATTCAGCCAGCGAAGACGGCAGCTCTTCCCACAGCGTTTCAGACCTACACGAGCGCTGTTGCTGTCAGCGGTCCTTTAATCGTAGACGACTTCTTGCCTCCTTTCCCCCTCTCTCTCTCTCTCTCCTCTCTCTGTGTTTCTCCTTGGGATTGATGCCCGTATAAAGGGAGAAGGAGATGGTGGGTTTGGCGCATTACCTGCTCTCCTGGGAAGATCCCGCCATTTGCCTTCACCGTGAGCGTTGATGTAGTCGACTAAGATCTTGTCTTCCGCGGAAGACCATGCACCTCGATTGAGTCCCTCCTTGGCACAGCAAGGCCTCCTGCCCATCTCTCTCTCCGTCTCCTCCTTCCCACACCCCTCGAAACTCTCTCCCCTACTCTCCTCTCATGTTTTCGTGAGAGACGAGAAGGGGAGAGAGGAAGAAGAAGAGCTATCTAACTTTCTAGCGCCACGACGGCTCCTTTTGTAAGCGAAAGAAGAGCTGTTGGAGAGATGGGCACCGGGCGTTCATGTGGGGCTTGGAATTTATAGTTCGCGAGACACGTGCCTTGGCCGTAACTCATGCCGATCGCTCACTGGGCTTAGCCTTTTATGACTATCGTTCAGCTCTTTCCATCAATTTATGCGTCAGCAGACTTTATATTTCCACCTGACGGTTGCAACCTCTGGGGCCCCTCCTACGAGAGACGCATAAGCTTGACACAAAAAAGAAATCATTTAATTTTTACTATTTTAAGAGTAAAAATCACAATCTTCAGAAGTTCTGAAAATCTCGGTGTCTATGAAATTAATTATGGCAACAAAAAAAAAAAAAAGGGTATGCCTGAGTCATTTGAGATTACGACTCATTCTGTGTTCCGGGCTTGAAGATCCAAAAGTGGGCTTTGGACGAAAATATCACGCTTCAAGTCAATTATAAATCTAAGAAAAAGCGGATAATTTCAAATTTTCATGGCTCAGTTTTAAACAATCCCTGTAATATTTATTTTAAATTTTATGATCGCTTTGATTTTTACTGTTGGGCAATACTGACTAGGGAAAATTTAAATAGTAGTGAAGGAAAAACGAAACTGCAGTCTGTGATTGTACAATGTTAGTATAGCCGTTGTAGTCTTCTGGCCTTGCTCTTATCTTCCACCCTCTAGCCAAATCAATACTAATCGGAAGATTACTCGCGAATAGAAGCTGGACAGATGTAACTGAAAGAAATCCCTCTTTGTCTGAAGAGTTAAAAATGGTATATTTTAACGGGTTTATAAAAGTAAAAGTTCACATAGCTGTTGTCACAAAGGTTTCAGATGGGAATATACCACATCTCTGTGTATATTCCGTCTCTCTCATTTCTGCGCTGGAAACTTCTTTCAACTGTTCAGCGACCCCCCCCACTTCGCTTACCATTCTTCCTAAAATGGCAGGGACTAGGCATGAGAAACTACTGAAAACAATAGACTCCAAGGTCATTGCTTAACTTATATCCTAGAGAGATAGACTAGACAGGAAGGGATCTCCCCCTTCGCCGATGCTCTCCGAAAATAAATGACTCATCAGTCTCTGAACAAACAAAATTATCCGTCCCATCTCATGAAGTTTACTTGCCCACAATTCACTTCCGTGTGTAGTTTTCAAGATATTACATTCTACTTGTGTACATCGTCACCCTGAAGATGCCAAGTTCTTCCCCGAAGTACATGCAATATATTACCAAAAGGAATGACTCTGCCATCACCGTAAAACGTACTAAGCTCGTCCGTCCGTTGCATTGTGATGTCTCTTGGGTAGATTATGAGATATAACGTTGTTTTTTCATTCATGCATGGGGCGATATCGAAAGAAGTCTAAACAACAGGAGTGGACGTACTGGAAGATTGGATGAGATCTCCGGGGTAGCCTATGGACTTGATTATGAAGATGTAAGATAATGTTCGTGGATAGGATGATAAACGATGAAATATCATAAATACTGATCAAACTGCTACTACTATCTTTCAAAACCATGTTTCCAAGCAGGGCACTGGGAGTGATGGCGCGTCGAAAATATTTGGCTTTGTGGCACCGTATTAGCAAAGGGTTTGGTCCATCAATTAGTCAGTGACTAGCTTCTAAAGCGTATCTCTCTCTCTCTCTCTCCCCCACGCTCACTCTCCCACTCTCCCATTGTCCCCCATTTTCCCTTGACCACTTTCTCGCTCCCGCTCACTAGCATGCAGGCGATCCCAGGACTAGTTGATCTCCATCACGAGAATTGCGATGCTTCGAGCTAACGATCCTTTGTTTGACCATACCTGGGAATAGACAACAAATCCTCTCTCTCTTCTCTGACAAGTCGATGATTGGCTGACGGGTCCCCCTTCCCCCGCGGCCAACTTGACCCCTCGCCTTCCGCCGATTACCCGATCCATGGTCACTACTGCCCAAAAAATTAAAGCACGTGCCAATAGTCTCAATGAATCAAGCAGTGCGATGCAGTGCCACACGCCCACTGGTCTCACTGTGCCTCGCGATGCTACGCGCCCCCACTGCCCTGACAGTGCCACGTGGAGCCTCGCACCACCACTGACCATAGACAGAGTCCAACAGAGCACTCAGCTACTGTGAAATGTGCTCAGGCAATCAGCCAAATCCTCTCTTGCTCCACAAGACCTCACGGCCAATTCCACCTACCCCTCCCGCTCTCTCTCTCTCTCTCTCTCTCTACTCCCCCTCCCCTTCTCTCTCTCTCTCTCTCTCTCTCTCTCTCCCTCCCTCTCTCTCTCTCCCTCCCTCTCTCTCTCTCTCCCCCCCTCTCTCTCTCCCTCTCTCTCTCCCCTCTCTCTCTCCCTCCCTCTCTCTCTCTCTCTCTCTCTCTCTCTCTCCCTCCCTCCCTCCCTATGCCAGATCCGGAGAAAAAGGCCTCATTAGTGTCACTCGTTTCCTTGGGCACAGGCTTTCGTGGGCCCTTATGTGACCTTTTTCTCCACCTCTTCCTCCCTATGTACAACTGTGTGTATAAGAAAACCGATACATCCCTCTGCAGTGTTCCCATTAGCATCGGGACAGGCCTTCAATGGTCCCCTACGTTTCTTTTTCTCATTGTTCTTCTCTCTCCTCTGCCATAGGCAGTTGCGCCGCAGTTGTGCCAACTGTTATTTCAAAGAACAATCTCGTTTCCCTCTCTGAGGAGTCTGATATTCGTCTCTCTCTCTCCCCCCCACCCCCCCTTCTCTCTAGTGGATGCCGTGCTGCGCCCCGGAAGCCGTGACAAATTTCATTCTAGAGAGCAATTATTTGCCTGACTCAGAGTAATGTGATGAGAAAACACGCTTGGTGACATTGCACAGGATCTACATGCGCCTATTAATACGTGGAAGAATGCCCTACACAAGTATTCGCCCATCTGTTCTTCTCCCCATGTTCTCGCTGTCAGCCTCTGCCATACCCTGCCAGCCTTGACACTGCCTCATGCTCAACTCCCCAGTGGGTCTGCGAAAAAACAAACGTGCGGAATATGAAGCGTAACGCTGACCTTCAGTTGCGGACCGGTCAACGTTGCATAACTTGTCTACCTACCCTTCTTCCCCAGGCTCCCTCACACATGAAGGGAAATCAATGATTCCCAAAAGTGACTTAAGTGACTTACCGGCCTAATGTTATCATAATATGAACTGACGTTGGTTCCAATAAAGGTTGACTTTCGGGTAAAGTCATCAAGTTTCAACATGCATGAAATTAAGTAAACGTAAACGAACTTAATTGTCTAAAGCCAGAATGATGTAGCCTTAAGTTGTATGATGTGGACAATCCTCCAAGGATTTTGAAGACTTCTCTCTTTAGTCCTTTGGCTTAAAAAGGCTTATTTGCTATGTTTCACCTTTTATATCTAGTAAAAAGTTAATGCATATTCTCTTGACCCTTAATTGAACTGTTAATGATAGTGAAAGTCACAATCAATTGAAACCTTGATATTATCACAAGCATAACTTTGATGTACAATATATATTTTTACCACATATTTGATCAAATTATTTAGGTGATTTTTCTTTGAAAGGAAAGCAGGTAAATTTTCATCAAAATCAGTAATTTCATAAGATGTCCTACAAATAATTACTTTATAATTTAATCCAGATTTTATATCAGTTACATATATCGTAAAAAAAATAGTTTTTAATATTTTATTTGTACTCTTAGCGTTGACTTATTGGTGACATTACACTATCAAGAGGAGGGCTAAATTAATCATATTTATTTCTTTATGAATTATAATTCCATCAGCAATATTAAAAATAAGAGTTATCAACGCAACTACACAAAAAAATTATAATCATTTGGTCTTCCATACATGCATCCACTCTCTAAGGTCTTTATCCTTGACTTCCACAAAATCCCTAATGTTTACATGCTGACTTCAATAGATATTGGCCTACTATTTTGTACAATTTCAATCAACTTGAGATTAAAAAAATACTGTCTCTAATTTATTGGGCTATAGATAGCTTAAATCAAAAAAGAGTATTACATCCCTCTTTTCTTACATATCAAAATCTAACTCCTAAATTTACAAAAATCAATAATAGCAAAATAGATAGCAATCTCCAATTTCTTACATCATTTTGATAAGCTTTGCCTTCTTGTATAATCAAGTACTTTCCATTGGAGTAGAATTATCCATATAAGGGTGGTCCACGAAATAATGGGATGTGTTCCCAATATAGTGAAATAATGCGTGGAAGTAGTTTAGGTTGTTCTTCTCTTATTCTAGTTTTGTTAGGGGCCCCTTCACATAATAGAAAAATGAAATCAAGAAAAAATTAGTGGCTGGTATAAAATTTTCTTTTATGATCAAGGAGAGATTATTAGGTTGATGATTGGATCAAGAGACTTATCTTCTTCATGCAAACTCAAGCGAGCAACATGGTATGTGAGGAAGATTTCTTGATCTCCTCCCTTATAGACTTGATGAGAGAATGCCAGCCATGGACTAATGCTTGAAGATGACGAAGGATAGGCACCCAGTGGATGATCATGGCTGGATGATCATAATTCTTCACAGGGTTGATCATAGACAATTGTGGACTTCTTGTTGATAATCATGCAACAGCAGGAAGATCATAGGAGAAAGCAACTTTATGATTTAGGAGCATGGGGAACAAATGAAAAACTCCATCAAGTCAAACCTACAACTATGTGCTCAAGTGGGCTGGCCCACTTCAGCCCCTACTCTTCCCCATATAAAAAACGCTCTCTCCTTTACTAAGATGTATTTAGACATTTTATTGTTGGGTATTTAGTTTTCCGTGAGAATCCTCTCCTTCATCTATATTTTCTCTCCATTTAGTTTCTTTTACTATAAA